GACAGACTCGGCTTGACCATTATTTTTTTTGCTTCTCTTTCAAACTTATCGAAATAGAACACGTCATCATTCAAAAATTCATCAAGACTCACTGTTGGAGGTTTTTTGGGATATTTCTGATTGGCAAACACTTTTATGATTGTCAGGGAGGCACCTCGGTCCAGTTCATAGCCTTTATCCTCGAGAAGTTCGACAATAGCTAGAGTCCCAGACATCAGTCTTAATTTATAACGAAAGTCAAAATACCGGTTTGTTTCAAATGCCGGAAAAAAATAACTCGCAGCGGGAAAAACGAAACTAGACATATCAGCGCCACGATCTAACAGATACTTGACCCCATTCAATAAAACATGCGCCACAGCTAATTGCAGTGGGCTCCGCTTTAATTTGTCCCGGGCGTCGATCTCTATCGTCTTCTGGATGTCGTCACAGATCTCGAAGAATTTCTCCACAAATCCATCGTCTTCTTCTCTCTGGCAAATAAAATGCAGAGGAGTCATTCCTTCCGCATTGGCTGAATTAGGATCTTGGCCTCTTCTCAGCAGCAATTCGGTTGTATCCTTTGTGAGGAGATAGTGGTTTTGCATAAAAAAGTGCAACGGTGTGTTCCCATCATTATCCCGGGCGTCGATCTCTACCGTCTTCTGCATGTCGTCGCAGATATTTACGAATTTGTCCACAAAACCATCGTCGACTTGTCTCTGGCAAATAAAATGCAGAGGAGTCAATCCTTTGGCATTGACTGAATAAGGAACGGCGCCTTTTCTCAGCAGCAATTCGGTTGTTTCCTTTGTGACGAGATGGTGGTTTTGCATTAAAAAGTGCAACGGTGTGTTCCCATCATTATCCCGGGCGTCGATCTCTACTGTCAGCTGAATTTCGTCGATGATCTTGAAGAAATGTTCTGCCATGTCCTGGTTATAGAATCTGCAAATTGTGTGCAGAGGAGTCCGCCCCACTGCATCAGCTAAGTTTGGATCGACGCCGTTTCTCAGCAGCACTTCGACCATCTGTACACTACATCTACTGGACAGAGCGCAGACTAATGCTGTCCGTCCCTTCTTGTCTACGGCGTTGACCTGACACGGCTGATTAAATTCGTCATTGATCTCGAAAAATATCTTCGCCAAGTCATCATTGTCTTTTCTCTTGCAAATAAAATGCAAAGTAGTCATTCCCTCCGCATTGGCTGAATTAGGATTTGTGCTTCTTCTCAGCAGCAATTCGATTGTTTCCTTTGCGACGCGGCGGTAGTTATGCATTAACGAGTGCAACGGTGTGTTCCCATCATTATCGCGGACGTCGACCTCTACCGTCAGCTGACTTTCGTCGACGATCTTGAAGAAATGTTCCACCATCTCCTGGTTCTGGAATTCGCAAATCTCGTGCAGAGGAGTCAATCCTTTGGCATTGGCTGAATTAGGATCTGCGCCTCTTCTCAGCAGCAATTCGATTGTTTCCTTTGTGAGGAAATACAATTTTTGCATTAAAAAGTGCAACGGCGTGTTCCCCTCATTGTCCCGGGCGTCGATCTCTACCGTCAGCTGAATTTCGTCTATGATCTTGAAGAAATGTTCTGCCATGTCCTGGTCATAGAATTTGCAAATTGTGTGCAGAGGAGTACACCCCCCTGCATCAGCTAAGTTTGGATCGACGCCGTTTCTCAGCAGCACTTCGACCATCTGTACACTACAGTGACTGGACAGAGCGCAGACTAATGCTGTCCGTCCCTTCTTGTCTACGGCGTTGACTTGCCACGGCTGATTGAACTCGTCGTTGATCTCGAAAAATATCTTCGCCAAGTCAGCGTCGTCGCCGTCGTCGTAGATTTCCAAACAAATAATGTGGAGAGGTGTTGATCCACTCTGGTCAAAAGTCAAATTTAGGCGCCTATTTTTCGCGGCATTTCTCAGTAGCAATTGGACAATCTGTTTTTTACAGCCGTAATGGCGCAGAGCATAGTGTAATGGTGTTTGACCCTTCTTGTCCTCGACCTCGATCTGCACCGGTTTATCGAGTTCTTCGTTGATCTTGAAAAACATCTCTAGCAAGTCATGACCTTCACCTTTCCGGCAAATTATGTGCAAAGGTGTAAGTCCCTCCGCATCGGCTAAATTGGGATTGGCATCTCTTCTCAGAAGTGCTTCGGCTGTCTGCTTTTTACCTTTGAGTAGAGCCCAGTGTAGCGGTGTCCGGCCCTTCTTGTCCAAGACATCAATCTGTATCACCTGATCGACTTCTTTGGCGAAGTTGAGGAGTAGCTCGGCCAAATCATCGCGCCGTTTATAACACGCCACGTGAAGAGGTGTGCGGCCTTTGAACACCAAGTTCGGATCGGCGCCGTTTCTCAGCAACGAATCAGCCGCCTTTCTGTGGCTGAACTGCAGAGCCAAGTGTAGTGGCGGATTAATAATTAAGCTTCCGTTCGGGCAATTGGGGTCCTGGCCAAACTCGAGGAATTTCTCGATGACATCGACATGACCAGACACACAAGCAGCATGAAAATGGCTGAATCCGTCGTGGTCGGTGTAATTTACGTCAAATCTGTTGTAAATGTTAAAAAGCTCACGGACGAGGTCTAAGCGCAAACGTCTGGTAGCATCATGGAGGGCTGTGGTGCGATTCAGCAATGGCTTGCCGTCTCCATCGATTTTGGGCTCGTCTTTGTAGCCACTGCGAGTCACAAACTCGACTAGTCGATTTCCTGCGCCATAGGCTTGCAGGTCAGTATACTCTGAAGTTGCGGACACCATTAGGAGACGATCTATTTCTTCTTGTGTAAAAATATCTCGCAGATTCGGAAGTTGGCCCTTCCAATCGCTGATCACGGAGTCGAGTTGATCGAGAAATTCTCGTAATTCTTCTTCGATATCCCAATTTACCTTTTCACGCATACTCCTCAACGTAACCACATTTTCTTGGTTAAAACGATCCACGTGTTCGGAATCGAGGTCGTTGCCCTCGCCGTGAAAACTAATTGAATCGGATTTATCGTCGAACATTATTCTGCTAATTCACAGATACACACACGCACACTCGATATCTTGTAATTTAAAATATTAATTTTTTTAACACCACTTGTTGCAGTCGATGCGATATCTTGGTCGGTATTCACGTTGCGGCGTCTTAATGTGGACTGACTCATACATGCTCTAAGATCCACATAGAGAGAATAAAAAGTACGTGGGCGAAGCTAAAAGAGAAAGTAGCTCGAGAAATGGAGGCGTTAATTCAGTAACGACTACAAAACCTAAATCCACCGCAGTTCGGACCACTTGTGGGTTATACAAACAGATAACAGCTCGTCGCTATAGCTGACTTAAGGAGGCTCGATCAAAGTATCTGGTGCTATGTCAGGTATTATACATTTAGTTGTTTAAAAAATTTCAAAAATGTACAAGTATCTTTAAAGTTTTTATAATTATTTCTTAATTTATTTACAAGTTTTCCACATTTTCTTCCTCTGTGTACTTATCTCTTGTTAATTTATCTCATTCAACATTCGAAGAATTACAACCGGCACAATTTTTACACGCTAAATTGCAGGATAATCCGTGTTTTCTGCACCCACACGTCTTACCACAATCTTTTTGGCAACTGCAAAAAATCAAACTTATTACGCTGTGTGGACCTGGAGGCTGCGTCATTCTTTTAGCTTTTAAGGAATTATCTGTCGTTTCTCATCCCTAGGAAGTTGGATCACAAATATTATCGCTGAACAACCAATTTTGCAATTTTACATATACACGCTTCGAGTACTGTGTAAAAGCGTCCATAGTTGGCAAAAATTTACAAGGATTACTTTTTTATTGTTTTTTATAATTTGTGTATACATATTGCATCTTTATATTTGAGCCAAATGAATATTGCTTGATTTTTCCTTGTCATATAAAGTCAGTTTCCAAAAAGTAATTGGAACTTTATACATTGCTAGTACTAATTGTCAACCATGTTCAACTATAGTTTCAATAGTCATATTGATGTCTTTGAATTGTTTTGCATGTTAGGTAAGGTCGAGGTTTATATTTTGAAATATGTTGAAGAATTTCATTTTGCCTTGGCCATAGCTAGCGGCTACTGTATCGCAACCTGTGAATGCATGAAGAAATAAAATATTTTCTTGGACAAATGGGAGGTGCCTCGAAGAATATAATTCAGCTGGTTTATTTATCTCAGTTGGCCTTAAAAAAAATTCTAAATTACTTGGAGTAAACGCAGTGATTAGCACTAAGACGTCCCTGTCTTCTGACACAACAACTACTTTTTCATTAATATCTTCGGTCAATTTTATTGCAGTTATTACTATGGTTTTATCCGCATCAGCTGAATATTGTAAATGATTAATTTTTTTTTCATCGAGTTTATTTTGTAACATATTTTCCTTGAAATAAATGTATTAAAAATGAAATAAATGAATTAAATACTATTTACGATACAACTTAAGAAGACAAAATGATTAGGGCCCTCCTGTGCCAGGTGAATGGTAGTTTATTTTCGTAGTGATATTCATTTTTAGCTACCCCGTAAACCCTACAAGATTGAAATTAGACTCATTTTTATCGATATTTAGTGAAATACATATATCGAAAAAACCGTTAGTTCAAGATGCATTTCTAAAATGCATTTTTCTCATCCACGGATGCAATTTTTAATTTTTCCTTCATAAATTTTGTTCACAAAATTTTTAGACGCTCCCCCGAATCGAATGCCGAAAACCGCTTCTCCTCCGACTTACTGTTAAAAAAATTGGAGATTTGGCCGTTTTTAGTGCCTTATTTCCTCAACTGAAAAGAAGTGTTGTAATTTGAAAATCATTTGACAACAAAATCACGCTTTTTACTGGATCCACCATTACCATCGGTTTACCATCGGTCGATAATATATTTTATAATATTGACAGCTGCGCAAGGTAGAGCGGAGTCCATAAGAGAGGATTAAATGTCAACTAATGATTATGCACGTGTCCGCCTATACATATGGAAATAACCGGCCGGCGCCTGTATGTAAACAACACCAAATCACGTTAGCTGACAAAACTGTGGCGACTAGTGCGAGTGTGCGTCGTTTTTAATTGAAATTATAGGGCTTGTTCAAAGTGATAAGATCAGTCATGGAGGCGAGATTATTTCAGACTCGACGATTTCGTCCTTATATCGATGGCAGTCAGAAATATCGCTGCAAATGGTCGAGCGACGATCGCGTAGCAATTTTAACCCTCAACGAGGTCATAATATACGTAAGTTATTTTCCGATTCGCAGTACGTTTACTTTATTCCTTGACAATAAAATTCCATTCGATTTATAAAAACAGATTTTACTTTATTTTACTTTATTTTCTAGAGTATTGTGCACAAGATGACCGAAGTAGATGTAAACAATTACTTAAAATTATCCAGTCCGAGCTTTATCTACGCGCGTCAGGAAATTAACACCTCTTCTGATGATCTAGATTCCTCCGATGAGCTTTTTGATTTGAGGAGGCAAGATTACTTGAATACTCGATTTCCGGATGATTGCGAAATGGACAATGAAATTAGAGACGTTTTTTGGTCGCCGAAAAATTTAATAAATCCAAACCAATGTATGCTAGCCGTTATAACATCCGATGGTGTTTTAGAACTGGCTGCACAAGCGGATGATGAATGGATTTCTGTTCATGACTTTACCACTCAATGGAATCAAATTATCAACCCTTCTGACATGACCGATAATGGGAGTTTAGCAGCCTGTAAATCAAATTCTAATCGATTATTTTGCGCAACTTCGGCATGGAGTTGCTGTTATAAAGATGATGACCAGTCAAATTATGCCTACTTTATATCAGCTTATGAAAGTTCTGAAATTGCAATTTGGAAAGTTAAAGGTATAAATAGTGAAGATATTGGACTTGATTTAAAAATGGATATAGAACTTAAATTTAAATACAAACTTCAAAATACTGCAATTATCAGTGCATTATCATGGATAGAAATAGATAAGGATAATTACATGCTTCTTGTGGGATTCAGTGATAGTCATATTGATTGCCTTAAAATAAACCAACACAAAAGTGAAATTTTAATGTCATTTTGTGAACCAATTTTGAATAACTCTAACTATGGTCCAGTTAACTCCATTCAGTTAGTGGAACAAAAAGACAATTTTATCGATGTTGTAGTTATTAATGAATGCATTTTAAGTACGCTTTGCATCAATACCAAAGGAAATATGATTAGCATGAAATGTGCTACTTTTCCATTTGCTATAACTGGTAAGAATTTTTTTTATTATTTACTTCTAATTAATCATAGTTATGAAAATCTCACTGATATTAAATTTATATCAAAATAGGTGCAAGTCATATTGAACCTGATTTGATGTTAGTCACTACTATTGAGTGCAACATGTTGATAGTTAAAAATTTACAAAATCAAAAAGAAATAACTTATACAGAAATAAAATCAGATTTACCAAAAGATGGTCTGCAATACCTAGGACTAGGATGCTCTCAAAATAAAGTTATATTTTCAGTTATTTGCAGTCCAGCTGTAGTACATGATGCCTTGGCTAATAGACAACCTAGTTCAATAAATTTTTTTAGTCTATTTGACCTTTTTCAAAAAGATCTCGTTCTTACACTTCTTAGTAAACCAACTCTACAGGATAACTGGGACTTTTTGGAGTTGATTAAAGTTAATATGTTAAAAGACAATGATATTTCGCTGAATTTGAAAAAACTTATATCAAATTTAGAGAAGTTATCTTTTCATGAGTGTCGTGTTGCATATTGGATCATGTCATTTATTTTGGTAGCAAAGCAAAGTAATGAGCAAGAAGATACAAACTTACAATGTAATGTAAACTTGGCTGAACAAATCGAAACAGCAAAATCATACATATTATCCTATTCAGCATCAGAACGACTGAAATATTTGTCCCAACAAGAAATATTGAATGATTATCAAAAAATGAGTATTTATTTATTACAATGTCATTTAAATGTATGGCTTGCTGGCGAAGATAAGGAGTCAGAAGATAAGGAATTAGAAATGCCACTTATAATGACAGTCAAAGAGGCTCTAAAAGTCACTAGCCAATTTGAAGATGTACAACAGGAGAACTGTGATAAATGCAATGTACCAATTTTGGAGCCTTGGGCTGAAAGCTGTTCATCTGGTCACTTTTTGGAAAGATGTCCGATAACAGGTCTCCAAGTACACGAAGTACGACACCGCATGTGCTCAATTTGTCATCAATTGTATCACCCTTGTTTAGATGCTGAAATTGATGAGATGAAATGTTTATATTGTCATTTGCCAGTAATGTATGATACAAATATTCCTTTTGAGAGTCTACATATCAGTGATAAAAATTTATCTAGGCCTAACAAAGGAGCTTTTTCTGATAATGAATTTCTAGAGGATATTGATGATTAACTCATACAGGTGTTACATTAATGGTTTTAGATCTGTGAAGAACTATTTTTAGTTAATCAGCAAAATAATGTTTTAATTACAGCTCTCTTGTAAATAATTGTACTTATAAGTGTATTCAATGAATGAAACAACTGTATAGAATATACAAACCTTATGTAAAAACTTTTTTCCGTAAATACAAATAAATACATATATTTATATTACAATTCTCAGTTTGGTGCCAAAGTTTTTCAATTCTTTTTTTTAAATCGTTGACTTTTCCATAACTATTGTTGAAATTATAAAAATGTAGTTTATTGCTACATACACATACATACGTCCTTCTAATCGGTATAGACGTGTAGTAGGAACAAATACACCAAAAACCGAAGAGATAACAGCACCAGTTACTGGATGATCTAATAATTTACAGGTACAAGTACAACATAATGAGGTGTTTAATTAATGAAGAGCAAGCAGGAACGACTTAAAGTTTTAATAGTACCATAACGTATCCTTCTACTACTTTCTGGATATATTATCCATTAAGAAATGTAATATTTAGAAAAAATTAATACTAAATAATTTACATTTTGGAAAATATTTTTGCATGTGAAAATTAATAACTTTACTTTGTAAAAGGCTTAAATTTAATCAAAAATTTTATTGTTAATATATTACAATATAGTATATACACTTGAAATTCATTCATTTCATTTAGCCTAACTACTCGAAAACTTGAACTTTCGATTTTAAAATTTTCAAAGATGATTGACAAATTCTAAATTTTTTATTCATCTAATCAAAAAGATTGTCTAAAACGCTCAAGAGGTTTTACCCAATCGCTCGATGCGACACAATCGAACGACATAAGACGAATGAAACCACACTGATAACCGGATGCTAGCCATAGAAAACTCTCGACGTTTGGGTTCCATGATACCTGCAATTAATTATTATGTAATGATAAAGTGATAACTGGTGGAGAAAATTATTAAAAAATGTTATTTTTGTTTACTTTGTTGACCCTTAGTAGTGGAAATTGATCAACAGGCCATGACTTCAATTCTTCCCTAGTCATTGTTTTTTTCGATGATTTTCCAATAATTTGATTTCTAATGTAATAATTTTGTAGAGCCTAAAAAACCGTAATTATTTAATAAGATAATCTTATTTCAAAGAGACTGAGTAAAAAAACTTACAGTCATTTGATTGTTGAATACAAGCCCGTGATTTCGAAAATCTTCATAGATTTGGAAATCGTTTTCAGTCTGGTTTTTGTTCACATTTTGTGATTTTTTTTCACCTTCTTCAGACGTTTCACTTTGAGCAGTTAAATCATGAACTTCTACTCCTGCAACCAGCTGCAGAAAATTTTAATTTGTTCAATTTGAATTACATATTGTTGGTAATCTGAATAATAAAGGCTAAAACTTACAGAAATTTTGCGTAATTTAGGCACCAACCGGTCCATATCTCTCAAATTATTTATAGCATGAGGAAAAATTACTAAAATTTCACCTGCCACAGTTCCAGTAGCTACACCATTAGAAAAATCTGATGCTGCAACCGTCTGAAAGTAAAAGTAAAATTAAAATATGAAAATGAAAACCTAACGATGTGTATGAGTTTTCAGACTTACATAACTTGAGGAATTTAGTGGCAAAAGATTGTAATCTTTGTAATTGTATCTTTTGAAAGGAAAACAATAAACGTAGGTGTGATTCAGACTAAAAAAAAATTAAATGATAAGTTTGAAAATTTTAATTGAAAAATCATATATAATTCATAATACATACCTTAGAGAGTGGTCGTAAGTGAGTATTCCAGACCCCCAAACGTTTAACCAAGCGCCATCGGTAATCATGCTTTTCTTACTATTCAATTTTCGAGAGTTGTTAAGAGATATATAGTGATAGCCACATTTTGTTTTCCAAACTTTGTAGTCTCTATCCAAACTAGCAGTTGCTAAAATATCATGAGTAGCGTCGAAATGTAACACTACAAATTCATCAAATAATTAGAAAATTCGAAATAAAAGTGTAACTTAATGTTAGAAAATAATTTACTCGTTATTGCATGCTGATGAGCTCTGAACATTCGAGTGGCTCCATAGAAAATTCGATTATTTCGCTCGAAAAGCCATGGGTGGTTCGGATCGTCGATATTATTCCAAAAAGCTACCATTCCGTTAGACAGTCCTCCGACGACAGTACTGTAAATTCATGATTATCTATTTATAGAATTGAAATTAAACACTTTTGTGTCAAAAGAAGTGTACTTACGTATGGCCCTTTTGTTTCGTCCAACATATTCTCGTAACTTTGAAGTCTTGTTTACGAGCGTCATAAACTTGGGAAGACAAAACCAATGTCATTACAGGATCCGTCTTGTATATTCTTTCTCTGGAATTGATTCACGAGCACATTACATTTAAAATTTTATACTTTTGAACGCCATTGCAGTTATTCATTTTATTATTATTTTTTTTTTATTACCTGTTCTCATTGGGTCTGTTTGGCAAGTTTTCTGGAAAGTCCAGAGCATAAATATATACACAACCATCGGAACAAGCAACTGCTAGTAATCCCATTCTCGACTTTACATCGTCGGAAAATCCGCATTTTTCGCCTAAATTTTCATTCTGATAACAACCTGATGGGCAAAATTCCATGGCTAAAACGATACCACCTTCATTAAGTATACCATATGAAAATTCTGGTGTGCTTCTGTGACCCTTTCTAAAATAATAAATTATTTAATAGAGTGCCATGAGTGATTATTAAAACGTAATGATAAAAATACACAAGTACATACTTGTTATGAAGTTTCCCAACATTCCAAATTTGGATAATATTTTTTCCGGAATATGATCCAAATATGTCTAGTTCAAAATCCATTGATGGGAAAGTAGTAACTGCAAGATATTGGTCCAAGTCACTTGAATCGATTGTACTAGGTAAGGGTAGCCACGCCAAAGAAGACACAGGACCCCCGACAAAAAATGTTTGATCACCTTGAACAATTTTAAACATAAATGTTACATTTTAAAAGTAAGTAATTTAATTTTTTTTATAGTAAATAAAATTTACCCTTGATGCATTCGTTTTCGAATAATTTAAATTTTTTCCATTCTTCACTCTGTTCTTTAGTTTTTTCTTTTGTTTTAACATTTATTGATTCAAAAATGTTGAAACATTCTTCAATTTGATTCTTGTTGCATAATTCGTACAACTTCACATCAAATGAAATCATTGAATTCTTTTGAAATAAAATCGTTGAATACTGCTCCTTTTGACTAAAAATAATTTATTAGATGTTTTAAAAATGTTAATAAATTATAAGAGAACGAAATGCGGTAACTTACAACTCTAAAGTCCATTTGAATGCAGGAGTGAGTACATTATTTGATCTGTAATCAAAGTTGTCCTCGTCCAAGAATTTAAAACGTTTAGGATCTACTAAATGAAGAATACTTAAGATGAAAAGTCGGAAAGATGACTAAAAAAATTTTGTGAAGTAGTCTTTACCTATTCCTCTCTTATTCATTTGGGGTTTTTTAGATGGTTTTTTCACAACTTTTGTATTTGCTGAAGCTTCTTCTTCACTCTCGGATGCCCCGCTCTCAGCTCCCGAAACATTTGAATCATAATTTTCTTCAAGGTGATTTTTTACTGCGTGATTTAGAATCTCCTCTTTGGATAAAGATTTAAATTCACACTTTTTGCAATTGTAATACTGTTGCGGCCGAAAACTGCATTCATTATAATGCTTTTTGATTTCTTCAATAGTGCCACAACTGAAATTACAGCCCAGTGATGTACAAGTGGCCTTTTCACCTTTAGCGATGGTTTCTATCCATTGCTTTATAGCAATACTTGCAATCTTTCTTGGTTTTGGAGTCTCAATGACATTTTTCTGTAAATGTAAGAAATTTAAACAATGTTCTATTATAAAAAATTAAAAATTTGTTTAATACCATTTTTCTAATGGAGACTTTTTCTTTTTCATCTTTGCAATCACTCATTACTTCTTTTAATTTTGAATCAGCCCTGAAATACATTAGTTATTTAATTATTTTTAAAATTTATAAAACTTTTTTGATGTTTTGTATTAAAATTACTTTTCTGCAGCTTTTCTTTTAGGTTTTTGATCATCAGTGGATTCTGGTTCCGTCAATACAGGATTCAGTTTTTTCTCATCCTCTTTTTTATGCCATCTGACATGGTAATCACGTGAAGCAGGTTTCATAGTGGCGTTACAAATCTCACAGACGTACATGAGAGCTTTAATTTCCTGTGAAAATTTTATAACGAGCGAGCGTGAGCGAGCGAGGAACGACGCTAGTTTTGTATAAATGACTGCGTTGAATGAAATTAAAAGAAAAGAAAGATTATAAAACAACTTACATCTTTGGTTTTGCCACAAAATAGAATATGTGAATTGTAGCCGTCGACACTGCGCATTACCTCCTTGCATGCAACATCGCATATCAAAGAACCTTTTCTTAATTTATGAGCTTTTTTGATAATTTTCTTTATTTGATCTTCACTGAAATTCTAAGTTAGAAGTTTGTAAATTTTGATCTGTGCATGTGAAAAGCGAGAAATTTCCCGATAAAAGATAAAAGCTTTACTTACTGGTTTCTCTTTGTCGCTTTGCCATCCTAAATTATTATGTGATTGTAAATTATGTCGAGTCCATTGTGTATTAAGCATTTCTTCTTTGCATTTACCACAAGTTACATTCCAAGTTGATGGTTCCTATGTATTAAATTAATGGCTGTATTAGGATCGGCAAACAAATATTTTATTAGACTTGGAAATAGTTTTTACCTCTGGCTTTGGCATTTCGTCCTTTTGCTTTGCAATAGGTTTCATGAATGATTGAATAGAAGTCTGCATACGTTGTGGTTTAAAATCTTCATCACGTTTTGTCCTTTTACCACGTGGTCTCCCTCGTTTACCAGAAATTCCTCTCTTCCTAGTTAACGATTCTTCAGGATTACCATCATCACTTTCAATCTCACTCACTTGATCACAAGTAGAGTCAGCCGAAATCGTTTGATTCACAATAGATTCATTGTTTGAATTTACTGATCTGTTGCGCAAAGAAGAATCTCTACCGCTCTTTCTTGGTGAAGCACTTTGTTCTTCATTTTTAGCATTAGTTTCATCATCTAAAAATTAAACGAATAATTATAAATTATAAGTATTTCAGTTTTTTTAAATTTGAAAATAATTATTTGTTTCATCCATAGTATTTTCTGTTAACATGTTATTTAATCAAAGACTAAATTTTAAGTCAGTTACTATAAACCTACTTGTAATATATTATTGCAAAAATTAATTTACCCATGGATGCATCTGCAAGATGGGAACTATCCATATTTTCAATGTTTTTTGTTTTTTTTGGTCGACCTCTCTTCTTAGGAGTCTCAGGTTCAACAGTATTTTTGCTATATTGAGATTTTTCAGTATCTTCAAAACTAAATGTAACACCTTTTTTTGTAGGACTTACATCAGATTTTGCTGATGTAATACAAGATTTTTTATGAACTATACCAACTTTAGATATCTCAGAATTTACATTATTACCGCTTAAACTTTCATTAGCTAAATCTGGAGAACTAAGATTTTTTGATTCTTCAGGAGGTAATGTGGCTGATCTTCTTGAACGCCTTAAACTTCTGTCTTGACTAGAAGAATTTTGAATTGAGTTATCAGAAATAATATCACTGCTTGCAGTTGTTTTATCAACAGAAATTGAACTTGGTTTAACATCTGTCTTTGTAGGACTAGTATCTGATTTTTTTGGACGTCCTCTACGTTTTTTTGGTATATCAACTTCTTTGATGTTTTTCGATACTTCTTCAGAATTATCTTTAAAAAAATAGAGATCATTTCAAATTTTTAAAATGAACAATTTTTAAATCTATTGTAATTCCATAATTCAAATTTGTACAACCAAAACATACCCTGTGCATTAATTGTATTACTAAAGTTATCAATATCTGTTGATAAATTTGAAGAATCATCATTTACATTTTTTTGGCTTCCCATATCTTCAACATTTTTTTCATCAAGCGGGCCAACCAATTTTTCTACTATAAATCAATGTGTTTAAAAATAACAATGAGTAAATATAATTGGATTTTTTTATAACACACACATTTTTAGATCAAATAAAATTGTATTAATTGCCACACCTGCAGATTCACTAGTTTCGATATCCATTTTTGAAACTTCACTTTCCAACTTGGAAGCATTTTCATCAGAGTTTGTGGATAATTTTTTATCTACCTTAAAAAAATTTGTTATTTCCATTGACTTTCGTGGACGGCCTCTTTTTTTGTTCATACTTATTGTTTCAGTATCTTAAAAATTTATCATATTACCACTTTAGCTTTTTCATTCTAAATGCCTTCATTCATGAATTGAATAACAAGTAGAAACATTTACCTTTATTTGGAGGAATTTCCTCTGACTTTTCAATGCTTTGATCGACCTTAGACGGCCTACCCCTTTTCCTTGGGAAAACCATGTTGTTTTTTTGTTTAAACAAATTTAATCGGCTATCTAGAAGTAGACAAATGAACTTCTTATATTCGGGTTTTGTAAACATTAAAATCTGACACAGCAAATACTACGCTTTATGATGAACACAAGCGGTACTCCATTACAATTATAATTCAAATTTACCTAAAAAATGCAGCGAACTTAATGGACCAAGGCTAGAATGTATATAACGAGAAAATTTCGGCACAGGAGTCGAAACGTGTGTGATTTCGATTCAAGCAAATGATGCAATGAATACAAGCAGTAAAAGCGGCATCATAAACACACACGTGCTTTTTGACAAGAAAAAATGTCGCTTTCTGTTTTCCAATTTGCGGCGCCAACTAGCGGAGAATATCCTTCATAGAGCGCGAATGATTTAAACAGCACTGGAGTAAGAACATACCTGAACTTGAAAATGAAAGCAAAAATGGAAGAAACATTCAAATATGAACATTTGTGTTACGGAGAAAGCCACGCATCAGTTCAATGAAAGTAGGCCTTGGGTTGAGAAGAAATTTCCCAACGGTATAAGGGCGAAATTTATAGTTGTGTTCTGAGTGTTCGGTAAATGCCCAAGAGTGGTTGGTATCCTCGATTGACGCGCAAAAGCTTAAGGAGGTTCGGGGTACTTACTTTATTTTCTCTACAATCATCTTCGAAGATGTACAGTGTGAGAATTGTGATTTATGAAACGTACGGCTAATACTGGATCCTTGGGTTGAAAATTGTTTATCTGGTCACTTTTTGGAAAGATGTCCGATAACAAGTCTACAGGTGCAAGAAGATCAATATCGTTTATACACAACATCAGTCATACCACTTTTGCTTAGACGCTGGAATCGACGAAATGAAATCTTTGTACTGTGATCTGCTGGTAATATATTATGATACAGATCTTCTATTTAAAGCAAAGCAACTACCTCTAAAGATATTGATAATCAAATGTCAGAGAATATTAATGAATAACTTGTAAGGATACTATTTTCACATTTTTAAATATGTAGAAAACCATTTTTAGTTCAGTATCAAAATAAAGTTTTAATTAAAGCTCTCTCACAAATAATTGTACATATAAGTGTATTCTTTATAAAACAGCTTCAGATCGTGAATGATTCATGTTTATAAAATATAATAAATATAACTAAAAAACTCTATGTACAAACTTTTTTTGGGAATTAAAAAAATTACTATTACCAAATCTTTTATTTTTTAAAATGAAAAACGCAAAAAGCCGTGAAAATTAAGATGGTTTAGTTAGTTGTCGTAGAAATTTGCAATTTACAATAAAAAATGTTTTAAGAATTGAAAAATAGAACTTTAAAAAAAAAATTGTGTAACCATCTACGTTTATACATATCTCTAATTGATAAAGTTTTCATCTTTAACATCATTAAAGCTTTTTAAAAAATAATTATTGAATAATAAGTTTCATTTGTGTTTAATTAATAATATTTTCTATTCAAATTGTTAAGAGTGGATTTCCTAATATCTTTAATCAGATGCACCAAGAAAATCAAGTACTACATTTTGGGGCTTTTTCTTGAAACTTATTTCTAAAGTATTATCGTGAAAACGTAAATTACCCAGAAATATTTTTGCAAGATTATCACTATCTCTTTGTGTTTGTGATCTCAATGGTCGACCTCTTTTTTTTAATTTTTTATCTTTTACAGTAATCTTGGTACATTGAATTCTATCGATGTCATCTATATTGTTTTTATCTACATTATTACTGCTTGAACTTTCACTAGATAAATCTTTAAAACAAGGATTTATACATTTTCCAGAAGATTTTCTTGAGTTCCTTAAATTTGTATCATGACTAGAAGAATTTTCAGCTAAATTACTACAACCATATGATTTTTTTGGGCGTCCTCTACGTTTTTTTGGTACATCTAATTTTTTGGTATTTTTTGTAGCCTCATTGGAAACATCTTTTAAAGAATAAAAATAATTTATATTTTTTTAAATAATTTTTCAATCCCAGAAAATTGGTGATCCCAATTTGCCCAATAACTTACCAGAGATATCAATTGTTGAGCTTTCTTCCCTTTGATAATTGATTTCCATAATTTCATTTTCCTTATTAAGAGAACCGTCTAATTCTTTTACTACAAATTAATTTGAAAAATAAAAGTAAAATGATGGATGAGTATTATTGGACTTATTTTACAAATAAATTTTCAAGTCAAATACAATTTAATAGATTGACATACCTGTAGATTCAGTCGTTTTAATGTTGGTTTTGGAAACATCACTTTCTACCTCAGAAACAATTTCTTCATAGTTTATGAATTCATCTATTGTAGAAAAATTTCTTACACCAAGAAGATTTGACTTTTTTGGACGACCTCTTCTTTTATTTTTACTTATTGTCTTCCTACCTTTAAAAAAGTATTGAACAATTTTATTGTTTCTTTGAAATTACGACCATTTATCTATTGTTTCATATTCATTTAAAATGCCTTCAAAAATTTACCTTTATTTGGATGAGTTAGCTTGGACCTTTTAACGCTTGGATCATTCTTAAATGGCCTACCTCTTTTCCTTGGGAAAACCATGTTGTTTTTTTGTTTCAACAAATTCAATTGACTATCTGGAAGTAGACAAGTAACATTTTTTCATTTGAGTTTCATAACGAAATCCGAAATAAATTTGATACTTTTAGATGACCTGTATGAAAACAAGCGGCCCCATGTTTTAAATTTACCTATAAAAACTTAACAAGCGTTAAAAACTCTGAGGTGGAAATGTGAACACGAGAAATTTTCGAAACAAAATTACTGTTCATCTGCGGTCGAGGATCCGAAATGTGCGCGATTTTCAGTATCAAGTACTCGAATGAGAGAGCGAAGTAAACACACCTGACAAACGTGTTTTTTGACAAGAAAAAAAAGAAAGCATCGGCGGGACTGGTCGATACCCCAGAGCTTTTGATTTTTGCGAGAAAATAATTTGGGTATCAAACAGTCTCCAGATCAAACTATCGGCTACAGCGACCTGCGGCTATCTGACTCGTGCGATTTATCTTTTGACGCCGATAAATTTTGATCTTGAACTTGAAAATGAGTTAATCTAACCAGACATTACTTGGAAATCAATTGTAAAAAATGAATTGAAAACATTTTCGTTGACCATTGTTTTTACTGCGATTTCTATGGTTAAATTATCTGTACTTTATTGTATTTTAGATGCGATCTTTAAACAATTAAAATTACCCGTAAATTGAAACAGATGAAAATATTACACGCGTTCATTTCTTTGTTTTAAATATTATCATTAACGATCATGAATGATGATGAACGAAAATTTCGTACGATGAAAAAATATAAATAATAAGTATTAATAATGAATAATTTTACCACTTTTGTTTGGAAAATCTATATCTGTTGATGGGAAATCGGCGTCAACTTCGATTGGAGATTTTGACTCAATTAATTTCGTAATCCTTCCTCTACGTTTTTTTAAGGGAAAATGAGCGGTTGGGGAGAGTTGATGAGGATTAACTGCAAAAAATGAAAAAAACGTTTTCATGAATTATTATGAGGCCTTTTTCAAAGTGAGGTTAAAACTTATTACAGGGTTAAAACTTTTCCTGCACTTTTATAACATTATTTACCGCTAACTTTTTCAGATTTCATGTCAAGGTCGTACGTATACTTATGATTAAAATGTGTCCAAGCAATAAATATAATGCAATCGTTGTAAGATTTGAAACGTGCATTGACACGTGATATTCCGTTCTCTATTCAACACCCCAAAGATGCAGGACTTATTGTTACCGGTGTCGACATTCAGAGCGCACGTGACATTCATCCGAGGAATGACAAGTGTGCGAAATTCAATATCAAAACAAGCAAATAAAACGGTCAACAAGACAACAAAACACTAATCGCATAAGAACCGGACTCCACCTGCTGGCTAGTTTCAATTTTAAATTCAAATAAAGGTGCTTTCATACTCGAGTCAAAAATTGAGCTTGTAGTTTTTACAGCTCTCCACAACGCAGACGCCAAACGGAGATCGTGAGTTACAAGATCTCAAGTTTATTATTGTGAGGCTTCAAACTTCAAGTGATCGCTATATTGCAACCTCAAGCCGTAAGTATTTGATGGTGTTTGTACCTAAAAGCTGAAATACTTGAAACTTTGTTAGTTTTAGAGCAATCAAAATATCCCTACAATGATGTTAAATACTATCGTCAATTGTAAAATTGAATAATATTCAATTTCTCTAGTGCTTATAACCACGTGTTTCTGCTTGCCGTCAGATTGACAGTCTATCATCAAGTGATATTTGAATTAAATTGAAGTTGAAAAAATGGAAAATTACGACGACGATGTACCTACTCTGTCTGCTGAAACGTTGCTGGCTTTGCAACAATTTTACGATGAACGAAACGAACAAATAGAAAAATTCAATCTTGACGTGAAAAATGCAACGACCGAAATAAAATTCGAAGAAAATTGGGTGAGCGTATTGAATTATAATTTTGTTTTTAAAAAACTTACATGGTTATTTAATGAATAATTTTGTTTTTATAGCAATTAAGTCAGTTTTGGTATGACGAAACGACTATACGTGAATTATCACAAGCTTGCATCAATGCTTGTCCACCGGGTGGGAGTATTGCTCTGATTTCATGTCCATCACTTTACCAAGCAACAGAAAAAATAAGAGGAGATCGAACAGGTTTGAAATACTTTTAACGAGTTACTTTTAAGGTTCAATAAAGTATTCTTTTTACTAATCAAATGACTCATTATTTTTCTAGTCAAGCTATATGAGTTTGATACAAGATTTGCTGTCTTTGGAGAAGATTTTGTTAAGTATGATTATAACAGCCCTAAAGAAATATCGCAAAAACATATAGGAGCATTTGATGTTGTTGTATGTGATCCTCCATTTCTCTCTCAAGAATGTTTATCAAAAACATCTACGACAGTGAAGCTTTTAACAAAAGGAAAAATTGTACTTTGTACAGGAGCAGTAATGAATGAAGAAGCAGAAAAATGTTTAAAAGTAAAAAAATGTATATTTGAACCTCATCATGAACATAATTTAGGAAATGAGTTTTGGTGTTATGCAAATTTTGATTTTGATTCATGTTTTGAAGGTTCTCAACAGAAAAGTTAATATTGCACTGAAAATTAATTATAATGAATGAAATGTTTAAAAAATTGTGAATTTTTAATGTAATTTTTGTACATATGTATTTATTGAAAATTATAATATTACTCAATAAATTATTTACAATCAAATATTTTGTTTCTATCACTTAGGACTGAAATGTAATTGAATTTTGGATAAATCCCAATAGTGGTGAGTTTCTAAACAAACCACTTTCATATTTTTCAAATATCCACATTTGTACGAAAATTATTTTTTTTTTAATTTGCAATCTTAAAAATCGAATCTGTTCATTCATTGCAAGTTTTTTGATTTGTCCCGTGATAATTATTCGCGAGTCAAAACAAGTTTCGCGAACGATAATCAGCACAATAATTGCAGACAACGCATGTGTTGTATGTACTGTATACACACTTCTCTAACGCAGTCAGACACAGTACTACATGGCGTGTAGTTAATTTTATATACCAGTGTACAGTGTGGCCGTTCATAGACGCGACTCTCAAATTTTTTATCAGAGTTCAACTCACTTTGTGATCCCTTTATTGCGATTTAATTGAAGGAATAATTTTTTTACAATCATGTCTAACAAATACGACGCGTAAGTACTTCATTTTTATTGTTCCGCCGTTCAAAGTGGTTTTTTTTTGCTTGAAGGTTAGATTCACCAAACGGCTGGTTTTACTTTGCTTCTGATATCTATTGTGTTTTGGTATCGCATAAGTTCCATGCTTGCTCGATTCTTGTTGTACCATGTTAACATTTTTTCTATCATTAGTGTTTTCTACTATAACGCTATATGTTTCATCGTTATTATGTTTGGCTATGATTTTAATCCATATTTTTTGTAAACAAAGTAATCTTTCCAGACTGAGAAATAATAGCGATGATAGCGACGACGATCATCACTCTCAAATCAAAATAGATCATAGAATGGAAAAAGAGGATTTGGTGAAAATTTGCTTTTCATTCTTAATTACGCCAAATAATCAGCAGTCTGTTTAACACGTTCAATTTTAATACAGGTTGCACCAACCATCAATCCACATGAACACAAATTACAGTATGCTTATGCCTTGTGGTACAGTAGGAGGAATCCTGGAAAACAAAATAGTATTCAAGCGTTCGATCAGAATTTGAAACTGATTGGAAGATTTGCTAGTGTTGAGCAATTTTGGGGGTTGTATAGTCATTTATCGAGGCCTTCAGACCTTGCCACCCATACAGATTTCCATCTTTTCAAAATTGGAATTAAACCTATGTGGGAAGTAAGTCACTATTCAAATAAGAAAAACAAATTTATTTAAGTGGAAAATAGGATTTACTAGAGTTATTTTGAATTTGCTTGTGTCTTTCTTTTCATTGAATCATTTTACAATAATGTTTTAAAACATGAAAATAACAATTTCAAGGAGCAATTTACAAGTTTTTAATGAAACGAAAATAACTTTGAGTGTTAAACTTTCTAAATAACTTATTTTAATAAGTTTATTAGCACCCAAAATACGTCCTTAAATACTGTCATTTCAATTCAGCCTTTTGTTTACTCAATCTACTAAAACTTGATAAATAATGAATATTGCTTTCGATGCAATGTTTCATTTAATAATTTGATTTTTTTGGAATTTCTTTTAGGATGAAGCTAATCAAAGAGGTGGAAAATGGATAGTACGTTTGCGTAAAGGTTTAGCTTCTCGATGTTGGGAAAATCTTATTTTAGCAATGCTGGGTGAGCAGTTCATGGTTGGCGAAGAAATATGTGGAGCTGTGGTTTCTATTAGATTTCAAGTAAGATCTCTCACATGTCCCTTTTTTTTGTGCAATTATTCTTTTTTTTATTAAACTTAAATTTTTCAAACTCTTTTGAGCTGATCTTCAAAACTAATTCCTTGGTTGTCAACTGAGAAAAATTTAATGAGTCAAATCTTAATTTATTACAGGAAGATATAATATGTGTATGGAATAAAACAGCCCAGGATGTTGCTACTACTGCAAGAATCAGGGATACTTTAAGACGCGTTTTACACCTTCCTCCGACTGCTACCATGGAATACAAGACACATAATGAAAGTTTGAAAAATGTTACAAGATCGTGAAGTTCAAAGAAAAACTACCTGAAATGAAGGTATATTTCCGTATCTCGATTTTTTACACATTTAAAAATTATTTGCAGAAAAGTACATTTACGTAAAAATATAAAATAATCATTGTAAACTTCTCTTCTTGGTGAAGAATTCAAATTGTACTTACAACAATGACTTTATATGTTTGAGTATAATATGCCATAGTGATAGTGACAAATTCATACTCTTGAAACGGTATTACTTCCTAACATTTTATCAATCAATTGTCATTTTGAAGCATCAATTTTGTGTGAATGTACAGCAATCAACAATGTAATTCATTGAATTTTTTGACATTTTGTAAATAATGCTGTAAATAATGGTTATAGAAATAAAATATAGGCAAGTCATTTTATTTTAATTCATTATATACTGGCCATATTTTTTTATCTGAAATTCTTAAAAATTCTATAAATAAGGTTAATTTAAAATTATTTATCATCAGAAAATTGATTTATTTAAAGTCATGATTTCTACAAAAATTTCATTTGAACCAAATGTAAAAATAATCTCAATTTACAAAAAAGTCTTGTTTGCACAATCATTCAAGAATATACAAGTTATTAATTTAAAATATGTATAAAAATATTGCTTCTCTTATCATAAGACAAACCTTATGGACTAGCATCAAAAAAGAGGAACAAGATATGCACATGATTCTACATACTTATTTGATCTCATGGATAATAAATCTATATTTATGTACAGGCAAAGCAAAAACCTTGCATTTATAGAAAACATTTTTTTTCTACTTTAAAGAAGCTTTAACCTCATGAACCATACTTGTGCATTAAATTTAACTTGTTTTTACAGTAGTTTTAAATTAAATTATTTTTGCACTTCTTTTCCAAATTTCATGATAATTATAAACACTCTCACACCAAAAAAAAACTTATTGTAAGCTCTAATGGATATTACATCTATCACATTAGATGTTCCACTTTTCATTAATTATTAATTAATTACCTTATAGCCTCAAGACAATAATAGTTACCATACCTGTAACAAATAAATTTAAACAATAATCTTGCATAAATGAATAAATTCAATAATAATATTACCTAAAACATAAGTCAATATCATTTTAAAATGCATTGACAAATGGAGGTAGTCTGGAATATGGTTGCTTTTTTCTCCCTCAGTAGGTAACAAAAGTCCAGCTATACAAATAATACCAGCTAAGAGAGCTACATAATTTGTATCTCCTAAAAATAAAATTATTTATTGATACTAGTTACTTGTAAAACCAAGATGAAATCAGTTTATCAAGTACTAACTGTTAGCAGTGCTATCATTAGCCATTAGAGTATAAGATTGTTGGTTTTTGCCAGTGTGCGGTAACTGTTGGAATAAATCTGGATCTGGAGTACCTCTTTCCATAGGTTCTGGAATACCGCTCACCACTTTTGCTTCTACATCTCTTTTCCCAAGAATCTAATAACAAATCCATTGATTAGTTCTGGCTTTTGAAACTTGAATATGATTAAATACCTGTTTTGTAGGATGCTCAAGCATTTGTATTCTGAATTTATCAATCGTACAGTTGATAGGCGTAAGGGCCATGTGTCGAACGACTATGTCCACACAACATCTGGGTTTGATAGTTCCTTCTGGATCTACCACTACATACTTATTTGGAGCTGTACAAAACACTGTTAAATGAGACAAAGAAGAAAAACTCATTAATCAAGTTGACAAAATTTTTTACTAAAAATGATCGACACACAAAATGATACCTTTAAACTTGACAGGAAAATCATAAGGATTGTAAAGTGTTAATATCTGTTTATGCGTCGACTGATCGTCAAGGTAAAATGTTATACTTTGCGGGAACACAAAAACAGGTAATTTTTTCGGCGTCACCGATACTTGAGATTGCATGATCACGTATTGATGCCTACGTGGATGTACACACAACAAAGGATCGGAGATTTATGTGATCACCAAACGCGCACTTTATTCTTACAAAATAACAATGCGATCACGTTGATTTTTTTCGCGAAACGAGTATAAGTACGGCTGAAAAACCAAAAACTCCAAAATAATTCATGGATCACAACACTCCGAGAGAAATTGCAAAAGACTTGTTTGAGCTTTATTCGGTAGATAATGTATCTTCTATATCTACGCAGGCTAGTCGACGGCTATCTTTGTACACACGAGAGTTTCTCCAATTTCTAATGTTTCAATGAACGTTCGATAATTTTGAAAAATGATGGAACAATTAAGGAGCTCGTTGGCATGATTACGCTCGCTTACGGACTATAAACTACTGTTGTGTTGATGCAGTGACACTGCACGACTACATAATATACGAAACGGAGCTCACAGCGAGTACATTATGTACGAGTATATAAAAAGATATGTAAACGAAAAGTGATTTGCCACATTCACTGGCGCAAACAGCAGCTGCTGCTGTTATTGTCCGTCAGCCTATATATGGGGCAAATTTCCTGAAGTGTCCTAGCGCTCTGCCGCACGGCATTTTTTGGCCGAATCACTCAATTTCTAACTCGCTGTAAAAGTATCAAAACGCCCCTCAAAAAAATAACTAACTAATGATTTTGATAGGAAATTTCCTCAGCTTTCTGATGGTGAGGTCCGATTTTCCGGAATTTTCCATTTTCACCTCGGAAAATGCAAGTAAACATTCAAACTCGAATATCTCGAAAAACGCCACTTTTTTTGCGTTTTTTATTGTTTCAATCGAAAGATGAGGTCTTTTTACATCGGATATGGTAGTTTTCAGAGTGTATTTTTGATGAAAACTAAGGAAAATACGGGAGGTTTTAGTTAGCGCTCGGCCGCTCGGCGCGATTTCCAGCCTTGCGCGGCTCGCTGTAACTTGTAACTCGCTCTTATGACATTGTGATTTGGCTGGAAAAATTATTAAACATATAGTTTCGATAGGAAATTTTGTCAGCTTTCTCATGGTGCAGTCGGATTTTCCGATAATTTACATTTTCACCAGAAAAAATGGACTTGAAGGTCTATTTTCTACTTTTTCTAATGAAAATGTAAATTATCGGAAAATCCGACTGCACCATGAGAAAGCTGAGAAAATTTCCTATCGAAACTATATGTTTATTAATTTTTCCAGCCAAATCACAATGTCATAAGAGCGAGTTACAAGTTACAGCGAGCCGCGCAAGGCTGGAAATCAGGCCGAGCGGCCGAGCGCTAACTAAAACCTCCCATATTTTCCTTAGTTTTCATCAAAAGTACACTCTGAAAACTACCATATCCGATGTAAAAAGACCTCATCTTTCGATTGAAACAATAAAAAAAGCAAAAAAAGTGGCGTTTTTCGAGATATTGAGCTCTGAATGTTTAATGACAATTTTCCGGGTGAAAATGGAAAATTCCAGGAAATTGAACCTCACCATCGGAAAGCTGAGGAAATTTCCTATCGAAATAATTAGTTAGTTATTTTTTTGAGGGGCGTTTTGATACTTTTACAGCGAGTTAGAAATTGAGTGATTCGGCCAAAAAATGCCGTGCGGCAGAGCGCTAGGACACTTCAGGAAATTTGCCCCATATATATGTTGGCAGTCGACACCACCAGATATATGTAATAATGTGTACACACACATTCGAATATATGCGTCGTATATATATCATCACAAATAAACGCAGTTTTGCATGCGCGTCGTCTGCATTTTCAATTAGAGAATATGATCCAGTTATTTGAAAAAAATAATGATGAATATGACTGAGATGCGTATTTCATGGTTTGATGAAATAACTCAAAAATTATAATTAATATTCGACAAATAATATTGATTCAAATGAATAAAAAAAAGGATTGAAGTTTATTGAGCTCTCAAAAATTTTATTTTATTTTATCTTAATTCACATATTCACTGCATCTATTGCACTAGGCTGAAGTAATTACTACTTAAAGGGCCCTTATCTTATCACTTCCCACGTATTCATTAAGGTGCTGACACTTCAATCAGCTGATATACGGTCAGTCGAGTCGGCTCCTAGCGTTGTTAAAGACGACGTGTACGCATTAGAGAACTTTTTCGGCAATGTTCTGCTCAAAAAGTTCAAATTGCTGAATTAAAATCAAGTTCGCTCCAAGTTATTTGATTAATTTTTTGTTAACGTTTGTTTGTTGTATAATTTTTAAAGCTTTACTATGACTCTTTTTCACTTTGGCAATTGTGTGGCGTTGGTTTATGTACCTTATCACTTAACCTACAAGTACTCCGGACTGTAAGTAAAGTTTTGTTTATTGTTAAATAACTCGTCAGTTTCGTCAGTCGCCGGTGCAATCGAGAAATTTACATTTTTTATTTTTTCAAGCTCCGAGTATGGCGCATTTTGGAAATGTGTGCAGGCTGGTGGTATTTACATATTTGTGCAGTTGATTAAGATGTTAGCATTAGCTACATTTTTCCCAACTGCAGATTCTGAAGGAGCAAAACTTGGTTTTGACTTCATAGGGGTAAGTTGAAATTATCTTTTTCATTGACAGATGTTAATATTTCATTCTGATACTTTAATTTTTTTCATTTAGGAACTCCTCAAGTCATCAATGGATATAGCTGATTTAATTGGAATCTATTTAGTTCTTAATAGCATACCTGGAAAAGGACATGCCAAAGTTCTTACAGCTGGTATTGGCTGGGCTAGTGCTGAAGTTGTTTTAACAAGATTTTTGTTACTGTGGGTTGGAGCTCGGGGAGCTGAGTTTGATTGGAAATACATTCAAAAAAGTTTGGAATCAAATATTAGTTTGGTAAGTTATCTTAGCATAGAGTTTTTGGAATATATTTTTGTACTGAATTCTTTTGTATTTCTAAAATTAAAATACTGAAATATTTGTTATAGGTTCAACACATAACAACAGCAACATTGGTCTGGTTGTGGTCAAGGCATGACCTGAAACAAAGATTTGTGCCAGTAGTTACTAGCTTGTTATTCATTACTGTTTACAGACCATTAATAGCTGAAATGTTGATAACTTCATTTATGATCGGACCCTGGTCAGCATTATTCATTAAAGCTATTCATGCTACTGTTTTGGGATCAGTGACATTACACATATATTCTGCTCTTGCACATTCCATAGGAATTTTTTAAAATCCATAAAATCATGAACTCAAAATGTATTTAACAATCATTGTTTTATTAATAATAGTGTAATTTTTTGTATAAAAAATTAGGATTTTTTTAACTGTACAATTTTTTCCAAATTATATATTCAAATTATCTTATAAATTTGTTAAAACATGATCATTTATTTTTAATCTATACAACACTCATAATTTTTTTTTTCACTGAAGTATTACGTCAGTCTTTCTCACAATGAATAGAAAATTATTTTAGTATTCTATTCAATGGAATTTTATATATACAGGCTCTTGAAAATGTATTTGTGATAAGGATATTGAATGTAATTTTTTTTATAAAAATCGATTTCACTGATGACTGATATTGAATACTTTTTCAAATATCCAATAAAACTACATTCTAAAACAAAAAAAAACAAAAGAAACAAACCATTTATTTCTTCCAACGAGATAATTATCATTTTTGCACTTAATTCAATCTTCATCAGAAGTATCTGGATAGTAAGCTGCAGGATACCCATATGGATCATTGCCCCCATCCCACCTATCATTCATACTATCACTATTGCTTGAGTTGCTGCCGCCATACTGATTTTCGTCATCTGATTCTAGTTCACGGGCCTGAAAACATAAAAATTATTAATTTTTCCAGGAAAAAGAAAACTATGAGAAAAATGCTCTTTGCAATAAATAAAAAGATATATTCAATTTTCTTACCATTCCTGGGTGTGTGTTAAGTTGCCTTAACATAATCCACAACATTCGTCCATCAAAAGAGTCATCTTCCAAACTAAGAGGTCTAGCTTTCAGAGAAATATTTTTTTTCACTGCCTGTTGAAAGATCAAATTAAATATTTGATTCAGAAAATGGTTTAAAAGTTTCTTTAGGTTTTAAAAACCTACCACTTGTAATGCTTTCTTAGTATCAGGAACAACATCTTCTGATGGTATCCATATTTTTACATCATGATCGAGACCACTAGTAGCTAAAACTGGAAGAGTGGGGTGAGGTTCCAAAACGTTTACCTAAATTATATCATAATCAAGAATTTAAAAATCAATCAAGTTTTAGCAAGTAATTATTATAATTATAAGGTTCTTACAACTCCACTAACGTCTCCATTCATCCACTTAACAATAGCTTCTGTCTTTTTGTCCCAAATATATATATGACCATCGTCTGATCCAGATAACACAAATTCGCTTTTTGGTCCAAAGAAGTTAACACCTTTTACTGTAATAAAAAGGATCAGATATACTGAAATGATTTGATCAAACTAAAGCTTATTTTAAAAAAAATCAACAAACTTGTTGCATGATTGCGATGTCCTTCATATCTATGAACTGCACAATCGCCATTGTCTGGCATTTCTAAATCGAATAAATGAATATCATCGCAACTGTATGATGCTAAAATCTCGGTCCCATTATAATTATATGTTGCGCATGTTATGTGACAATATTTGTTAGTTACCTAGAACAGATAAGTCGAAAGTTTTATATACTTTTAAGCCTTTTTTTATCATTAATGTACAGTATAATAATAACTACAAGCTTCATACCATTGAAGTTGGACATAAAATTTTTTTTGGCCTTGAAACATTCCTAACATCATATATATGAACACTATTAAACCGACCAGCAACACAAAATTCATTTGTATTAGTTGGATTGACATGAATGCTATCTAGTTCAACAGGCTGATCATCATGTTTCACCACTAGTAATCTAAACATTAATAGTTTTAATATTTCTTGTTAAATAAATCTTATTTCTTGAAAGCAAATAAATAATTACTTTTCAGGTGAATCTGATCTAACATCAATAGAAAGAACTCTAGCATCTTCGCTAGCTGAAAGTATGTGATGTGGACACTCATCAAAAGTACAAATTTTGTGACAAGCAGATTTATGTTGAGCTAGCTTTTTTGTAACTCCTGTAGGAAGATCAATAATTCGAACTTGACCATCTCTTGCAGCAGTAACAATTTTAGTTTGTGCAACAGTTGGAAGCCATTTAGATTGAAAAACATTGCTCGAATGATTTGTTCTGTATGCTTTCTTCTTTTTGCCTAAATGCCAATCCCAAACTACTATTGTTAAATCGTCAGAGGCACTTACTAACAAATCTCCTTTTGGATTAAAATCTAATGCATTTACACATCCCTACAGAAAATATATAAAATATTTATGAAATAGAAAATTTACTTGGCAAAAAAATAAAAAATTTCAATTACATCATGATCTTCCAACTTATGATGTAATTTTAAATGTTGAACAGCATATAGTGAACCATAAAACTTTTTATTGATATTATAGTCACATCCAATTTGCTGATCAAAACACCCTTTAGCAAGGTTCCAGTTGGATTTGGATGGTAGTTTCTTTAAAACCTCTGGTACAGCATCATTCGCAGTATCGCTGAAATCTTAAATTTGAAAACCATTTGATGAGTAATAAATGTAAGCTGCTATTGATGCAATTTTTATTATCATCGTCGTCAAGTACCTGAGGCAAATCTAAAAAAAGTATGAGGGTCATCAACCGAATGCTCAGGTGAACTCCCATCATTTTCTGATTCTGAACTGTTAACTGAATCATTGGTGTCTCCAGCAGGACTCGAAGGATCTTCACTGGCATCTGCGTTTCGAGCAGGACTTGAATTTGCAGTATCGTTCGAAGCTGGTGGTGGTACACTCTCAACACTTGTCTCCTCGTTTTCGACTTCCTCATCCTGATTTTGACTTCTGTAGTTCCTGTTCTTGTGGCTAGAATCTAACTTGCGAAAAGAGGGAAACGCAAGCTTAGGCTTTTTATGATTGTCAGCCGACTTACTAGCTTCCGACGAGGTGCTGGGACCTGTCAACGAAATAAATTAATAAAATACTCGTGTTTCATTAGGAAAATCCACGAAAGAGACAGCGTTCTTACCTTCGGAAGTAGATATAGATCGTTTGGTAGCACCATTGGTCAAATTGACACTGCTATCGTCTCCTTCGGAAACATAGTCCGTCTTATCTTCACTCACGACTTCATTGGTTTCACTCATTTTTTCAAAATTTTCCGAAAAGTTTGTGATCGAAGAACGGGATTATATTCGAATGAAAGTGTGAATCGATGCTTTTCTTTTGCCACCACACTCGAGAATAGACAGAAACGTCAGAGACAACGAGCAGTGCAGATGATCGATGACATTGTCTCAACGCGACATTGATCCTCTGTAACCACAAGTTTAACACTCGAATAATTTGGGTAATGACTGAGAGAACAATCCGATCGTACATCGACGCCGCAGTATGCAAGAGACAACAATGGCTGTGATGTACTGTTAAGGTATATTAAAATCTGACGGCTCTTTACCTATCATGGACTTGTTACGTCGTGTGTGTGCCTCTCTCTCTCTTTCTCTTTCTCTTTCCTTCACTCGTTTGTTTTGAAGCTTCAGTCGATATATATAGTGCCTTCATACGCGTGCATACAGTGTAATGTAGATATAAGCTCTGCTTGTGCCGCAGAGATCTCGGGAGCCAACTTGTGTGCGCACGCGACACAGCGCCGCGGCGTGGTGTATTTTGTACAGAGAGTGCTGCAGGAGTCCTGCCTCAATACACTCGACCAGCAGCAGCAGCTTAGTATGTACTTTGACGCGTGCGGAGTCGAATGCGCGAATGTGCGGCGAGTGTGGTGCAGACCTCTAGTCAAAGTGTTGTCGTCGTACAAGTATATATAGGTGTGCACCGACGATGCGCGTGTGTATATGTGTTCGCTACTAGTCGGAAAGAATCGATGCGCGGATAGAGAGAGAAAGAGAGAGAAACGAAACATGACAATTACAATGTGTATGACTCGGAGTCGAGCTGAGATTTTTCGTTCGATTTGTTGATGTATGTAGCAGAAGGGACAATTTTTGCACCGCGTTCGATGCGTCGATGATACTTTGGCATAAATAATAAATTGTCCTCGAGGTGTGTTGCGAGTGTGTATAAGCGTGCATATCCTCCGTGCGTTGCACTACTGGATCCATCCTCTACGTTATAATATACGCAGATATACATACAGCATATAATAATCAAAAGTTTGGGGAGTATACGCGAGCGAGAGAGAGAAAACAAGAGACGATCCGACGCCGACTTTCGAGCCACTGACGAAATCATCATCGTTGAGAGAGACAGAGGTAAGCTATACATTATGTTATTATGATAATACTAAAAATACAACGACGCAAGTGGCGAGCGAGCGAATAAGCGTGTGAATGAATTACTCTCGGCACATCGGCTCCGATTCGACTTGACATCGCCGGGATGACGTACACGCACACACAGATGAGTGAATTTTGACAGTAGCAGCAGCAGCGACTACCCGATGTGTACATAATGTAATTCGATTATACTTTCACCTGTCCGCAGCTATAAGCAGCATATAATAATAAACAAGTGTACGCGTGTGACTGTGTGTGCACACTGACACGGAGTACACGTCGACTTACATTATAAACGTGTGTGTGTACATCCACTGTAATATACTGTAAAAGGTATTCACGTTGTAATAAGGTGTACACGAAAAGGAGGTAGCCAGCAGCTACTTACTTACTCCGTCCTTTAAACGGTTAAAGGGCCCTCGCGCTGTACTGCTATACGCACACGCGTTTTCCTTTACGCAGCTTTCGACGGCCCACGCGCGGCGCCTCGCATTTAATATTAACAATACACGGCATTATTATTATACAGCGCGGCGCAGTACAATTGCCCCGCTCTCTGCCTTTATCTCTGGCTCTCAGTTATTTGCCTGCTGATAATACAATGTTCCTATGAAAATACGCTCATCTCTGGCTGTGCTGTGTCGCAGCGCACGTTCTTAGCACACGTAGTCATCTCGTTAATGTTATGTACGTACGACGAAACACATGTGTGTCAAAAATTATCATATACTGTATATTGTTAAGGTTGAATAATCGCGAATGTCGCGCAAATGTCTCATTTATATAGACTCTCTCGAGAGTATATCGAACTCTACTTAACGACGCACGCCACACAATATCACATATACACTCTTTTTCCTACGATACTCATATGCGTAAGAAACGTAAGAAATTGCGTTATTGTCAACCCTTCTAGCTGAGTGCCGCGTGCAGAAAGAGAGACGCGCGCCAACCAAGTGCACACGGCGCTTTTCTCTAATCTCCTCGAATACTATTGTATTTTTGATTCGCGCGGTTTCTTTTTCTTTCGTACACACGACATCGGTACATAAACTAGTACGATCGCGCGAAATCATTGTACAGCGGCTTTTTGCACACGAAACTGTTGCCAGTTACGCACGGCTTACTAATGTTCTTCGCGATTCGATTCGCGCGTGTAATGTAACGCATTAATGCCTCGAGCGAGAGCCGAGAGTTAAAAGAGAGAAAGAACGAATTGACGTATATTGTTTTCCGACGCGAGGAGAATGTCCGGTAATGAAGATTGATCGCTGCCTCGCCAAGTACGCACGTATGCACACTGCCCGATGAATGCGTCCGATACCATTGTACATATAAAGCGCCGATCACACACGCACCCACTTTCCCCACACAACGATGCATATGTTTTTGCGCTCGTGCGCAGCGATTGGAAAGAGAGAACAAGGAGAGTGAAAAGTTTCCGATTTCCTCGGAAAATTTGCAGAACTCGCGCCCGCACCATGATACAGACCATGCGTGCGCGTGGGTGTTGCGTTATCGAGTTAGGGAGCGCGTGGGAGGAGACGCGAGGGGAGGAACACATATCCAGGTGAGAGGCCGAATAACAAACCCTTAACGACGCAGCACCACCTGCAGCCTTCGAATGCAGCCCAATTATTTTCCCTGCGCGTATATGCGAACACCGTGTAGAGTGGGCCAAAAAACGCACACCAGCGTTGCTGCATAATAGTCGCGCAGCAGTGCCGCGGTAGCACGGTCGTATATTCAACGGTGAAAGATCCACGAGCGACGAATTATTATGGTCGAGTTGCTGCTGCCGGAGGACGAGGTGATCAAGGTGAGCATACGTCCGGTCGAGAGACCCGCCGCCTCGCGGAACGCCACCGATGCCCCCAACAACAATAACAACAACAACAAGAAACCCGTCGTGGCCGATGACGATCTGGCCGAGGCGAGTCTGCGCGGGGCACTGGCCGCGCTGCGATTGCACGCCCTGCAGGAGCGTCGTCTGCGCGAGCTCGAGGCCATGGCCAAGGAGCGGCGACGTCGCAAGACCCTGAGACGTTGTCTGGGAACCTGGCGCGCCTGGTTGGAGCGTTGCAGGGAGCGCGCGGCGAAACAAGCCGGACCCGAGCGAAAGATCGAGCTTCTGGTCTCGGCTCTGGGCGAGCGGCAGCAACAGCAGCAACAAAAACCCGTGGTGGCCGTCGCGAAGAAGCCCAACTCTGCCGCTGAAAATAATAAGAGCCGATCGAGCAGCAAGAGACTGAGCAGCGTAGCCGGGGGCCCGGCTCACAATCGGCTGCAAGCCCAGCGTCGCATAATCGAGGAGCAGCGAGCTCGCCTCCTCAAGCAGACTCGCCTGATCCAGGAGCTGAAACTGCGGGAAATCGAAAAAGAGGCCCGTCGCGCCGAGCAAACGACCCTCGAGGTGGCCAGGCAGGCCCTCGAGCGCTGCGACGAGCAGCTCACTCGTCGCGGCATCGAGCATCTTCTCCGTGACGAGGCTGGAGGAGTCGCGAACGTCCCCATCGGACAGCAGCCGGGATTCCTCACGAGGATGCAGCTGAGGGCGGAGGCGCGAAAGCAGCGCATGATCGCCGCCCAGGAGGCTCGCCAGCGACGTCTCGAGGAGCAGCGCGCCCGCGAGCAGGCCAGACTGCAGCAGAACGAGGAGCGACAGAGGCGCATTCAGATACAAGTATGCTCGATCGATACAACTCGATTCTTCGATTACTTCTTTTTTCTTGACTCACTAACTGATTGCGCTCGACGTACAGGCGCTGAAGGAAGCTCGCAAGCTTCGCCAGCAGTTGGAGCAGCGCCGCCACAAGGAGCTGGAGAAAGGAGCCCGACTGGATCGCTTGGCCGAGCAGTTCTATCGACGTTACCTGCTACGACGCTACGCCCTGAGACCGCTGCGTGGCCTCGTGCGCGAGACCGCCCGAAGATTCGAGTTGGCCGAGGAGCACTACGGCTTGAATCTAAAGTTGAAGATCTTCGAGGCCTGGCGCAGCGACTGGACCGATCGGCAGAACGCCAAGATCCTACTGGCGCGCAAGATGTATCGGCACAATCTGCTCTGGTACGCCTTCGAGCGCTGGAAGAATCTGGCCCTGGATCTCAGACGCAAGTTCCAGGTGGCCAGGGATTTTTACGACATGAAGCTGCAGGCCGGCTGCTGGAGGGCTTGGCGAGACATCTACCTGGAATTCAAAAAAGAAGAGAGATCCAACGAGGACCTGGCGACCGGTTTCTACGAGACGAGCCTGAAACGCAAGTACTTTCAATTGTGGTGCAAGTACGTGACCATCGCCGACGACATCAAGCAGCGAGAGCTTCGCAGGCAAGAGTGGCGAGGATTGATCAGCAAGTTCATGCCTAAAACTCCACCGATCAGTAAATTGCATAATAATCATCATCATCAACAACAATCGCTGCTTTAGAAGCGTTTGCCGTGTATTGGTTTTGAATGACGATTTTGCGAATCCGATTTCAAAACGATTTTTATTTGTATATTATTATGCGTGTAAGCAGAAATAACTAATGTAATACCATGTATCGGAGTTACATGCCTCTCATTGTAACGACATTTTTCTTTTAATTTGGTAATTCAGCTTAGGTTTTTTTCGTATCACAGATACTAGATTATTATAGCAATACTGTTAAGTACATTTATACACTATACACTTCTTTTTGATTACCAAAAATTGTAAAAGTTTCGCTAACTAATTGACTAACTAATTAATCTACGATCACATTGATTTGCTTTGAACTATAATAACAACTGGTGACTGGTGAATCTTTGATTTTCCTCTTGATTCGTTTGATTCTTGTGCTTGGCTGCTGCTGCTTTTCTCTCGTTCCATGTGGTTCCAATAGCCAGCAGCCATAGATGTTTGAAAAAATAATATGATAAAACTAGACCTATTAATAGACTGTATATCGATGAGACAAAACACAGAGCCATACTGAAAAATATATAAGAGTTGAAATTGCATTGACATTTTTTAAATAAAAAAATTTTTGTTAAAATTTTGCTAATGAAAAGAATCAACTTACTCGTATTGAAAGTATACATCGCTGCAATCATCGGGTAACAGAATACCAAAGGCAAATAAGAATGGATGGCAAACAGAGGTAATAGCTAAATTTGATCCATAGATGAAGGCGACGGCTGAGCTGAACAGACAGATCATGTACCATCTGTAATTGCTGTAGCCTATGCAGCAGTCGAGCCTGAAAGAAGTAAAATCCAATTGTAGGAATGTCAAAACACATCCTGTCATCCTGATGTCAAAACATTAAACTCTTACCACTTGCAATGATACTCTCTACCCGGCACGCAGGTCTGACACACTCTGCAGTGATAGGCTTTGCGAGGAAAGCGTCTCTTGCAAGTCTGACAGACGTGGCTCTCGGTGACGGCTTGATCCGAGCTGTCATCGACGTCCAGCAAGGTCTCTCTCATCGGATCGAACAACTGCTGCTGACTACTCGTCGCGCTGTACTGACACTTGACAGTCCTCCTGGCCGTCAGAATTCCGCCCACCACCGCGGCTACGAACACGTAATTCTCCTCGGGCAGTATCTCCAGGAGGGGCACCACTGCGAGCTCGAACACGGCCATGAGGCAGCCTGCGCTGGCGATGAGCCAGCAGAGGAAGAACTTGCTGCGCATGAGAAAGCGCAAAAAGTTGCGGTTGGCATAGTAGACGAAGAGCGGCGTCGCGACCAGGACCAAGAGGCTGCAGGCGAGATTGAGGGCCGCGAGGAGGAGCAGCGCGGGCACCAGCAGGAGCGGCAAGACGGCGTCCACGGAGACGCGATGCCTCAGCGAAGCCGCGCCGTCGCCGCAGAAGCGGCCCAAAGCCGCGCGCACGGGATTGCCGCAGCCGAAGCAGCCGCCGGTCAATAGTCGGCTCCACAGTTTCATAGCGGTAGCAGAAGCATAATACGCGTGCTATAACGATAACTCGCTCGCGCACGGCTGTCGACGAGCTGTCGAGGATGAGGTTAGGATTCCAAGCTCATTGTTGACAGCGATAACAACAATGACAAAACAAAGCACGATGCCTGCGTGTATTGTTTTGCTTCTACGATGAGTACGAGGCTTTGTGACGCCGTCGTTTGACACACACACACACACCGACACAGCAGTTACACTCACACGTGATAGATAGGTAAGCTCGCGTTGTGTTGATATCGACGTTCCGCGCACAAAACACGACTGTATAATACGATTCGCGGCTCGAGCCTCCCTCTGCTGCAGTATCTATTCACGATATTTCTCTACTGCCGCAGAGCTTCGAGTACGGTACTCACACGCCTATAAGGTATTATTATATATTCGCGATGTGTGTAGAGCCACTGCGGACATTCGAAAGGTGCACCACCACACTATGGTATAGTAGCAGAAGCACACCCCACGCGCGCTTGACAGTACTGTACTCTCTCTTATATATATACCACTTACACGCGCGCAAGTTGCGAAGCAGCTTTTTTGTGGGGAAGAACCGACGAGAAGCAAAGCAAAAGCAACAAAAAAAAAAAATAATAAAGCCACCGCTGGCTCGATGAAGTGAATCTCGATTCGCCGCAGAAGTACTCGGTAACGATGCGCCCTATATACACGGGCGACTGCGGGGCTACTACTGCTATACAATGTTTATCGGCCTCGCCACTGCGGAGCACAGCTCCGTATTAATACGCCTACGATAATCCGCAGCCACGGAATATAAGGCGCGCAGAGAGACAGATAAGAGAACGATTTTGGTCACGCGCGACGTCGTCGTTTGACGTTTGTATGTAACACATATATATACAAGTATAGAGTCTCCCCGACATCGCTGGGGATTTTTCTTAATTCGGCCTCGTTATTTTCACATCAAGAAGTTTATATGTACGGGTAATCGCTCTGCCGCGTCGCCGTGTGGTTTTAACGTTTAACTTTTTCTTTTTTTTTCGTACGCACACGACTTGTACGGATTTTAATGTCTTTTTATTTTTTTATTTTTTTATGTAATAAATAAGGCATTAAAAGAGCGAAGCTGAATCCTGCCCGTGTACGTGCATGTACAGCACAAGAGCGGCGCATTGAGAGAGAGAGAGAGAGCTTGATTAAGGTCAAACCAGACGTACGTGTACGTAATGGTCGTCGTCGTTTACCTGCGGTGCATATACAACGTGTATAAGACTACTCTCCCGATACGTGCATATAATATAAAAACGTATAAAACAGCTCGTTGCCTTCGCGCGAGTCCAGAGAGAGAGAGTCGCGAATTTATGCACGCGAATGAATATTTCGCACACTTTTAAACGCGGCTGCTCTTCGGAGAAAAACCCGCGTGCCGTTTCGTACATTACAAGCTGTATAATATAAGCGAGATAGACACTCGCGGAGAGAGACGGACGAGTTTTCTCGTATACGCGCGATTGGAAAGTGTCTCCGCTGCCGTATACTCGTCTCGGTATATTAACGGAGAGTCGGAGAAATATACGCATATCGGTGATAAATTTCGCGCGCGTGTGTACCGATATTACGTACATATCTATGCTTGCATTGGCAAACGCGCGCAAAGTCCAAGTTTTGTGTGTCGGCCGTATAGGGTAATTCGATACGCCAATGAGTAAGGAGAAACTGTATGCCCTCGGTACTGCTATAATACTACTGTACCTACTATCGTGTGCGGCTGAGTGATCTCTCGCTGCGCACAGCACGTGTCCTATACGGAGTCAGGAAATTATAACGATATGCATCGACAATAAGACTACGTAAACGCAGCCACCGCCGACGCTTTTACATACATGTATACCGATCGGTATTGTTTCAGGAAATACTCGCGCGGATATCGTGAGACTCCGCCGACGTCGATATAGGTCTATAAGCGATACGTCTTATGTGCATATATATCGGTAGTGTATATAGGGAGAGAAAAACAAAAACATAATGTATATCGCGCGTTTAATATATATTGTATCATAAGGCGCGCAGTGATTCACAATTGAACATTCGATACGCGGCGCGTTGAATAACACACTTGCCTTTGCGAGCGAGCTTACTCTGCTCCGATCTCGGAGCTGCCGCGGTGCAACGAGTAGTCGAGCAGCAACGATTAGGATCGGAATGTCATTCTTTTTTTTTTGCTTTTCTCTCCCTCTCTCTCTTTTCCTGCTCTTTTGCAAAAAAAAGTAGCAACCGTTTGACCGATCGAGCGTAAGGATGACGAGCGCATTTCGATGGACGGCTCGATTTATTATACACTTGCACTGTACATGTAACGTGCTCGCGATGTAGTAGTCGCGTTAGTGTGCGCGTGCGTATAATGCACACGAAAAATACTAGGCAACCGCGAGGGGAATACATAAGCAAAACGCAAAGGGTCATTGGCCATAGAGAGAAAGAGAGAGAAAGCTATTATATACTACACATGTATGAACTTATTAGGCTTCTTTCTCCAGCTCTCTGCGTACTCTCTTTTCTCTCTCTCTCCGCATGTATATCCGTCGTCGTCCATATCTCGCACCGCCGCAGCAATAAATAGCGCAATATTTAACATTTTTCCACTTATCTCTCTCTCTCTTTTAAACATGTGTATGGGGTAATGCTACATTCGACATGTCGATGCGTGGCAGTGCTTATAGCGCATATACAAATATATACGTGTGTGTGTATACTCTAGGTCTAGTTACGTAAGCTTTCCTTGTGGCCAAGTACCTGTGTGCAGTGTGCTGCAGTGCACATAATGTACATATAGTGGCGGCCGGCGCGCAGGTAAAGCCAACCACCACCACCACCACCAACCGATATATTGCACATTTGCCGCCGCCACCACCACTACTTGCCTCCGCTGCCGCTGCTTACTGCAAGTGCGTGCGTCGTACGCGGATACTTGTGCGCGACGACCGGCAGCAGTGCGTGTGCCAGACAGTAATGTCACCACGCGCGTACCGCTAGTTTAGCATCGTAACATACCTCTATTCGACAGATATAACGCGTTATATATATATACCCACACGGACGCCGATCGGCACCTCGCGGTTAATTATATCAGACGCGCACGGATAGAGAGACTCATTTTGCATATAAATCTTACATTTGGAAAATCGATTGCCTGGCCAGTTGCAGGACGTCGCCGCCACCATTGGTCGCCTGGAGCACCACCATCGTCATGACGGGGAGCAGCGAGCTCAGCTGACAGTAAGGGAGCTGCCAGTCGATTTCACCTCCTGAATTCGCTCGTCGTCGTCGGCATCGTCCCCAGTGAGAAAGACTGCCCATACAATTCTCGATTGTTGTCGAGCAGTATCAGCAGCAGTATCAGCATCAACAGCAGCAAAAGTAAAAAAAGCCCCCCAAACTAGAGACGCGCAGAGGGTAATGTGGCGATGTCGTCAACGGCGACCCAAGACAAGCTCTACACCTACTGGCTGGAATTCATCGGGGCCGAGCTTTTGTCCAAGGAGGTGAGAGACTGACTTTTTTTCATTCGCGCTCCTTGCGCAACTTTTTATAATATCTTCTTATCGTGCATACAGAAATCCAACTGGTTGGACGCGTTCCTCGCCGAGCTCATATCCAGAGTCGCCGAAGGACAAGACCTCAGCGTTCATCTCACCTTCTGGTAATTATCGATCGAACGAAATAAGCAAAAAAAGAAAGAGAAAAGAAAATTTTATCCGACCCGATACGCAAGTATACTGTACGTAGTTTAATGTTCGCGTATGTATGTATGCGTGCGTGCGTTATTTTTCTGCATTTTTGCCACCTTGCGCAAACGGCCAACACACTTGCTGGCAGCAAGCGCGTTATACAACCAAAGAGTGCATTACTAATCCCTCTCAATGTTGTTGCGATCTCGTAGTCGTCGTCGTCGTTCGGTTGCTGTTCGCTTCGTTTCTCTCTCTCTCTCCTCTTCTCTCCTCTTCACTCACTCGCGCGTCAATTAATTCTACGCGCGCCAATGTAACTTATGCTAATCCTGCTGCGCGCTCGAGACTCTATATATGCATGTATGCATGCACGCGCCGAGCGCCGAGTTATATGGCGATTCTCGTTTTCTGCATTGCCCGCGATAAATATGTTGTTTGATTTTTCTCTCTCTCTCTCGTGTGTGTTTTTTTTCGTCGTTGTTTATCGTTATGGATTTCCGTACGCTTGCTTGGCTCGGCCGTCGCGTATGTACCTCCTTAATTGCAGCGAGTATTCCAAATAAAAACGAGGAAACGCAAACCGGTCGTGGTCGTCGCGTTTCGAGAGAAGATCGCGCGGAGAGGAGCGGACCAAGTACTCTTGTATGCGCCGAGGCGAGCGAGATAAGCCTCGATCGCTCGATGGGACCCTTACGTAACGAGCGTTTAACTGGGACTTGTACATGTACTCTCTCGTTCTTCCCCCCTTTTTGTGCGACGAGAGAGAAAATATGCGCCGATCTCTCTCTCGTGCACGCATTTATGACTTTTCGTTGTATTAATTCTCATTGATGTATGTGTACAGCTCGTCCGGCGAGGGGACCGTGGCCACTCTGGTATGCTGCGAGCTCCTGTCCGACGTTCACGCTCTCTGCCAACAAAAAGCCGATCAGCGACAGAATGACCCTGAAAAGGAGCAGCAGCACAGCAGCGAGCTCGACGCCTTGAGAGATTACATCGCTCGCGATCGCGGCTGGAGATGTCTCGCCGCGCTGCTGCTCATGGACCTGCGCCAGTTGTCCTGCGCCAAGGAACTGGTCGGTCTGCTTTTGGCCTTTTATCCGTTGCTGGGACAGCTCGAGGCCAAGGATCGTGGCAAGAATCCCTATGTCAAGCTCAACAAGCTCGCCAGCGCGAATTATCAGAGAAATCGGGACGATCGGCTGGACGAGGAAGAGATCGGTAATGGAATAAACGAGCAAGGAACAACGATCGGCACGAATAATTATGACGAGGCCGGTCAACAGCAGCAACAATCGGCCATCCAGAGGAGACGCCGACGGCGCCAAAAGCCCGATCACGGTCAGTACAGTCGCGCGGAGAGCTAGAGCCATACTACTCTATGCGGCTGGCTTTTACGTAAGTCGTCTTAGACGACGAGGCGTTGCGTAAGCGCAGAGCTAGCTAGGCTAGACTGCTGCTGCACGCCAGCCAGCCGCAGCCCACTTTTTCCCGTATAATGGCGCATTCCTGCATGATTTTCCGTTTTTTTTCTTATTCTCATTATTCTTACGTTTTAATAATAATTTTCCGTTCGTCGCTCTTGTATTCGCACAAACAGGTAAACGACATTCGCTGGACGAGGAAAGAATCGAGGCGGCGCAAACGGCGCAGCGACGCAACAACGTCAGCTCGGCGCGCCGCAGAAGATCGACCATCCACGAGGTGGTGGCGGCTCAGGGCTCGTCCAGCGACGAGGCTGGAAGCGGCGACGGTCGGGTGCCGAGCCCCACCCTGTCCTCCCTACTGCCCAACGCCGTCCAAAACATGAACATCGACGACTACGACAATCCGATCAACGGCATGATGATAGGCCAGGACGAGCCGCTGGAGTCGCCGAAGCTCGAGGAGCTGCTGGACGAGCGAGCTCGCGCGGTCCTCGAGGCCCCGGGCCTGGGCCGTTACGAGGCCAGTCTGCTGACCCTGCAGCTGTTGCTCGCCCTGCAAGACCAGCGCCCGGGTGGCGCCGAGGCCCAGAAGGTCGTCGGTTTCGCCCTCGACGCGCTCTGGACGCTCCAGTACTCGAACGCCAACAACGCGACCACTAAAAACAACGACAACGACGACAACGACGAGAACTCGGAAGGTTTCACGAGGCTGGAGAACGCCTCGCTGCGCGCCTGCACCGCGAGATTGCTGCTGCGCGCCCTGGAGCGAGCCCTCGAGTCGCCCGAGACCCCGGGTCGACTGGTGGTCCATCGCGGACTGCTGCCCATGAGCCTGAGACTGCTGGAGGACGTCTGCGCGAGGCCCGTCAAGGACGCCTCGGCCGAGGAGGCCGTACTGCTGCAGGAGGGCGTGTTCGCCACGCTGCATGCGGTCGTGGCCCTGCTGCAGGGCCTGGTGCGCGCCGGCGGCTCCCGGGACTTCCCCGAGCTCTTCAGACTCACCGCCGAGTCGCAGAATCCCGACAGACGCATCATCGAGCGGGCCGTGCTCGCCGGTCTGGAGCTGGCTCCGCAGAGGGGCTTGGCGCGGGCCTGTCGCTTCGCCGAGGCGCTGGGCAACCTCGTCACGGCCATGAAACGAGCCCGCAAACGCTCCTCGCCCACTGGTACCGGTAACGGCAGGCCCAGTCGTCGAAGTGCTGGAGCCGCCGTGACGCAGTCCTCCTCGCGCTATCAGCCCGGACTCGCCCACTGCACCGAGTACTCCAACGGCGGTGGCTCGTGCTGCGTCGCCTCGATCTTCGGCGCCCTGGCCGATCTGCTCCGTCGCAGCGTGCGCTTCGGCCACGAGCTACAGATCCGCGTGCTCGAGGTGATGAATCGCTGCGGGGCCTGCTGCTGTCTGGCCTCGAGGCCCCTGCTCGACAACGTCGTCAGTTTCTTGGAGCGCACCAGCTCCACGACCCAGTGGACCTACGACCTGGCTCTGGACCTGCTCGAGCAGACGCTGTTCCACGAGCTGGGCGGGTCGACGATGCGCGAGGGCAGCTGCGAGTGCTACAGCGAGCCCCGGCTCTGGGACTGCCTGGAGCTGTACACGAGACTGCTGAAACCGGCCAATCCCAAACTCTGCCACTGCGCCGTGCGCCATCTGCTGAAACAGGTGCCCCAGGGTACCATCACGGTGAGGCGCGAGCTGCTGTTCCGGGTCTTCTATCCGAGCTTCCTCGAGGCGAAAAAGTCATCGACGGTGATCGGCGACTCGTCCAGCAGCGCACCCGCCTCCAAGTTTCTCATTCAATCCTGCCTGTCGGCCATGGCCAGTCTGCTTAACGATCCGAAGAAGGAGTATCCCTGCGACGTGTACATACGCTTCGTCAAGCTCGACGGTCTCAAGCAGGCCCTGGATCTGCTACCCACTCAGAGCTTCGTAAAAGGAGTCTACGCGCTTCTCGAGGTAGCCTGCATCATGGAGATCGAGTACGTGGAGCAGCAGGTCTGGGACACGCCACCTCCGAGGACGGCCACCCGTGCTCTCTTCGACGCCCTGGAACGCGAGACCAGATGTCTGTGCGAGACGACGATCGGTCCCGCCAACGAAAGCAGCGAACCGAGCGGTGGTAGCGAAAACTCGAGCAACATCAACAAACAGAAGCTGTCGTATCATCACGCGAGCGCCGCTTGGAGAGCAGCAGCGGGGGTCGCCTCGTGCTCGCCCCGTTTCCAGGCCGAGTTCCAGGCCGAGGAGTCGATAGTCATGAACGCCTACATACTCGCCGAAAAGATCGCCGTGGCGATCGCCACGGATCGATTCGAAGACGGGACGAAATTTGCGCTCAGAGTTCTCGAGGCCATTGTCACGGTCTTCGTGGTCAGCAGCTTGACGAACGGTTGGTATTTACGCAAAAAGCGAGCTTTTACAACAAGAGCTGTGATTTAATTGCATTTCTTCTACAGACGAGCCCAACATGATATCGGTACTGAGTCAAGCCCTGATGAACGACGAGGTGAAACTCGGCCGTGGCATTGGTACGCTCGTCGAGCTCCTACTGCAAGTTTCCATGCTCAGCCCGAATCCGGACGTCGACGCAGTTTCGCAGCAGACTCGGCACAGAGTGAGTACACAAACATTGTTATTACGTAACCGATTTCCAACGCGGCAAATTCGAATTTTAAACTCACGACGATGATTTTGATCGTAGCACTTGTCGGCGATGGACATCTCGATGGATTGGGCCGACGGCGAGGACAGCAGCGCCGGCGAGTATCTGACCGCCGACGACGGCTACGACGCCGACGTTGAGGTACCCGTGAAAACCGACTACGAGCTCTCGGCCAAGAAGCAGAACAGATTCGGCCGGGCGTCGGACTCGGTACGAGGCAGTGTGAACGCCGATCCGGCCGTTTGCTCGCTGGCCATCGATCTTCTCATTTATTACGCCAATAAGTGAGTCAACTCTCTCGAGAGTTTTATACAAAAATAATCACGGTCATTTTATTTTGCTCTTTATTATTCTCGAAGGGAATTGAACGAGGACCGCGCGGAGACCATCACCAACGGCCTGAAGAAACTGGCGATCGTGTGCAAGGAGAGCCCCAAGACTTGCGCCACTCTGTCGGGCCAAGGCAACATCACGAAACTCTTCGAGGGTTTCGAGCACGTGCTGAAATCCAACGATTCGGATCTGACCGAGCTGCAGCACGCCGTCCTCGAGATCTTCACGTCGCTCGCCATGCAACTGATCAGCCCCACCGAGCTCGTCTCGTTTCTCGCCTTCTTCAAGAATTACTCGCCGCCCCTCACGGCTCTGCTCATGTCGCTGCATCGCCTCGTTCTCGCGGCCGAACCGCAGCCAAATTTTATACTCCAGTTCCCGGCGCCAATCAATAATCATCAGCTGACCACTACCACCGGCCCCAACGGAATCAGCTTGAACAGACAGAGCAGCAACGAGGACGTGAACAAGAGCATGGAGCGCGCCGAGACGCTGGTCAACACGTTTCGCAAGAAGCACCTGGCGGCGGACATCTGCACGCCTTGGTCGGTGCACGCCATCTGCCTGCCCATCGGCCAGGAGTCCTCGTGGTCGGTCTGGTGTCAGGGCTGCTCGGCCTCGCTCTGGCTGCGCGTCGAAAGAGGCGCGTCCGCCTTGGCCTCCACCAGTAGTAGCAATAATAACAGCGGCGGCAAAGGACTGCACATAATGAGCGACGTCAGTCCTCTGCTCGACTCCGACAGCGACAGTCTGTCCGATTGGGGTTTGCTGTCGGACAACTGGAGCCGCGACGTCGCCTTCGGCTGCCCCACCATCAGCGTGCTCCATCTGCTCAGCATCGGTTTCGAGTCGCTCGTCCTCGAGAGCTGGCTGGATCTCAAGTCCGACACGCTGATCCTGCGACTCACTCGGCCCGACGACAAGACCAATCGCACCATATCCGAGATCTCCATCAACGGTGTGCTGCCCGCGGGCAACTGGCACCATCTCGCCATGAACGTCAAGGACACGGTGCTGAACAAGCACAGCGCCGTGGTCGAGGTCGTGCTCTGGATCGACGGCTGGAAGGAGATCACCGCCCAGCTGCCCTTCGACGGCCTCCTCATACGCAAACCCGGCACCACGTGCATACTCGTCGGCCAGATGGGCCCGAGCGCGGTAGGTGCCTGGTACATGAGCAATCTCATGATATTCCGCGCGCCCGTCTTCAACAGCGATCGAGCACTGGCGCTGGCGAGTTTGGGCCCCAATTACACCAACATGGCCGACTGCATGCTGAGCAATCACAAGCCGGATTTCGCCTCGATCATCTGCTCGGGTGCCCTGCACGGCATTCAAAAGCCTCGTAAGTTTCAATTAGAAATAAATTCTTTAATGTAGGGCTTTAAAATTAATTTTTTTATATTCATTGTGCGCAGATAAAAACGGTTCGCCCGAATGGAACAAGAGCAAAATGTCCAACGGTGGAGGAGTGACGCAGCGCAACGACATCGAGGTGAAGGTCTCTTGCGCGAAAATCGACTGGGAGTCAGTCATGGACTCTACCAATACTCACCTGGCCGAGCTTCAGGACAATCTGCTTGTTTGCTACGAAGCTCAGACTCCGGGCATCATGCATCTCTACCCGCAGGGCGTGACGAACGTCAATTGTAAGTTGCTTATGATTCAACGCGATAACAAACGAATCCATTAATCAATTTCAACCTATTTGTCGCGTTCACAGTGATGAAGAATCTGTTCCCCGGCCAGCCGGGCTTCAAAGTGTTGTCGCTGCCGGAGCACAGAGTGTCCCAGCAGCCGCCCCTGTCGATAGCGCCAATACTCGCCTCGCCCCTGCAGAGTCAGAGCTACAAGGGCCTCGTGTCGGCCGCGAGTCTGATCGGCGGCATGCCGATATTCCTGTATCTGTTCGCCCGCGTGGTCGAGCTCAACTCGACCGAGGAGGAGCAGGCGCTCGCGCTGTCGGTGGTGCTGAATCTCGCACGCAGCGACTCCGAGATGCTAAGTCAGTACCGATCCGAGGGCGGCCCGAGTCTGCTGCTGCGCGTTCTCGAATCCTCGCGCTGCTACGCCAGTAAATACATGCTCAAGGCCGTCATGGACGCGGTCTGCGACTGCCCGATCATCGTCAAAGACACCGCGACGAACAATCATCTGGTCTCGCAGAACAGCGAGTCCGTCATAACCGATCCGGAACTGCTGAAATGCGCCCTCGAGGCTTGGCGCACTTGGGCCACCTACGACTCGCTCAATCTGCTTCTTCAAGCTCTTTTGCACCTACTCAAAGACCAGCACTCGCAGCGCGAGTTCAACGCCTCGCAGATGAATCGCATACGCATCGTCGAGACTCTGCTAAGCATGTGCAAGGAGTACTTCCTGTACGACGACGCCTGCGACGCCCTGGACGCCACCACGGGCTCGGCGGTGGTCGAGCTCGTTCGCTCGCTGATGGGAGCGCCGCCCGAGTTCGCACACCTCGTGCAGATCACGGATTTCCTGGTACTGGCGCATCAGGCCTCGGAGACCTACGTGACGCACTCGCGACACAACATGTACTTCTTGCTGCCGCCCCTGCCGCCCCAGGAGGCCAGTCACAAGTCCACCAATCGACTGAGCTCGCTGGCGCTGAACAGCGTGTCGCAGGAGTCGCTCGGTCTCGTCGAGAACATCAAGCTCACCAAGGCCCTGACCAACGTGGAGATACAGCGCGGCAGTCGACTGAAAAACGGCAAAGCCACCGAGGCCAAGGAGGACGGCGAGACGTCGTCCCAGGGTCAAGACACGAGCGCCGGCGAGGACTCGGGTATCGCGGCCAGCGAGGGCTCCAACAAGAAGTCGCCCCAGCAGGGGGCCACCAATCAAGACACGCCTCAACTGGCCGCCTCGGCGGCGGCGAGCAGCGGCGAGAGCACCGCCAGCGAGCGTCACTCAGCCAGTCGTAGAGCCTGCCAGGGCGTGGTGTGCGAGGGCCTGCTGCTGCTTCTACGCGACGCCCTGCGGGTTCTGCCCGACAGCCAGGTGAGCCCGGTGATGCGCCACGTGCTGCGCGCCGAGCTGCTGCTGGTGCTGGCCAACGACCCGGACGCCCGGGTGCGCACCGCCCTGGTCAAGCTCGTCCAGGTCTATCTGCAGCGCGCCGGCGACGAGCAGCTCAACAAGTTCATCAAGCAACGCTACTTCGTGCATCTGGCCAATCAGGTGGCACTGTATCCGGGCAGCGAGCCCCTCGTGGTCACCCTGGAGAATCTGGCTCTGAAGGGACCGAGTCTCGCCGCGGTACCGCCGGTACTTGCGATGATACCGCGCGCCGCGGCGAGCGACATGAACGTCGCCAGGCCCCTGGTCACCTTCGTCACCGATCTCATCACCAAGAATCCCAACTCGCTGCGCACCCTGCTCGAGCAAGGCCTCATGGAGACCCTCGGTCGCGGCATCGTCAACGCCGCCCACAGCGGCTTCTCCGTCTCCCTGTTCCGGGACATGCACGTGCTGCTGGTATCGATAGCCGGCCGCCTCCTCGACTCGCCGGGAAGCCAACACATGCAGGCCGTCGCCGAGCTCCATCAGATCCTGAATCAACTGGAGCTGGGCGAGCGATCGAGATGCGAGCCCGCCGCGCTGTGCGTGGCGATGCTGCGCGACGCCCAGGTGGCGCTGTTCGACGGCGAGCTCGACGTTCTCGCCGCCAAGGTGTCGAATCAGTCGGGCTTCCGGCTGAAGAGCGCCGCCTCGTATCTGGCCTCGTCCTCGACCAATTTGGGCAGCAGCGGCAACGGCCACGGCCCCATGGCCGGCAACAATTTCACGGCCTCGAGCGAGTTGAGCGATCATCCGGTCTCGCGTTCCTCGAGCTACGCGAGCCTCTACGGAGCCGCCGTGGCCGCGAGCAACAACAAGGAGCCCGGCAAGGGAGAGATCAACGAGCGTTTCAGGATCTGCTTGAACAGAGCCGTGGACTTTTTAACGGCAGCCGACGAGGGTCCATCCGCCAGCGAGCTTCAACTGAGCAAACGACTCTTCGCCATATTACTCCACGGCGTAGCGAATCCACTGGGCAAAAAGACCTACTGGCTCAATGCCTGGTCGGTCAAACCCGCCTTGCGCAAAAACACAGCCCGCATCATGGTCTGGCTCATGAGTCCCCATCAGAACATGGCCAGTCGCGTGTACGCAGTCAGAGCTCTCATGGACGAGCCCAAGGCCCGCGAGATACTGCGCAGTCTGATCGAGGTGGGTCCGCAGATCGAGCACAAGTTCAGCGTGTTCCTGTGGGATCTGCTGCAGCGAGCCGACGAGATGCCCAGCGCCGACGCGCGAATCTGCGAGGAGCTGAGCGAGGCTGTGAAGGTCTGGGAGTTGGCCAAGAGCTTCTCGCCCTTGGATCAAAACAACATCGAGGCCTGGAGCGAGGAGTTGAGCTTGATCAGACGAGAGTTGGTGAAGGATCGCGAGATCTGGGTCGATGCTCAGTTACCGGCTATTCAACGGTACGTATGTTGTAGATTTTCGTTAGTCCACTCGATACTCACGCACTTTTTTTTACTCAACTGTCGACAGGCTCACTAACCGCTTCGAGTCGCTAGCCAAGCAGCTCACCGAGAGCGCCATGTCCATAACGCGGCTCGTCGTCGAGGAGCAGAATCGCGAGCGCAAAGTGATGATGGAGCGTCTGAAGCAGGCGCGCTCGGCCGAGGCCCAGGGCATGGCCAAGTGGCGCGACCTCGCGCGTCGCCTCACCCACGAGCGCGGCCCCTGGCACTTCCCCGAGTCCTACCCCTGCAGCTGGGAGCTCGACCCCACGGAGGGGCCAGCGCGAGTGCGCATCCGCCTCCAGCGCTGCCACCTGAACATCGATCGTCGATTCTTCCTGCCCGAGCAGGAGGACAAGGTGGAGCGGGCCAAGGTCGAGGCGCCGCTCTCCTATCTGTTCACCAGCGTCAAGCAGGACGCCAACGCCACGGCCCTCATCGAGCGTCTGCACACGAGCGAGCGCATCAGGCGCATGTCGCAGGTCCGAGTGGTGACGCCGCAGGCCGAGCTGCCCGGCGAGGCGCTCATCGGCGAGACCTGCTTCTACTTCGTGCCGGACAATCCGGACGTGCCGCTGCACACGGACGTAAGTTTCGAGCTCGTCGAGGACGAGTCGTCCTTGTCGGAGTTGTCTCGAAGTCGAACGGCCGCTCACTGCAGCTCCTGTGGTTGCAAATTGCAGATCGCCCTGGGCGGCCTCGATCTCGCCATGGTCGGCGGCATGGCTTGGCGCCTCGAGGACATACGCGAGCTGCACCGGCGACGCTACCAGCTGCAGGAGCGCGCCATCGAGATATTCCTCATCACGGGCCGCACCTATCTGCTGGCCTTCGACTCGTCCAAGGAGCGAGACGACTTCGCCGCGGAGCTGTCGGCCTGCGAGCTGCCCAGGCGGATCCCCGGCGACGATCTCGGCGAGGCTCTGACGCTCTGGCGCAGCGGAGCTCTCACCAACTGGGAGTACATCACCTGCCTGAACAAACTCGCCGGCCGATCGTACAACGATCTCATGCAATATCCCGTCTTTCCCTTCGTCCTGGCCGAGTACACGGCCGACAAGATCAATCTCGACGATCCGAGTATATACAGGTTGGTTGCTTGTTTGCTTATTTGATTCGCGAATGATTGGCTGCTCAAGGAGAGTCGTAAATCAGGTTTTCGAGCGCTGTCGCTGATCGCTTCTTATTTTTGCTCAGGAATTTCAAGCGCCCGATGGCCGTTCAAGATAAGAAAAACGAGCAGCATTACATCAACAACTACAACGTGAGTAAAGCATAATATTCAAATCGAGAAAATTGATTTTTACGCAATTAGCGCTAAAATTTATAATAACGCGAGCTTCCATTTGATATGCATTCGACAGTACTTGAAGCAGGCGCTGTCGGAAGGCTTAAACTTGATCGCGCTGAATCAGGAGCCGTTCCATTACGGCTCGCACTACAGCAATTCGGGCACGGTGCTGCATTTTCTCGTGCGTTTGCCACCGTTTACCAGCATGTTTCTCACTTACCAAGGTACGTACACAGCACACGACCGCATTCCAGAATTACGTAAAGGCCGCCTACTTGTGTGCCGCTGCCGCCGCTGCTGCTGCGCTCACGTAACAACAACGGCCAACGCCGCCGCAGCAGATCTTAATTAATTGTTTTTTTTTCTTCTTTTCCACCTCATTAACCTTGCGCGCAGATGACAATTTTGACATTCCCGATCGGACGTTTCACGCGCTGGCGACGACGTGGCGCCTGACGAGCTGCGACTCGACCACCGACGTCAAGGAGCTCATACCCGAGTTCTTCTATCTGCCCGAGTTTCTACTGAATTTCGAGGGCTTCAATTTCGGGGTGAGGCAGAACGGCAACAGGGTCGGTGACGTCGAGCTGCCCAAATGGTGCGGAGGAGACGCTCGGCTGTTCGTACTGGCTCATCGAGCGGCCCTGGAGTCGGAGATCGTTCGAGAGGTTCTTCCGTTCTGGATCGACCTGGTCTTCGGTTTCAGGCAGACCGGAAGACCCGCGGTCGAGGCCATCAATGTCTTTCATCCAGCGGTACGATGATTTATTAGAATATAAAAAAAATGTTAGCAATTATTCTAAACTAATTTCAATCCTTTGCGCAGACCTACTATGGTTTCAACGTCGAGCAAATAGCCGATCCACTGGAGCGCCAAGCCTGGGAGACAATGATCAAAACTTACGGCCAGACACCTGCCCAACTGTTCAGAGCGTCGCATCCGCTGCCCATAACGAGTCTCGGCAGCGCCAATCCCAGCAACATACCGCCCGTCATCGAGGGCGTCGAGGGCATCCGCTGGGGCACGTACGTCGGCGCGCCGGGCAACGATCCGGTCATGTGCTGGAAGCACAAGCACCGAGTGCTGCTCGCTTCGCTCGTGCCACTGATAACCGGTGACGTTTTTGGACTGCCCGTCTTTACCACCCTGATTCTGGCCTACTCCAAGGACAAGGGCACGAGTATGCTGAACAACACGTCGGTGATGGGTGCGGCGCTGATATCGTGGAACAGTACCGACGGTATAGCTCGGCTGAAGACGAAGAAGGAGCAACCACCGAAACCTCTCATAAAGGCCGTTGGGCTAGACTCGGTAGGAACAATAGCTCTCTATCATCGAGTTGTAATTTTATTTCCCACGGCGTTGTTTATTTATCGATGTATTTTTTTGTCGCAGATAACGCTGATGAAATCGTCGCCGGACTGCGAGCAATTGTGGATCGGCTACGCTTCCGGCCGAATACTGGTCTACGCCTGCACGGTGAGCAACTCGGGCAAGATAGACTTTAACGGCTCGGCGCCGTCGGTGCTCCTAGGGCATAGAAATCAAGTTACCGCCATCGACCTGTCGAGGGCATTTAGCGTCGCCGTGTCCGGAGATAGTACCGGCGTTTTAGTATTATGGGATTTAAATAGGTAAGTCGGAGACTCGATCTTTCAAAAAACAACAGTATATTGTGTCACCGATCGTATTTTATTAACTATGCTTTATTCTTTATCATTGTTCCCCCGGACAGTTTGACTTACATTAGATCGGTTACCTGTGACGGATGTCATCCAATTAGTATGACTTCGATCAGCGAAACCCTAGGCGATATTGCGGTCGTGTATCAGATGTCGAATTTAGTCTCGGACAGCAGTAGCACCACGACGACGGACATACGATCCAGTTTAAAGGTTTACACGATAAATACGCGCCTCATCGGCTCCGTTTCCTCGAGGAGAAAAATCACAGCCTTGTGCTACAGCAACGCCGTGGAAGGCGTTTCTGTCAATGTTATCGCCACTGGATTGGATAACGGCATGATCAGGTTCGTTGCGCAACGCGTCGTTGAGATTTTTATACATATAACTTGTGCAATCGTCGTTGAGATCGTTGAGCAAACGCATTATATCGCGCTTTCTTTCTGCACACAGATTATGGAGCAGTTGGGACTTGCGATTGGTACGCGAGATCAGCACGGGCGTCAAGGGAACCGGCGGAATCGTAGCGATAACCTGGTCGAGCGACCAGAACCACTTGTACGCGGCGACGGAAGACTGCACAGTTTTTATTTGGGAAGGTGCTAGGAAATCAGACAGCGGCACTCCTAAATTCGTTAATCTTACAACTCTCTAGTATAAGGAAGATGAGAATTTATCGAATCAAGGTGTAACTTTAAATAGTTAATGACAAATTTCACGTTTGTAATTTTTGATCGTTGATCCTCTAAGGATTCGTTGCGGTAGTTAACTTTTCCATTACAAGAAAAAGAATTACGATTATGTAAATATGAACAACAACCCGGTCATTCATCGACCATTTATATAGAATTGAAATATTATATTAAATTAGATAAAATATAGACTATTTCTAAATGTATTTAAGAGGGAACAAAGAATACTCTAAAGTATTATTTTCTTTTTTCAACCATAAAAGTATGATATTGTTTTTAGACTTACTTAGAAATTCTATTCAATTACTAGCTTTGATGCATTTTTAACCTGCATCAATATCTCAAATACAAAATGAATCTTTTGTAATATTGTACATGCCCAAAACTTGTAAGATAATTTGATAAATGTATTTACAGATTTAAAGCTTAATTCACAACTGTGAATAATAATAAATTATTCACACTCAAGTTTGATGCTTGTGGTTAATACTTATTTATTCCTAAGAGATAAAAATTCATACTTACATTAAATGCAATATATCTATAAGTACATAATTGTAAAAAAAAATAATATAATAAACAGATTAAATCTCATTCATGCAAGGTTCTGTCATTTCAAACATGGGATAATGTTTTCCGGTTCTTTTAGCAATGTCGTATGCTTTATCGCCACTGGAATTCACCAGGCTAGCATCGATTTCAGGATTGAGAAGCAACAACTGCAGACAAGGAGCATTTTGAGAGGCTGATGATACCAAATGCAAAGGTGTCTGGTCACCCTTACTTTTAGCATTGACATCAGCTCCGTGTGCAATCAACATAGCTGCACAATCTACATTGTTCCAACAACAGGCTGAATGCAGCGGCTGCCAACCGTCTTGAGTTTGTGCATCAATTTTAGCTCCAGACTCCAACAGAAACTACGGGACAAATTATCGTTTTACACCAGCAGCATAAATAATCAAAGTAACATTTGGTTAGTTGCCTCTACCTCTGCTACGTTTGTGTGATTTCCATAACATGCTCTGTGAAGCGGCGTATAACCATCCTTGTCCTGGCATTTAATCAGTGTCTTATTCAACTTATAAAATTCTTTAACTTTATCGAGCTGTCCCTCTTCTGCAGCAGTGAGAATGGCACTTTCGGTCGGATCTAGACATCGGAAAATTCGATAAAACCCGGCCCAAAAAAATTAGTCAGCGATTCGGGATCATTGAGTAGCTAACCTTTAGCATCTCTGCTGTCGTCGACTCCGTCGTCGTCGTTGTCCCAAGCACTGACCTGCATGCGCTCGTTCTGGGGCGTGCTGATGATTTTATCGCGAATCGCCTCCAAATCCATCAATTCGTCGTTCTCCTCGTCCGAAGACATGATTGTGTTTAACTTACGGTTGCTACTTGTCAATACCGGTTGACGTGTGGGTGAAGACTGACGATACGCGTGGCTCAACTTTGTTTACATGCGCGAATGACTCACGTGGTTTCGAAGTTTTACCAACCAACTTTCAACAACCTGCTCTGCGCAGAATCTTAATTGTTGCAATTTTAAAGTACAAAGTACGAACTGCAAAGAAACGTATGTCATACGTAAACCACGATGATGGCAATTAGAAACTTCAAATGTATAACACGTTTTTTTCTGCTTGATCAGTTGCTGTATCAAGGGCCACCTTTGAATAACTTAATGAAATATTCGAATTTACTGGACGTACAATGACTAGACCATTTAATTAGAAGGTAAAAACACTTGTACAGCATTCAAACACAAAGATCGTGAATTTGCAATTCAAAGTACAAGACACAATCCTTTATTTCTATCTTCTTGCCCGCAGGTAAGGATGATATAATTATCGGCGGATCGCTTATATATCTACGGTCTGCGTAGTGCGTAGCGCGTCCCCGGCAGGCAGCGAAACAGTTCGCATTGATTCTGCAATCTGCACGCAGCGGCTGTGTTCGCTGCGTGCGATTCGCGCGCAGCATCTCTCCCTACTTTTGCACCGCCGCACCGCACCGCATCACACACACACACACAGACAGCAGCATTGTACGCCGCCGATGCCTCGCAGCCTATGCTACGCTATGCTGCCGTATTAACATGCAATAGTCTCTCGGACTTTAGAGTGTTGCTCCGGTTTGTCATCCGCAAAATACACGGTGTGCGCATAGCAGCATATATACAGCATATAGCGCAGGGGACGCCGCGCAGTAATTTTTGCCCGCACAGTAGTGAGCGCGGATTAAAAGCGCCTTCGCTGCAGCACAGCACGGCAGCGGCAACTTGTTGTTGATTGAAGACGACGAGGAAGAAAATTGTTCACGAGTCTCCCAGAGGAAAATTCACGTAAGTGCGGCATTGGACGATTTTTTTTACTGTGCGTCGAGTTCGCTCGGGGGGCTCTGCGTTGCGGATTTTCGCACCTCCAGCGAATAGGATTTTGCACGCCACAGGCATCGTGTGACTCCACAGGGTACACAACGTCCATTTTGAAACGCGTTGCTTCGATCTTTCCCCTCCAGCATTGTGCTTTTGCGAAATTTCGCTCCCATAGCAAATTCATTCAGTGCGATATCGTTTCGGTAAAAAAGTTTCTGATTACTATTTTTACGCGCTATTGAGCAAGGTAATTTCATTATAATTCCGAGTTTTTCTTTTGGTAAGAAAAAAGATATACAAAACCACTGTTGGAATTGTCAGTGGAATTTATGATTCGGCTTTATTTGATCTGAACTCACTATATGATTATTATTTTAATTTTTGGGTTAAAACGTCGAGGTAGTAAGTTATTTTTCTTTTCATTCTATGTAGATTGCCAAAATGACGCCAGATGGATATGCAAGGATATATGTTGGAGGTCTGAATGAGAGTATCAAGAAAGAAGATTTACAAACTCAATTCGAAAAATTTGGCAAACTCAACAAAGTCTGGGTGGCATTCAACCCACCGGGCTTTGCCTTCATCGAATACTTCAACATGGATGAGGCAGAGATGGCGTGTAGCAACATGAATGGCACAGAGATAATGGGAGCAAAATTAAGGGTAGAAATTTCACGAGGTCGAGGCCGATCAGTCAGAGGTGGAGGCAGAGGCGGTGGAGGAGGTCGTGGAGGAAGAGGAGGCTTCGGTGGCCCTCGTGGAGGAGGTGGAGGCGGTTACAGAAATAACACAGGAGGTGGATACGACAGAGGTGGCAGCTATTACGGAGCTGGAGGAGGTGGTGTCGGTGGAGGTAGTGCTGGTGGACGCTACAGCCAAGGCAATGGGGGTGGACGCAGTTATGGTACCCAAGACTCTTATGGCGATGGTGGATATGGTGGAAAAAGGTTTAGGAGTCGATCTCCGCCTGGACGTACTAACAGGTATTAATAGAGATACCAAATCAACGTAAACAAAACAAACTTTAAAAAACAATCTTCTACATCGCTTTTGTTATGTTGTCCTGAAGCCAACGATTTCTCTTAATCAGTTGGAAACACGGAGGACTTTTTAATGTTGCTTTTTGTATTTGTAGATAGACTTCCAGTAAATACTCGCCGATCATAGGGGTTTCCACTGTAATCTTCATTATAGCATACTCTAGTCTTCTGGTACCTAATTATCATCTTGAATGATTTGCACAAAATTTTGTACATACTTCGTTGTTCTTATCATTTAAAGCATTAAACTTAATTGTTGACATGTATGCATCTTCGTTGTTAAAGTACTCAATTTTCGACAATTTTCCTTTCAAATCTCCGATTTAATGCAAAAAGCTCTTTAAAACAAATATCAGCATTGTAAAAGCTGTTTGACAAAAAGACATCAACACTTTTAAAGTGCCTTCGTTGTAAAAACATGTAATTATATCTATTTATATTTATCAATGTAATAGGGAAACCACGTTTCAAGTGACGGCAAGTGTAACACATTTGTCTAATGCATGCACTCACAAAGTTACTATTTTTTATTCTTTTCACGAGGACTCTTTAAAGTAGACAGCGTCTTATAAATTATAACTGCTGTACGAGTCCGCTATTAGTCCAAAGACATTGAATTTGAGTAATGAAACAAACATTTTTGCGCTTCCATGTTCACAGTCAACGTCATCTGCGTGAATGCATTTAAAAGAACTACACTTCGTTGCCAAACCTTTTTGCGGGCTACCTGTTGCCCGGCACGACGACTACATTCTGTCCAATCTTCGCAGCGAAACAACCAATTAATCAATCATTGTTTTATAAGAATTGTTAATTCGTAAGATCACAGCTCGAGACGTATTGTAACTAGGTTTATTTACAAAAAAATTTTGGTTCTGCGCGATAATTCCAAATTTTTTGATTATCAAGTAACCAAAAATCGCACATGAAGTGATATTGAATTTTATGCAGTATCTTTTTCTCTATTTCGAAAATTAATTTTTCTACTGATATTCCAGATCAATTAAAACACGGTATTTTGATTAATTTACTTGTATTTATAAATATTATATTATATAATAATGTAACGAAAAAAAAAAATTAAATTAGGAATGAATTGAACATTTTTGCATTTATCTGATAGATGAAAATAATAAATTTTTTTCAACTTTTTGAGTACGCGAAATAAAAAAATTACAAGTTGTTTGTGACGATATCTAGACGTGTTTTTAACAAAAATGAATTATTTTTTTTATTGTGTATGTAAGGGATCAGAATACTGTCACTACTATGTCAATCTTGTAAGTTATGTGAATCAACTGAATTAAATAATTTTGCGATCACTATTACCTGTCCCCCTGCCTGATATTTGCCTACATACTTCTGTCCACTTGAATATCAACTTAAGTTATTAAAATCGAATATTTTTATTTTTAATCCCAACGATTTTCTTAGATATGTTTTTCTAATTTATTATTAAAGTATCACATGAAAGATTTCATTTTCAAAGTAATAATTCATTTAAAAATCCATCATATACAATTTTATTCAAAATTATTCAAAGAAATTTACATGAAAATTTAATTTTCATTTTTAAGAAACAAATTTTTGGTTAGTCAAATTTCAAGATATTATTTGAAAATTTAAACATAATTTAACAACTGAAGCTATAAATCTAATAAAATTTGATGATAGATACATTCAATGCACCATTATGATTTTAATATACAATTGATAAAAACTCTGTAGACTCTGGAAACTTATGTACAAGATTAGCTATATCAATGTAAGTATTCAACATCATATCAAAATATGGTCTTAATCAACATATTACTATTTTTCTTTTATCTTAGATAGTAAGTTTGATCTCCTATCTGTATTTTGGAAAAGTGCCCTAATTAGTTGCTTTACACTTTGGGCATTGAACTCATTGGCAAGAGGACCCTTACCATCAGCCCAACGATCTTCAATTTCTTTCAGAGAAGCACCAAGTACAATTATCAGTTCCTTCAATTTTCTCCACTTCTGAACATGTTGCTGTATCAATATTGGATCCTGAAAAACAATACATTTTCCTTAGGTAACAGTATTTCAGGTATGGATATAAAAATTGATAATTTATGTATGCTATAAAGAATTTTATAATAAATTTTCTACTCACTGGAAATACTTGTGGTACTCTTTTTATAATCACATCAAAAAGTATCGCTAATTCTGATGCTACATTAGCTGATATATCTTCAACACTGCAAACTTTCATACACAAGTCTTCTACCACGTCATTAACAATGCAGCCAAGAGTTCTACAGTATACTTTAACAGGTAGTATTTCAATCCAAACTGTTTTCAAAAGCTCTAATTGTCTTATACATTGTCTTATAGCTTTTTCTGTAGTGACTGGTAGTTCAGGCATTTGACCAATTGATGATAAACCTTTAAATTGTATTGCATTGTGAGTTATAATAGTATCATATGTGTGTTATTATAATTGAATGATATTAAAAAAATTTTAATTTTACCTGATTCACGAATAATACCAAAAATAATATCTCTTTGATATTTCATGTGATTGAGAAAATATTCTGTTCCAACTTGTCTAAGAAGTACACTTTGGTCAGTGTAGACAAAATTAAAATTTTGCGATTGCAAAGGAATCCTGTATTTATACTTACTGGACAGTAGTAGTAAATGATGAGAAAGATAAATACAATTGTTATGAAATAAAGCTGAAAAAAAATTCATTTAAGAAGCAAAATTATTTAAAATTTTTTTTACTTTTTCATTTAATGGATAATTCAAAAAATACATACCGACTTGCTGTGGGATTGTCTCTAAAAATGATTTGTGAATTTCTGGAACTAAAGCTGCATACATTTCAATTACGTTCCGGCTTGTATAGAAAAGCCTGTATACATACTTATCCAAACACTGACATGCATCTTCTAAAATTTCATGCAATAAATCAACTATTTCTTGAGCACTTTTACTGTAAAATTAGTTTTATGAACTTTCATTAGTACTTGGTATTTATATTACTGAATAATTGATCATACCTTATTTGACATTCAGGAAATTGAAAAGTATTTTTACTGAGATTTGTCTTTTTGATATCAGAACTTTCTTGATATTCCCTTGCATCAGGGATTGAAGGAATGTGAGGCTTGTGTAAAAATGTATCATGTAGATCTTTTTTCATAATACTACGAGCAGATTCAAGTAATTTTTCACACTTTTTGTCAATGTATAACTTATCAGTGTCCATAGTATATTTCGATAAAAACATATGATCTTCACCGATGAATTTGATTTGTAATAAAAATGTTTGAAACTCCTCAATCTTCCTTACAAAAAATTCAAATTTTTCTAATTCTGTTGTTGATGTAGGAATTATTTTAGAAATGCAGTCTTCAATTAGCACTGTGGAAAAATTTTCTAACAATAAATTAGATAGTTTTATAAAAACACTCTCATCATTATCCAGAGGAACATCAAAATGATCGTGTAAAAATTCCAAAAATGTCTTTAAATTTTCAAATACGCCTTCAAATGCAGGTACTTGTTTTTTATCCAATATTTCTAACCTTAAGGTGGAATCAGTTACATTTATCTGGCAAGATGAGTTTATTATTGGGTTTATTATGAGAAGATTTAATTTTGCAGTCAATGATTCCATGCATCTAGACAATTTATGCAAATAATCCAAAGCCTGCGTCACATCGGCTAACTCATCTTTACTACATTTAATAGATAGACTGAATGACTTTCCACTTTGTAATTCAACTTCTGCATCGCTCCAAAAAATATTTTGTTTCCAGAAGAAATTTAAATCTTGAGTGACTTGTTCATATAATCTGCCATATTCTTCTTTTATAGAGTCGTATACATTCAACAATTTGATATTGTGATTTCTCTCAATGACAAGAGTTGCCAGCTCGTTTAATGTCAAAGCTGCTGTAGTGTAAGGCTTTTCTTTGACAGATTGATAGTTTTCTATGAACTTGAAACACTTAACAATTTCTTGAAGATGATTAACCAAGCTAAGACCAAAATTAGTTTCTTTCAATTCCATTGAAAATTTATGTAGCTCATCAACAGATAAAGTCAGGTTTACATTTACCTAAATATTTATACCTAAACTTTAGTCCAAATACAGAGCAATATCATAAATATTGTAAAACCGTAGTTACCGTATTTTTAATATAACCCCGCAAATATTGCATATTGGATATGAGTTCATCGCACTCCTCGACCAGTTTTTCATTGGGTACGATAAACATTTCCAATTCGTCATTTTTAGCTGTTGTGAATTCGTTGATGACATCTTTTAACTTACTTATTTCTTTTTTGATAACGTTTATTTTATCTTTCCGATCTTCTTCTTTACAGCTTTCTGTAATGTCAGAAGCAGAAGCATTATAGCAAAGTACTCTTAATTTGTTCACATGTTATTTTACATAAAAATTACAAGATCATTACCAGTAGCGAGCAATAAGTCGCTTATAAAGGACGACATTTCTATACTAAACAAAGCCTAGTCTTAAAAATTTGAGAAACTCTTTAAACTATCGTTAAAAGTATGCAAATCACCGCAAAACTGCTAAACGTCATCAGACGTGTTTATGTTTTGCCAGCTGTAATCACCGTGTGACAAGCACACCCGCTAAATATGAAATGTATCATTTCAATGACTAGATTATTGCAAATTTTAAGCGAATTTTAAATATTTTCCAAAAATTTTAACGTTTTGAATCATTGCACATCGTAATCGTTGGAAAACGACTATCAGATATCCTAGAAAATTAAATTATCAAAAATTTATCGTATCAGTACCGATCGTAAGGTGGCGCATCTTGTCACGAACGTTGAGTGGCGGTGAGAAGCGACCCCTTTGTTCTCGTTTAAAACTGCTGAAACTGCCACAGACCAATCACCAATACCGGCTGCGACTTGAAACTTCGCACAGTAACGTATGATTATAGCATTCAAGTGCATAGTACTGGTATGTAAACAGGCGACGATCGGTATTCCCCGGGGCCCTCGAATCAAGGTATTACTTACATACTGCTGGCAGTATAAACGAAAGTAGATCATTTTGGCCGCTCTGTTTGTTGTCGAGAGTGCAACAAAAAAAAGTGGAAGGTCGTTAGTTGTTTAGATGTTGCTGTATAAACATCGGTAGTGAAGTCGCCATGTCAAGTTATAGTTCTTTGTGATACGTTGCGGCACTTATATTAATTGATCTTCGAAATCATCGAGCAGGATTTGGTTCATAGGTAAACATGCTACAATTACAGTACGTCAGTGCCCGAAAATTAAATCGTTGCGCTTAAAAAACTATCTACGTCGATACTACTTTTTCAGTCACGTGATTAGCGACTTTTCCTTTTTGATGTGAAACATCTATATTTTTCGTGGGGTAGGCGCGTAGAAAATCTTATTATTATTTTGTTTTAATTCTCGACGACGAAACGGCATTTCTTTATTTTGACAGCGAAGAGATCCTCGTTTTTATCATGCCGTAACTTAAGAATTCTTGGAAGCGCGCGTGCGAGACGTGAGACTATGCCATTGTGTAATCCGAGATTGTAAATACTTTTTCCAGTGTGAATTCGACTGTAGCTACGTGCAGCACGCCCGAGGACGAAAAATGGACAACATGTACGAAATCGACCCGCCAGCGGACTTTGTCGTCAACAGTCACGTTGATGAGCTGCAGAATATGTTTCCGGAAATCGACCGAAGAGTCATCCAGAAATTGTGTCTGCATCGAGACACAAAAAATAAACAACAAGAATTCTATCAGATCGTTGATCTTCTTCTCGTTCTGAACGAAACGGACGACGCCGAGCTTCGCCAAGAAATGCTGAACGAGTTTACTCGACAGTCGAATCAGCCCATTGAACAGAAGCCGATTATCGACGAAGATCAAGTGCTCCTCGAGGCGCTGATATCTGCCGACCGACTGGCCGGAGCCAACGTAAAAATGAACGAAAAATTGTCGCTGGATTTTATTCGTTCGAGTGAGAAGGAGGAAAAATTGGAGATTCTCGAGAATATATTACCCAACTTCAATCCAGATTTATTGAGAGAATTTGTTGAAAAAAATCCGACAGAGGAAGAAATGATGAATTTTACTGACTATCACTTGGGCAGTGTCAACAAACTCAATAAACAATCGAGAATTCAACACTTTTCTAAATTGAAAAATGAGCAGCTCATTGCTCAGTATACAAAGAACTTTAAAATTGAAAAATTTTTGGAACACTTTCCTTATCCTATTGAATACTTTGAAAATGTTGATAAAAAACGTACTTATAATGAGGAAGCTTTGAATTTTCTTAAAATGAGATACCAATTTGTTGATGTGAGACATGTTTCTTCTTCTAAATAATGAGTAAACGAATGAGATTAACAGTTAATTTTTTAATTTATTGTAGAGTAATCAAGTGGAGAACTACTACGTATGGATGAAACACAGTTTAAGCCTGGCAGATGAAAAATTGCAGGAACAGTATGGTAAAGGTGTTGTATTAGCTGAAGTAAATACTGTTCAAATTCCTCTGCTACAAGAAATAGCATACATACAAAATAAAGAAGATATAAAAGAGTACTTGAGAACTATGGAAATAAAAGATGAACAAATTATGAACGCATTAAGGGTACGTAACCACATCAAAAATTGACAATTTCTTTATAATATTTAGATGACATGTAATTCACAGAAAAATGGACTTATTACTGAATGTCAATGTTGTTTCGATGACATGAAATTGAGTGATGTCTATGCATGTGGAAATGATCATCTTTTCTGTAAGCGCTGTATAAACAAAGGCACTGATATGGCAATTTCATGTGGCAAAACAGTAGTCCTTTGTTTTCAAGGATGCGGCAGTGAGATTCCATTGCAAGAAATTAAAAGAGGATTGCCTCATGACACATATGAGACATTTTTGAAAAAAAGACAAGAGGCAGAGATAGATGCTGCAAAAATTGAAAATTTATCAACTTGTCCATTTTGTCCATATTCAATGGAATTATCGCCTGAAATCAAAATTTTTAAATGCCAAAATTCAGAGTGCAAACTAATTAGTTGTCGGTAAGAATTGGCTAAATTTTTCATATAAATTTGGTAACTCAATTTAACTTACTCTCCAAATCTTATAAATTACATAGACTGTGTAAAAAAGTGAATCATCTACCGCTGAAGTGTGAAGAGGTCTTGGATACACACAAAAGCCGATTACTACTTGAAGAAGAAATGAGCAAAGTTTTAATAAGGGTTTGTTATAGATGTCAAAAGCCATTTGTTAAAACACATGGTTGTAACTTAATGACCTGTACTTGTGGAGCTCGAATGTGCTACGTGTGTAAAGCACCTATCAAAAACCATGATCATTTTATCACCAGTGCACGGTATACTATACAGAAAAGTTTTTTAGTTTATGAAAAAAAATTTTCAGTTATTTATCTTTTTTTTTGTTTTTTGTTTTAGTTGTGCTGTCAATTCTGATGTATTAAATACTGAACAATTGAAAACGCGTAAATCAGAAGTAATAAGCTATATTGAAACACAATTTCCAGATGTTGAAATTCCAAAAGTTGATTAACCTGATGAATACTTTTGATTTTGAATCTATTTCCATTTACTGTTATTCCATTTTTTACTTTAACTGTAAGTATTATAAGTGCCAGAAAGGAAATAATAAGTTGAACAAAGCTAGTTTATATTTATATTTTTATATTTAAAATAAAACAAAACAATGAGTCTCAACAACTATTAGAACATACATCAATGAATATAAAAATAAAGAGAGAAACTATTGTCGTTTTTGCAAAGCAGTCGCAGTGAATTCATTCATTATTAAAAACATCTAACTCGGTGGGGCCTTAGGCACCACTCCGAGCTCCTCCAACTCTCGCTTGAGCTTAAACTTTTGTATCTTTCCACTAGTCGTCTTGGGGAACTCGCTGCGCAGATTCACGTACTTGGGCACCTTGAACGCGGCCAATCTACCCTTGGCGTACTCCACGATATCGTCTCTAGTAAATCGCTTCGCGTCGTCCTTCAGCCTGATGCAGGCGCAGACCTCCTCGCCGTACGTGTCGTCATGCACGCCGAAGACCTGCGCCTCCAGTACCGCCGGATGCGACTCCAGGAAAGCCTCGATCTCCTTGGGGAAGATGTTCTCGCCGCCGCGTATGAGCATGTCCTTGATGCGACCGACGATGTGACCGTAGCCGTCCGGGCGCAGCACGTACTGATCGCCGGTGCGCAGCCAGCCGTCTGCCTGGAGGGTGCGTCGGGTGTTCTCCTCGTCGCCCCAGTAGCCCATCATCGTGCTGTAGCCCCGCACGCAGAGCTCGCCCGGCTTGCCCATCGGCACGGTATCACCGTTCTCGTCTATCACCTGTGTGCGTAACGAATTCTTTTACTTAGCATGGCTCGAATCAAAAAGTTAATCGTGTACGTACTTTAATTTCCGTGTGGTCCGAGATGTATCCGATGGTCGTGTCGGTCAGCTCGTGTGCCTCGTCCCCGAGGCTCTGGTTGCAGATAGCCGTGCACTCGGTTAATCCGTAAATAGACTGCGAAAAGGAAAATTCGCCCCGAAACATTTTTAAACCCCTCTCTTTCTTTTGCTTGGGTATGTGAGCCAGTCGGGCGAAGAGGGCGATAGATATGTGCATAGATAAGAGCGGCAATGCTGCCGAAGGCAGCGCGCGAGGAGGCCACTGACCTCGCGGCGAGAGCTGCATAGGTACGCGCTCGCTTACTTACCCCCCGCGCCGCGCGACGGGCTCGAGAATACGTATAATATATTTGTAATACACAAAAGCTAGAGCTTTAAAGGGTTGACTCACCTTTATTTGATCCATTCTCAAGTACTCTCGTACGTTTTGGTAGAGGCTGGGCGACGCCGGTGCACCGCCGATCGATCCCGTCCACAGAGTATCGACCCTCGCCCCGGTGCGTCTCTGCACATCGATCATATTGATCTTGAATACGAACAAAAGCAGTTAAAATTTTGCACGTTCAGATTAAAACGTATAGAATTATCGGTCTTGAAACAACTCACCCACATGGTAGGCGTGCCGAAAGTAACGTCGCACTTGTGCCGCACGATGGCGTCGATCGATCGCGCGGGATTGAAGGTGGGACTCTCGAGGACGACGGTGGAGCCCGCGTGAAGGGGCCCGCTCACGCCCATGATCATGCCGAAGGCGTGAAAGTAGGGCACGTTGAGGCAGATGCGCGCGCCCCGCGAGATGCCCAGACGCTCGACGGCCTGGCGCGAATTGTTGACCATCGACCGGTGCGAGATCAGGGTGGCTTTGGGATTGCCCGTGGTGCCCGAGGTGAACTGTATGTTGGTGCCGCTCCGGGGCGAGATTTCGTCCTGCTCCCGGCCGATGGCTTCCACTTGGATCGAACTGGCCAAGAGCTCGAGGTCGCTGCATTTTCTGGTTCCGCTGGAGAGGAAAAAAGGCATCGCAAGCTCGTAAATCGCCTCGCACCGAGTAATCATCGTCGTCGATATAATTAATGGTAGGTCGATCAACGTGCTCTGGCTGATGTACGAGGCTTTTACTCTAATTGCCAACGATTTCTCATCGTCGGTGCATTTTTTTTTCTATAGTAGTATCGCTTTGTAGTAGCTTTTACAGGTATAATGCGATTCAAGGTGAAGGAGCGGACAGCGATTTGTGTTTATAAACGATCGAAGAAAATTTTTAATTGACCTACTTGAGAGTTACTACTGGGCTTGAAATTAATCAGATAATTCGCGCACGAAATAAGAGCGATACATCGCTACACACAGTATACAGAAAGAAAGAAAGAGAGTAACTTGAAAATCTCCCTTGTCATCGCGCCTTTAGCCGCATTTCAGACACGCGATGTACAACGTACTATACGTGCGTCTTATAGTAGTAGTAGCAGCTATTACGTAGATGCGGTTCGTCCAGGCCAATTGCGTAAGCGAGACGTACTCGAGGCAATGCGCGAGCAATCGATCCGAATACACTACTTTTTTTTTTCTTCACTTCCTCCCCTGTTTTACTTTTGTTTCTCGAAATTGTTGTCTGTGTCCATGCATACATTTTGGCGCTTTTAAATAGAAAGCCGATCGAATAACGACGCGACCCTCTGTGTATAATGATGAGTGTAAATTTGCATATTGTAATAAAGAACTGCTGTATGTGTCTCGCGTGCGTTTTTCAGCCGCCGTCGCGTCGTGCGGCGATTGCACCAAGTGATGAATTACGCGGCAAGCAGAAAATGGCCAACTACTTACGCCACGTGATCGTCGTCCGAGTAAATGATTAGGTGCTCCAAACTCGACGACCGATCGCCACCCTTAACTTTCAGCAGCATATCCGCGTAATTCTGCGACCTGTAGGCCCTGGGCGCGAACACGGCTTTGGCCTCGATCTTCTTCACGCAGTACTCGATCTCGCTCTGCTGATAGAACGGATTGATGCCGGCGCAGATGAGGCCGGCCCGGGCCGAGGCCACGTAGGCCAGCAGCCAGTGATGGCTGTTCGGGCCCCAGATACCGATCCGATCGCCCGGACGCAGGCCGATCTCGCGCAGACCCGCCGCCAGACGATCGGCTCGGCGCAGCAGCTGCGAGTAGGTGAGGCGCAGGCCGGAGTCGGCGAGGTCGTGCACGCATACCTCATTGGGCCATCGTTCGGCCGCTCGTTGGGCTAGATGGCCGATAGTCGTCTCGAGGAGGGGACCGGTGCCCGGGTTGTGCATGTACGACAGGCCGTCGTCCGACGAGGCGTGTAGCCATCTGCAAGCTGTTCACATATATACATGATATATCTTTTTATTACGCGTGATTTTGCACTTTTTATAGCAGTAGTTCGACGAACTCCATAGCACACACTCACACACCCACAAACACAAGAACACAGAATCACGTACCTCCGGGCAAGGGTTGCTTGCTCAGCCCATTTAACGCCGACTGCGCCTTTCTCAGACTCGACAACATGCTCGGGCCGTCTATTATATTATTATTATATACGCGCTACGACGACTCGAGCATGATCTGTCAGAGAGTGAATTAACGCGCGCGAGACGAGTACGCGTCTTTTTCGCCAATTTGTTCTGTTTTGTGCGCTTCTTCTCGAGTGGAATAAATCAATAACATTATGCGCAGCAAAAAGAGAGCGTCTCGCGATGCCGATAAGCCAATGCCGATTTATCTAATCACAATGCGCCCGTGAAGATAAGTTACGAGTTTTTTTTTCTCGGTTATTATATATTCATAATAACGATGATATGCTCGCGGCATTGTTTGCGAAGCTTACGACGATTAATTAAAGCCACTGTGCTTTTCATGCAGGATGTACACGAATTTTCATCCTTTTATTCGAAAATCGAGGTAATCGAGTATAAAATAAGCAAATAATAATCGAATCGAGTCACGCTGGCGAAGCAAAAAGACATTGTCGCAATCACAATGATCGAGCTGCGCGTACTCGTCTGTATAAAAAAGTTTTCTGAATGTCACGAGCTCTTTATTAAACAGCGGCGGATTCTCTTATCAGTTTTCTTGCTAACGCACTTGGCTATTAATAATATATTCACGATCGCGAGAATTAGCCTTGCACACGCACACACAAATGTGTGTCGTAATTCCGTTGCGTTTGTAAACAAGACGATTTTTACACACCCATTGTTATGTATACGCATTTAATACGAGGAATCGATGGTTGATTTTGACACTGAGACGTATTTCCATTAATTCGCACGATTTGCAGAATCTAACGCGTAATATAATGTGGGTCAACGCGCGTTACCGCATCCGGATTACGAAATTGTAAAAAAACGGGGCGAAACAAGAGAAACGAAAGAGAGCCTAGATACACATAAATCTAAAGCTGCAGTAGAGGCAGCTTTGGCGTGCACACATAAGCTATAGCAAGAGAAAGAGAAATGCGAGGGAGCTGTGCAAGGAGGGTCGTGCGGCGTGCTTATACTCGCATGATGTACATGAGCGAGTCTGTAAAATTTCTTGAAAATTCAAAGTTAAATTCCCTGTTACAATTTTTTTTTCCTAAAAGATGCTTCATTGAGGTCCTAGAAAGCGTGAAAAATAGACGCGTTCAATCCACAGGACGAAAAATCGTCTTTCCCGTGACTACTTACAAGGAGAGCTTTTCAGGTCCGGGTCATGGATTTGCTCCAAAATTTTTTTGCAATCTCCTGGTACCCAATACTGAAGCACCCTGTGCTTATTTTGATCTCATGCGCCTTAGGGCCCATTTTTTAAAGGATTTTCCACATTCTGAAAAAATCTTTGTTATTTTCTATATCGATATAGAAGTACTTAAACGAAAAAATGCACCGATAAAATGTTTTGAAATTCTTCAAAGAATCTGCTTGAATTTTTTTAGAAGTTTTGGGACCATCTATCACTTAATTCAAGAGGCCCAAATTTGACGCTTATTTTATAGATTTTAGGACTTCTTAAAGAGAGTGGTAGATGGTCCCAAAAATTCTGAAAAAACTCAAGCAGATTCTTTCAAAAATTTTAAAACCTTTGATCGTTGCATTTTTTCGTTCAATACCTCTATATCGATATAGAAAATAATAAAGATTTTTTTATAATGTGGAAAATCCTCTACAAAATGGGCCCTAAGGCCCATTGGATCAAACTAAGCACAGGGAGCTTCAGTATTGGGTACCAGGAGACTGCAAAAAAATTTTGGAGCAAATCCATGACCCGGACCTGAAAAGCTCTCCTTGTCAGTTGACTACATACACGTTTGATTATATTGCTAAAGTTGTTCGAAAAAATACAATTTAATGTTATCATACCTTCGTATAGTTTACTTTAGTTTACATTGATAACTTCGAAATTCTATAAATCGATTGGTAAGTATTATCAAATTCAATTCAAATTACTTAAAAAGATAGATCTGAAAAAAAATCGGATATCCGATACCTAGCGGTAACTTCAGTAGTAATTAGTTATGACAAGGCCGACCGATGTTTTAGAGGAGATTTATAGCATTAAGTTAAGTAAAAATTGCGATTAAAATTTTTGGAGTTTAGGTGAATTCTTAGCCGTGTACATTGAAATGTAGCACAGGTATGTGCCTCGGCTCTATATATTTTTGATTATGTGTGTGTTCAACCAAACTTTAGTCTCGATGAAGTGCCGTGGTAATGAATTCATAATTTGAGATTTCGGTTTGCTCCTGAACGAATCTATGGATCTGTATTTCTTCGAATGATAATGTGTTTATGAATAAAAAAAATCAAAAATAATTTTTATAATTTATTTGTTTGTTTGAATGATATGGAAAGTCTACAAAATGAAATTACAGCAGAATTTAAAAAGTACTGCGATTATGCTTATTGCCATAGTGAGTTTAGGTGTGCATAAATATCAAGCTAATACGCCATAAATCTTCGTTAGTGAACGATTATCGATAATCATTTTACAGTACCACGATTGGAAGTCAGTAACTCGTCAGCGTCAGAAAAAAATCAAGTATCCATGAGCGATCGAAAAAGCTGGGCTTGTAATTATTTCCAGCTTTAACTATTGGGAAGAAATGTGAGCCTTCAAAGTGGCCTTTTCAATAGCTGGTCCGTTGCTTTTAGTGTAGAGATTTTGTTACTTCACGATAGAAGCTCTGACATGAGCGGGTGACTTTTCTCCGCATCGCTCAGATTGCTGTTCGCCAAGTAAATACGCCATAAATCTTCTTTCTTAAATGACTCATCGATGATTCTTTCACAGCAGAGAATCGGCAGCCGATTGCGCGTCAGCTCCAAGAATGAATCCAGTGCCCATCGCCGGAAAACTCCTGTGGATAGTTTCTCGCATAGATGGTCAATGCAAGCGTCACGAAAAAGTTCGTGACACATATAATTCGAGTTGATGTTGATTTCGAATTGATTCGAGTGCGCCAACTTATAGTAGTCCTCAAATTTAAGCAATTTTTCGGCCTCTTCGGGTCGTAACTTCACCACATCATCGAGCGACAGACTCGGCTTGACCATTATTCTTTTTGCTTCTCTTTCATACCCGTAGTAATGGAACACGTCATCTCTCCGAAAGTCATCAAAAATTTGAAAAGCGGCGCAATATTGGTAATTGGCAAACACTTTTATGATTGTCAGGGAGGCACCTCGGTCCAGTTCATAGCCTTTATCCTCGAGAAGTTCGACAATGGCTAGAATCCCAGACATCACTCTTAATTTATAACGATAGTCAAGATACGGGCTTGTGTTAAATGCCTGCAAAAAATAACTCGCAGCGGGAAAAACGAAATTAGACATATCAGCGCCACGATCCAACAGAAACTTGACATCATTCAATAAGACATGGGCCACAGCAAAATGCAGTGGGCTCCGCTTTAATTTGTCCCTGGCATCGACCTGTACCGTCTTCTGCATGTCATCGCAGATCTTGAAAAAAGTCTCCACAAAACCATTGTCTTTTTTTCTCTGGCAAATAAAATGCAGAGGAGTCATTCCTTCCGCATTGGTTAAGTTAGGATCGGCGCCTCTTCTCAGCAGCAATTCGGTTGTTTCCTTTGTGAGGAGATGGTGGTTTTGCATAAAAAAGTGCAATGGTGTGTTCCCATCATTATCCCGGGCGTCGATCTCTACCGTCTTCTGCATATCGTCGCAGATAATTAAGAATTCCTCCACAAAATCATCGTCGACTTGTCTCTGGCAAATAAAATGCAGAAGAGTCAATCCTTTGGCATTGACTGAATAAGGATCTGCGCCTTTTCTCAGCAGCAATTCGATTGTTTCCTTTGTGACGAGATGGTGGTTTTGCATTAAAAAGTGCAGCGGTGTGTTCCCCTCATCGTCCCGGGCGTTGATCTCTACCGTCAGCTGGATTTCGTCGATGATGTTGAAAAACTGTTCGACCATGTCCTGGTCATAGAATTTGCAAATTGTGTGCAGAGGAGTACACCCCCCTGCATCAGCTAAGTTTGGATCGACGCCGTTTCTCAGCAGCACTTCGACCATCTGTACACTACAGTGACTGGACAGAGCGCAGACTAATGCTGTCCGTCCCTTCTTGTCTACGGCGTTGACTTGCCACGGCTGATTGAACTCGTCGTTGATCTCGAAAAATATCTTCGCCAAGTCAGCGTCGTCGCCGTCGTCGTAGATTTCCAAACAAATAATGTGGAGAGGTGTTGATCCACTCTGGTCAAAAGTCAAATTTAGGCGCCTATTTTTCGTGGCATTTCGCAGTAGCAATTGGACCATATGTTTTTTACAGCCGTTATTGTGCAGAGCATAGTGTAATGGTGTTTGACCCTTCTTGTCCTCGACCTCGATCTGCACCGGTTTATCGAGTTCTTCGTTGATCTTGAAAAACATCTCTAGCAAGTCAAGATCTTTGCCTTTCCAGCAAATGTAGTGCAACGGTGTAAGTCCCTCCGCATCGGCCAAATTGGGATTGGCGTTATTTCTCAGCAACGATTCTGCCGCTTTTCTGTGGCCCCACTGCAGAGCCATGTGTAGCGGCGGACTAATATTTAATATTGCGTTCAGGCAATCGGGATCCTGGCCGAACTCGAGGAATTTCTCGATGACATCGCTATGACCAGACACGCAGGCCGCATGAAAATGGCTGAGTCCATCGTGGTCGGTGTAATTTAGGTCAAATCTGTTGTAAATGTCAAAAAGATCACGAGCGAGTTCGTGGCACTCGAATCTAAAAACGGAATGAAGGGCTGTGGTGCGATTTAACAGTGGCTTGCCGTTTTCATCGACTTTGGGCTCGTCTTTGTAGCCGCTACGAGCCACGAACTCGACGAATCGTTTTCCTGCACAATAGGCTTCCGGTTCTCCAAAAAAGGAAAATGCGGACACCAAAAGGAGACGATCTATTTCTTCTTGTGTAAAAATGTCTCGGAGATTCGGAAGTTGGCCCTTCCAATCGCTGATCACGGAGTCGAGTTGATCGAGAAATTCTCGTAATTCTTCTTCGATATCCCAATTGACCTTTTCACGCATACTCCTCAACGTAACCACATTTTCTTGGTTAAAACGATCCACGTGTTCGGAATCGAGGTCGTTGCCCTCGCCGTGAAAACTAATTGAATTGGATTTTTCGTCGAACATTATTCTGCTAATTCACAGATACACACACGCACACTCGATATCTTGTAATTTAAAATATTAATTTTTTTAACACCACTTGCTGCAGTCGATGCGATATCTTGGTCGGTATTCACGTTGCGGCGTCTTGATGTGGACTGACTCATACATGCTCTAAGATCTACATAGAGAGAGAATCAAAAATACGTGGGCGAAGCTAAAAGAGAAAGTTCAATTCGGTAACGATTAGAAAGCTATTAAATCCAGCTTAAGGAGGCTCTACACCAATCATAACAATAGTACAGCGAGGCATCTGTCTGTCTCTTTCTCGCATTAGGCAGACAACTGCTCGCACTATTCGAAATCAATGATTTTGTTTAATTACTCATTAGTTAGCTCGTTAAAGGGTAATTTTTAACGTACCAATCGAAAGCTTCGAACTTTCTCTTTCAGAAAATATATTTTTTATTAAGATGGTTGATCTTTTAAATTAGTTATAAACAATAAAAGACCGCGTCTCATAAGAGCCCGTGTTAAAATCGCCATTTTTAAACTTGTTTGTTGTTGAAGAGAAATTCTGAACTAGAGATTATCTCAAAATGCACATCGATTCAGCTTATGACAACATGACACATGTATGCGATACATATGCGGATAATCATTTTCCCATAAATTTAATCTCAAACGCCACAAATTTTCGGTGCATCCTAAAGTCACTCAAGCATGTAATATATGTTGTGAAAGTCACTCTCACAAAAGGGTTATCTCAAACCCCACATCGAATCGGTGCATTATAAGATTACTCATACATGTTATACATGTGGAAAGTCATTTCCACAGAAGTATGCGCTCAAAGCTCATATGGATACTGTTCATAATAGTATCCCTTACATAAACAAATAGGATACTTACGGAAAGAAATGCCCAACAAAGATTAATTAAATAAAACACTTAGATACGAAGAATGACTTACGAATAAAATTGTAAGAAAATTGAATGTAAATGTTTGGCAGACTAAATCAAAATGTTTTATTCGTAGCAATATCTTAAGTTCCTTCTATGTTATGTCATTATTTAAAAAGAACGCTTAAAATTTAAATAAATCAATAAATTTTTAAAGAAAATCGAATCATATTATTCATTGTAAAGCTAAAAAAATAGACCACAATTTAGTTGATATTAATTTTATAATATTAGTGCTGGCCTGAATTTTGCAGACTTATACGTCTATCAGAAAGAAGTGAATAACTTCACTTTTTACTCTATTCAGCACATCATTTTATTGAATCGTTGAGAATTTATCTTTAGTTATTATTATTCGATGTCCTAAATCAAAAGAACAATGAGTCACAGGAGAGTTTCTAACGATCTCAATAGCGACTTCATCTTCGAATTTTAAAAATTTCTCATAGAATTGCTCATATACACGTACACAGGACGCGATGGAAGGCTCGAGTAAGTAGTCGCGTGTGCTCGTCTCTCTCTCTCTCTCTCTCTCTCTTTCTCTCACTACTCCCCCGCGAAACGCGCGCAGCCTAGACATTTGCATAAACCAGAAGGAGGGTACACAGTCCGTACAGCTTTAAAAGGATACATACATACATGGCATGCCAGCAGCAGCAGCAGCAGCGGCAGCGAGGACCTTGTCAAACGAGCGTATAAGGGGGCGAGCGAGAGAGGCAGAGAGTACCACCACCACCCCCCGGACGCGAGAGCCAGCCCACAACCAGCCAATCACCCTCTTTCGGTACTCTTACACACACGAACGTACACAAATACACATAAAGAGAGGCTCGTAACCGAGAGTGCGGTTTTGCGGTGAGAAAGTTTGAGAGAATTCCAGTCCAGTCCATTGCACGACTCCTTTGCAAGCTGCTGCTGCTGCTGCCATTATACCCAGAATTATAGAGAGTCAGGCAGGCTTTGCGCGAGAAGGGCTAGCATCGAGCCGATGCCGAGGTTTGTGCGCGCGGGGCAGCCCCGACGTTTACCGATCGTTTCGTCTACTTTTTGCGTTCGAAAACTCTTGCTTACCGATTTCTTTTCGTTGTCTTTTTCCACAGAATCAAGTGCAGTAGTACAAGCCTCGTGTGTGTACGCGTGTGACCAAAAAAAAACATGCCCGATATCTGATCGCGGATCGCGTTGCTGCGTGAGTAGTAGTCGTCTTCTCTGCGAAGAAAGTATCGTACTCGAGGATGTCTCGAGAGCGCCAGTGAGACATCCCCCCCGGAGAAGATGAGTAGCAGCGGCGCTGGCAAGAAAGCCGCTGGCGGGCCCGCGGCCAAAGACAGCGGCGGCACCAGCGACAAACCAGCCAAGGACAAGACCACGGCAGCCGCATCGACCTCGTCCAAGGAGGACACCCCGGCCAAGGACGCCAAAGATGAAGCCGCAGCGAGTTCGGGGACCAACGGCTCGCCCGGTGCCGAGGGTACGTCCCAGCCGAGCAGCAAGCCGAGCTCGGCTGGGGCGGCGGCCCGCGAAGCCGCCCAAAAGCTCCTGTCGGTGGCGAGTCGCGGCGAATGGTCGGCCGCCGATCCTCTTCTCAAAACCCTCGAAAAAGTCGTCCAGAGCCAGGGGGAGGACGCCCATCCACCCTTGGCGGGACTCATGGACCCAGTGAGTAGTAAATCGAGCCTCTTTCATTCGTTCCTTGCCCTCGCGTATATACATTAATTCTTTTCTTTGTCGTCTGCGGCTCGAAATAGCAAACGGGCATGACTCCACTGATGTACGCAGTCAAAGACAACCGCACGGCTTTCCTCGACCGCATGATCGAGTTGGGTGCCGACGTTGGAGCACGCAACAACGTGAGTATAGCGTATAATGTAATAATATCCGAAAGGCGTCGAGGTAAAAAACGAAAGGAAAAATCCCAGCAGCGAACGTGTGTATAAAAGTTCGCGGCCGATCGCGTGAGCGAACAATTAGAAAAAAAATTTCTCCAAAGTAGAGCTTGGCCAAGGCCGAGGATCGCTCGCGTTTCCTTACCCTGCACTTTATACATTGTTATTGTCGTCGTTCGTTGTTGTTGGCTGTTGCCGCGTTACCCGCAATTCTTATTCTTATTATTGTTATTATTGTTGTGATTATGATTATTATTATTAAGACGCAGTGAAAACGTATACAGGAGCAGTGGCGGTGCGAGCATAACTAGGCCAGTACATAAGCGATCTTACGCGGGACACGAAAAGCCCGCCGCGATTCTCGGCATCACATACACACGTACACACATACATTCGAAGCGATAAAATCGTATTCAGAAGCTTACTGACCTCTATACGCGCTACCCTATGCTATACCGCCACTGCTTCCCCTTATGCCCCCGCGCTGTATAATGTGCGCCTTTCTTGCGGCGCGTAACTTTTTTTTCTCTCTCTTCACGCGATGTCGCCTTCACGGCTAAAGCTCGTTAACCCACACTCGGGCGCGCGCGACTTTCTTTACTTACACCCCCGACTTTCGTTTCTACGATTGCGAAATGTCGAAATAATTTGCTTATCGTAGCCGTGCCTCTCGCGCCTTATCGCAACGTTCGATTTTTCGTTATTAATGACCGATTATTTACCCAAATTCCTTCGAGGCACTTTTGAAAATAGAAAGTAATGTGCAATATTCCTATGCACGAGGCGCACCCGAGCATTAACTGCCAATAAAGTCGATTCTCCAAATGAGACGTTAATAGATGTTGAAAGCCGCCGTATACGTATCGAGGTGCGGCTGATTCATTGCGTATTATTATCCCTTCGACCTCAAAGTCCGTGATTAATAAGCACGATTTTGCGTCGGATCGTTACACGATATGGCTCTGTATGTTGCGAGCAAACGATGTTTTCCCTTGTTACTCATTTTTATTTTTTTCCTATCTTTTTTTTCACAGGATAATTACAATGTCCTGCACATCTCGGCGATGTTCTCGCGAGAGGACGTCGTCAAGCTTCTGCTTTCAAAAAGAGGTGTCGATCCGTACGCGCCAGGAGGAGTAAGTATAAACGATCGCATAATGTTCCGACAATTTTTTTTTTTTTTTTTTTTCATGAAACATGATGACAATATATGAATTTTTTCGTGTACAAAGTTTTTGATACATAATCAATGTGCAATATACTCGATTTAAACGAAGAGTAAGTAATTCGTTGGCACTCAGAGTATGCAAGTAGATATGTAAACGTACATCGTAAAAACCGATCTGTATCATAGTGTATAGTGGATCGGTTTAGCACGCAAACTAGTTGACAGTATCCACACATCTCGTGACTGAGACTGTAAATATTTATATACTCATGTTTGGATGTATACTATTTGTTATCAATGAAAAACAAATATACACACAAACAAAATTACGAGAGACGTCGTGATCAATAATACTTCATGCAATCGTGCGTGCGTGTGTTTTTCTTTTCTTTCTCTGCTGGAAATGTCGCTCCGCCACATCTCAGCCCAGACAACAGACCGCAGTCCATCTCGTGGCATCACGACAAACCGGGACTGCTACGTCTATTTTACGAGTTCTACTGGCCGCGGCGGGTCGAGACATACGATTGAAAGTGGATGGCGTGAGTATATACATGCAAGCATTTACTTTATTTTTCTATACTTTTAAGATATCGCTGCAGCAGTGAACCGAAGGCATGGCACACTGCGTACAGTATTCTCTATCGTGTCGAGCGGAGAAAATACACGTACACGTCCCCCCGCTATTATATGAAAGTCCGCGCTCGTTGCAGTGCACCAAAGCGTCTAATGGTGTTTTCTAACGATTCGCGAGCTCAGCGGCTCATGCCTTCCCTTAAGGTGGATGAGAAACATCGCGTGGCAATAGACCATAGGCGTGTGCGCCGCGCGGGACTAGCAAGAGAGAGAGACCTGACTGCAAAGTTGAAATGGCACTACTTTTCGGGTGGTAGGCGAGGGGGTGGGTAAAGAGAGAAGTAGAGAGAGAGAGAGAGAGAGAGAGAGAGAGAAAAGGAGCAGATAGCGTGGAAGGCGAGATTTTTACTCTTTATTTTTTTTTCTGTGCAAGCTCGAAAAACGAGAAAACTGATCGCGTGACAACGAGCTGCGCACAGCATAGCTGCTGTGTTTGTGCCTCGACGATTCTCTCCCATGCCGCTTATTTTTTTATGTACGTTTCTCGGATTTAAATGGAAAAATGAAAAGTATATAATATCTGACATGGGTTTTGTCGAGCGATGCAGCGTAATATTGTCTCTCTCTTTCTCTATTCCGTGACGTTATAAAAATATCGCGTTGGGACAGCCACGGGACAAGACGAGAAACGAATTCACGTACGAATACAAAGAAAAAAAAGAAGAAAAAAAAATTAGAGGCCGAGTGATAAAAAAAGAAAGAAAGTTTCTAGGCTATCCGATCGACACGTTCGAGCTTGCAGCAACGAGCGAGAGGTGTGAGCTTGCAAGCTCGGCTCCTCGCTACACCTATACTTGAGGGGAGGGCGCCTAAATTGAGGATACGACGGAAATAATATTCGTTTTCGCGGAAAGAGCATCGGCAGGCAGAGTCAGAGTGCAGTGCAGTCAGGCGCACGATATATTCGTTTCGCACGTAAGCCTCGGCGGCTCCTAATCGGTTTCGGCGTTCGATCGTTTGTGAAAACTACACGTAAGGCTGCTGCTGGGGTCGAGCTGCCTCGGCCTCTCCGATGTCAGTCGTGTTCGAGGCCCCGCAGCTACTACGCGATGACATCATGAGGCGAGGCAGCAGCAGCCAACCGCTAGCTAGGCGAAATCCCGAGACGAGTAGAGGTCCGTATCAACAGCAGCAGCAGCAGCAGCAGCAGCTGGGTACGACGGCCAAACGGACGCTCGCGCGAGTCAACGTCCTCTCGCGCTACTGGAGATGCGCCGTCGACAACATCTTGGACGAAGTACGCGTACGTTTATTTCGAGTGGGAGATCGTTTGGGCCCAGCCGAGACAAAAACTACTGCTTTTAATAGAGAATCGTATAGATCGACGGACGTGGCGATCGATCGGTGTAATTGGTGCCTCCTGTTGCAGAAGGGAAAGATCCCGCTGCTGCTGGCCGTGGAGGCCGGCAACCAGTCGATGTGCAGGGAGCTGCTCTCGCAGCAGGCGCCCGATCAGTTGAGGGCGACGAATCCCGCCGGCGACACGGCCCTCCATCTGGCCGCGCGCCGACGCGACGTCGACATGTGTCGGATCCTGGTCGATTACGGCGCCTCGGTGGACTCGCAGAACGGCTCGGGCCAGACGGCCCTGCACATAGCGAGCGCCGAGGGCGACGAAACCCTGGTCAAGTACTTTTACGGGGTCAGGGCCTCGGCGTCGATAACCGACCATCTGGACCGCACGCCGATGCATCTCGCCGCGGAGAACGGCCACGCGAGCATAATCGAGCTGCTCGCCGACAAGTTCAAGGCGAGCATCTTCGAGCGCACGAAGGACGGCTCTACGCTGATGCACATAGCGTCGCTCAACGGGCACTCGGAGTGCGCCACGATGCTGTTTAAGAAGGGCGTCTATCTGCACATGCCGAACAAGCGTGGCGCCAGGTCGATACACACCGCGGCCAAGTACGGCCACGTGGGCATCATTTCGACTCTGCTGCAGCGAGGCGAAAAGGTCGACGCGGTGACCAACGACAATTACACGGCGCTGCACATAGCCGTGGAGAGCGCAAAGCCTGCCGTTGTCGAGACTCTATTGGGTTACGGTGCCGAGGTGCACGTGCGAGGCGGCAAACTTCGCGAGACGCCGCTCCACATAGCCGCAAGGGTCCCCGACGGCGACAGATGCGCGCTCATGCTGCTCAAGTCCGGCGCCGGCCCCAATCTGGCCACGGACGACGGACAGACGCCCGTGCACGTGGCGGCGAGCCACGGCAATCTGGCCACGCTCAAGCTGCTGCTCGACGATGGAGGAGATCCCATGTTCAAGTCCAAGGTAAGACGAGAGACGCAACTTAATTTTGATACTTCTTTCTTGTACAAAGTATACTAATTAACTGATATTAACGCGCAAACTTTTTTCGACATTTATACCGACACTTTTTTCTTTGTTTTTCATTTTGTATATTGAATTGTACATATTATCAAACAACCAGCGTAGATTTTTGGTCCATCCCGATTCCTCGTTGTATATCGATTTTTGATGTTTTTTCAGTTTTGTTTTTTTCAGTATACGTTTTTGTAGCCTATATTATATATCGTAGCGGATGTACATTGATGTAAGACACCATATAAATTTTACGATATAGTTACTGTAAATATCACATTTTTACACGACCGTGTAAATATTTCTCATTTTCATCGCATCGCAAGGTATTTTCTCTAAATTTTTTACAGATGCGGAAACACACGTATACATAACAGCCAAATTAATTAATCACATAAATAACGTTGAATTTCAAGTGATTAACGCTCGATGTTTTTCTCTCTTTTGCATCTGTTTCTTGTGTTTCCCGAATTATAGGCCAGCTCGGCTGCGCAAGCTCGTCTGCTGGAAGACGATATTAAAGTCTTTTATGTGAGCATTTCTTAGTGTGACACGAGAGAGGCTCGCTCTGTGTACATATACACGAAAGAATCAAACGAAACTACTACTACTACTACTGCAATGATCACGAAGAATATAATTTATTTATTTATTTTAATCTGCTTATGTGTAAAAGTCCGGAAGATCACGCGAGATGCTGAATCGCAACGCTCGATGTTTTTCACACTTGCTTCCGTCACCTATGTAGTTTTATTATACTTCCTATTACAAAGCACCCAGGGCACCTAATATATAAATAATTGTAAATGAGCTTGCGTAGATTTAATAGAAAGTTACCGCGATAAACGATTAGCCACTGAAAACACGTTGTTGTCAACATGCGCACTCGATGACAGAACGGCGAGACACCGCTTCATCTCGCCTGTCGTGGCTGCCGCTCGGACGTCGTGCGCCACCTCATCGAGTTCGTGCGCGACAAGAAGGGCCCCGAGCTGGCCACCAGCTACGTCAACAGCCTGAGTTTCGAGGGCGCCAGCGCCCTGCACTACGCCGCCCAGATCGAGCCCAAGGAGGTGGTGCAGCCGGGTGACGATCGGGCCGTCATCCGGGCTCTCCTCGAGAACGGCGCCGACGTGGGGCTCCAGACCAAGCAGGCCCAGGAGTCGGCCTTCCACTACTGCGCCCTGGCGGGCAACAACGAGGTCTTGTCAGAGATGATCAGCCACATGAGCGCCACCGAGGTGCAGAAGGCGCTCAACAAGCAGAGCGCGGTGGGCTGGACGCCTCTGCTCATAGCGGCGCATCGCGGACACATGGACATCGTGAACAATCTGCTGGCGAATCACGCCCGAGTCGACGTGTTCGATCTGGAGGGTCGCTCGGCACTTCATCTCGCTTCGGAGCACGGCTACCTCGAGGTCTGCGACGCCCTGCTGGCCAACAAGGCCTTCATCAACAGCAAGTCCCGAGTGGGCCGCACCGCGCTACATCTGGCCGCGATGAACGGCAACACGCACCTGGTGCGCTTCCTCGTGCAGGACCACGGCGCGGCTCTGGACGTACTCACGCTACGTAAGCAGACGCCGCTGCATTTGGCCGCGGGGGCGGGCCAGCTGCTGGTCTGCAAGCTACTATTAGAACTGGGCGCGAGCATCGACGCCACGGATGATCAGGGCCAGAAGCCCATACACGCCGCGGCGATGAACAATTACGCCGAGGTGGCCCAGCTGTTTCTCCAGCGCCATCCGAGCCTGGTGATGGCCTGCACCAAGGACGGCAACACGTGCGCGCACATCGCCGCGATGCAGGGCTCGGTGCGCGTGATCGAGGAACTGATGAAATTCGACCGACAGGGAGTGATCACGGCGAGGAACAAGCTGACCGAGGCGACCCCGCTGCAGTTGGCGGCTGAGGGTGGCCACGCCGAGGTCGTCAAGGCCCTGGTGAGGGCGGGCGCCTCGTGCGCCGACGAGAATCGCGCGGGTTTCACGGCGGTGCATCTCGCGGCGCAGCACGGCCACGGACAGGTGCTGGAGGTCATGCGATCGTCCCAGAGCCTGAGGATATCCAGCAAGAAGTTGGGTGTCACCGCCCTGCACGTAGCCGCTTACTTCGGACAAGCTGGTGAGTCGATATTACTACTTTCTGTACCTTTTCTATATTTTTCTTGTCGAGCAAAGTGCAATAATGATTCCTGCGAGCCGAGAGTTTGTACGCATAACTGCAACTTTGATAATATGCCATTAAAAAGATAAGTGCAGGGAGGGCTGACTACGCGATTCGCAAAATATTTTTACATAGAATCGTACGTGTACGTGTTTGTACATTTCTTTATTACGTTTTTAAACGCAACTTTGGCCTGCGGAGCCCATTGATCGTTGTGTGCGCCGTGGCAAAAAAATATCGCAGCTTTATATTGTATGATACGGAGAATAATAACTTTGCGTAACGTCCATGCGGCTATAGAAATTTCCAAGTTTTGCATTTGGCTATACACGTATCAAGAAAAAAAACTACGAAACGTGACGAAAAGTAGAGTGGGGATACAGCTACACGCGAAATTTCTATTTTCTCATGTGTGCATTGGCTGTGCTTATTTCCTGCGACGCATCGACAGCGTGCGGCACGGTATATAATAATAATAATAACAATAATGCAACGTGCGACGATAAGAAAAATATCGAGATCGAAACGAACCTTGACGCAAGGTCTCGTTTCGTGACTTATAAAGCTCGATCAGAAAAACATGCTTAGACTTTGAAAAGAAAAGAAAAAGTTGTACAGATCATGGGCAAGAGATTGCGGAGCACGTGAAAAATTTCATCGAGTTATGTCATGCCTCTGATTTCCTTCTTTTTTTTTTTGTTCACAGACACGGTGCGAGAGCTACTGACTCACGTGCCGGGCACCGTGAAGTCCGATCCGCCGACGGGCGGCTCGCTGGTCGGCGAGCTCGGCAGCGAATCGGGCATGACGCCGCTGCACTTGGCGGCCTACTCGGGCAACGAGAACGTCGTCAGATTACTCTTGAACTCTGCCGGTGTGCAGGTACGAGCCCACTTACTTGGCACACAAAACTTTCTTTCCGAATTTTTTTTTTCTCTTTCGACTCCTTCGAGCGTATAAATAGCCTTCATTTTTAATTGCAAGTTCACTGGCAATTGGGGAGCTTTTCGTGTGGGTGTAGCTCGGTCAAATAATTCGCGTGCGTTACTTGTGGTTCTCAATGAATTTTTCTAAAAATTATATTTCAGTCAAGGTTGAGATGACAGAGAGGAAATCGATAAAATCAATTGAATTAATATACAAATCAATTAAAAAAAACTTAACTCATTTTTAGAATGCAGCTAACTGAGAACAGCTGTCAAAATAAAAATTTCACGAAAAAAAAAAAATGAAAGTTCAAGCGAATGAATACATTTAATTTAAATATAAATTCAGTTGCATCACTTCTAGTACTTTTATTAAATGAGTTTATTTATTTACTTGGCTTTTTTGTCAAAGTTTCACTCTGACAGCTGCATTTACACGGCACTTTATTGATTTTAATAATGAGTTATATTATTGTGAGAAAATGTAAAAATTCATATTCCAAAATTCACCTTGTATCGTAACAAGATTTAAAGTCATCGCAATTAAAAAAAGTGTCATGTTTGACTATAAGCTTTTCACTTTTATCAACAGATGGAGCATCTTAAACTCACAAGTAGCAAAAAAATGTCCGATTGGCATAAATACGAAACATTTATGAATAATATATTCTTGAATTCTTAATAGTAATACAAAAAACTAAATAAACATGGTTTTAAATTAATCAAATGAGACATGTTGTCTTGGTTTGATCGTTGATCAATGCTACACATAATTTAACAGGTCGAAGCCGCGACAACGGAGAACGGGTTCAATCCATTGCATTTGGCCTGTTTCGGTGGTCACATAACGGTGGTCGGCCTGCTGCTGAGTAGATCGGCCGAGCTGCTGCACAGCGCGGACCGCTACGGCAAGACGGGTCTGCACATAGCGGCGACCCACGGCCACTACCAGATGGTCGAGGTGCTGCTGGGCCAGGGCGCCGAGATCAACGCCACGGACAAGAACGGCTGGACGCCGCTGCACTGCGCCGCGAGGGCCGGCCACCTGGACGTGGTGCAGCTGCTCGTGCAGAGCGGCGCGTCGCCCAAGAGCGAGACCAATCTCGGCTCGGCGCCCATATGGTTCGCCGCCTCCGAGGGGCACAACGACGTTCTCAAGTATCTCATGGAGAAGGAGCACGACACCTACGCCCTCATGGAGGACAGGAGGGTGAGTAGTAGTATATAGCAGTGAGTGACGCAACGCGCACACAAATCTGGGTTGCAATTTCAATATTCGGGCTCGCTTTTACTTATATATGCATGCATCGATCGGTTGCGAGGATTGCTTACCCCGCTGCGTTTGTGTCGCGCGCCGCTCCACGGAACTGGAGTAGGCCTCTCCGTGTCCCCCTTTCGCCGAAGAAAATGAAAAATATCCCCTAAACTTGGTAAGAAAAAGTAAAAGACACACACACACGATTCGACGAAAAGTCATTATATACAGGGGGGCGGACTTTGCGTAAAACAATTACGAAAATCCGTGCGAACGTACATATACTAATGTATATAATACGATACACAACAATCTCCATCGCGAAGGAACCGAGAAAAAAAAGTGGAGAGGGAGACAAGCGAAACGTATACAGTACGAACACAGCAGTAGTGTATATAAATCCTTGCGCTGCAGCCCTTAACGCTCGTCTGACACGCGACACACGCCGTTCTATAGTTATACCTATACAGTACGGAATTGTGCATCGCTTGATACCTAGCTAGCCTTACCTATATACACGCGTCGCGTCGTCCTTGCTGCTGCCTAGTCGACGCGGCGCGATGAAATAGAGTCTCGGCATGAGCGGCGTCGCCTACCCCCCCGGCCGTCCTATTTCCATTTCTTATATTCTATTCTTTTCTTTTTTTCTCTCTCCGTACACAGTTCGTGTACAACATGATGGTGTGCAGCAAGAGCCACAACAACAAGCCGATCGAAGAGTTCGTACTGGTCTCGCCCGCGCCCGTCGACACAGCCGCCAAACTGTCCAACATCTACATCAAGCTGTCGGAAAAGGAGAAGGAGCGCGCCAAAGACTTGATCGCCGCCGGTAAACATTATGCAAATCAACTGCCGATGATAACGAGCGACCAACGCGAATCGATCGGTATTATTATTACGTACAGGCAAGCAATGCGAGGCGATGGCGACGGAGCTGCTGGCCTTGGCCGCGGGCGCCGACTCGGCGGGCCGCATCCTCACCTCGATGGACAGGCGCAACGTGGAATTTCTCGACGTCCTGATCGAGAACGAGCAGAAGGAGGTGATCGCCCACACGGTGGTGCAGCGCTACCTGCAGGAGTTGTGGCGAGGCAGCCTAAATTGGAACGCATTTCGCACGATACTATTGTTCATAGTATTCGTCATCTGCCCTCCGGTCTGGGTTGTCTTCGCCCTTCCCCTCGGACACAAGTACAACAACGTGCCCATCATCAAGTTCATGTCCTATCTGACCTCGCACATCTATCTCATGGTGTTTCTGGCGCTCGTCGGCATCATACCGGTCTACACGGTCAATCGTAATCCCCTCGTCCCGTACTGGTACGAGTGGTGTCTGCTGGTCATGCTCTCGGGCCTGCTGCTCTTCGAGCTCACCAATCCGAGCGACAAGAGCGGCCTGGGCTGGATCAAGCTGGCTGTGTTACTGTTCGGCATATTCGGCGTGGCGTTCCACCTGCTCGGCTACTTCAACATCGTCGCCGTCGACAATTACGGCACTCTGCTCTATCTGCGAAATCAGCTCTTCGCCCTGAGCTTTTTGCTGGCCTGCGTGCAGATCCTGGACTTTCTCTCGTTTCATCATCTCTTCGGGCCCTGGGCCATCATCATCGGCAATCTCATGAAGGATTTGGCCAGATTCTTGGCCGTCTTGGCCATCTTCGTGTTTGGCTTCTCGATGCACTTCGTCGCGTTGAATCAGGCCTTCAAGGAGAAGAGCAACCGAGACACGAACAAACAGAACAAGCCTCCGTTCTCCGATGGTGAGTCGGCCTCTGCCTTTTTTCATCACTCGACACAGCTCGACATTCTTTTCTTTTTTCTTCTTTTACTTCTTTCTACTTTTTTTTACTCTTCTTATTTTATAAACTTTTTTCTTTACTTTTTCAATCAGTAACAAATAATCAGGTAATCTTAAGCCTAATGACTCAACAGACTCGTGTCTGTGTGGGTGGTTGAAACAATTTCCTATCGATTCACACCGATTTTTTTCTTTTTTTACCATTTTGCATTTTTTACAACTCTATTTGCTTTTTGATTCTCTAACGCAATGACAAAACAATTTTTTAATAACATGAAACATTTTTTAACAGTTTTTTACATATTATACTTTTTGTCTTACTTTTTCTTCTCTCCTGAAAAGAGCCCGTTACCGAACCACCGATTGTAGAACAATTACCGTATAACCCCAAGAAACCAAGACGTCCAGGTAACCGTATCAAAGCAAAGCAAAAAAAAAACAAAAAAAAAGTACGTCACGCAACAATTAACACGCAGCAAGGCTACGTATATTAATTTATACTACAAAAACCAAAATTGAGAATAATCCGAGGCTGATTTTTCAACCACCCTTTAATACAGCTTAGAAAATTAGATATAGAATATAGCTACGAAAAATACCAATGAGAGCTATGAATTTTTTAGAATTAGACGCGCGATACCAAAAAAATCTATTATGAACTATGACAATATTAGATTAGATACTTTTTTACAATTGCAATAATCAACACACCTATTGTATCATACAAAAAACTATATCTTAATCTTAGGCATTATATACAACAAAAATATTTATAACAATATACTATTATGAAACTTATATGAATATAGATCGTATATAAGTCTGTATGTGTGTTATTGTATCACGATGGGCTATTAGAAATGGTGGCGCAAAATTTAACCGATTGGGAAATGATCGAGACTAACGTACCGATTCCACCGGTAACGTCGCATCGACGCTTTGGGCGCTACAAGAAAAAGACCGGTTGCGACGATACACAAGACCGTAAGTCGTCTCTGTCTCTCGGCTGCGCGAGCGACGAGAGCCGCTGCTGCTGCTGCTGCTGCTCGCCAGCGGCCGAGAAGCAATTGAACAAAAAAAAATATAACTTACACCACAGCATCAGTGTCTTTCTTGTTGTGTCGTCCAGTGCAGTTCAAATGCAGCATATGTTTTATTACAACTAACTCTGTTATAAATACAAATACATTATAATCAACCATTGTTGTGTCGTGTGTGTTTTGTTCTTTCTCTCTGCTGCTGAATTAAAAAAAAAAAACAAAAAAAAAGAGAGAGAAAAAAAGAGGAGACACGTTCTGTCCGCTTCATGTGGTTACGTCAATATTGCAAGCCGCAATTTCAACAAATGCATCTCTTTGGCCTGTTGTGCAGTCCGCTCCCTCATAATAACATATGCAACAATACGAAAAAAACCATGTGCGTCGCGCGGCCGCCGCCGCCGCTCAGCCACCCACCCCCACCTTCTGTGCATTCGTACGTCACACCCACATTTGTCCTAGTGTCAACTTTTCTATCTTTATATGTATGTGTCTGTGCGCCGCAACGAACTCGTCACACTCGCAAGAACCAAAAAAAAAACACCTACTCTGAGCTTGTGGAGATGGCATCTTCTATTTTTTCTATGCATGCGAACAGCTGAGAAGATACTCGACGAAAGCTTTCGCTATCCACAATCAACACCATCATTTATAACATAATAAGTGTCTACATACGCAATATACCACGCCAAAATAAATGTTTGTTCAAGTACTTTTCTATTTTCTAAGTCTACATAAAATATCTGTACCTGCATACGTCCTGTTGAGAGCAAACGTCAATTTTGAATTTATGTTCGCGCGCGTAAACGAGATCGAGCGTATGATAATGTGTCTGTATGTGTGTTGCGTCAAACCAAAGTGTCAATTTTTGGTTGTGAAATTCTTGAATAAAAGCCAGAAAATATGAATAATATGTCTTAGCGATCACTTAACTGTAGTCCAAAAGTAAACTGTACTGTCCAAAGTGCACGAGTGCATGTTATCAGCTGTAATGATAGTTATTATATTAGTCAATTACAATAGAAAGTTTAGACCTAGAATAGAGCTTCAAGTAGCCAAAACGCAGAGTAGTCGAACAAAGTGTCTGTCAACCAGCTCCGTCACTGTCACCCGCTTTTATGTTGAAAAAACCAAACAAATCGTAGTGGGTACTTAATCAAACGTAGAATTGACTACAACAACAACAAACAAAAAATTAGAAAAGCAATGAGAGATGCAGTCGTGGCAATTTTTTGTTTGCGGCTTCACCTCTACTTCACACTCACCGCACAGTGAAAATGAATCCGATGCTCGCCTTCGAGTATCTCTTCTTCGCCGTCTTCGGCCAGACGACCCACAGCGAGCTCAAGGTCGAGCAGAACCAGCCCGAGTGGACCTCGAGCCTCTTCAAGCTTGCCTTCGGCGTCTACATGCTCGTGGCGGTCATCGTCCTCATCAATCTGCTCATCGCCATGATGAGTGACACGTATCAGCGCATCCAGGCCCAGTCGGACATCGAGTGGAAATACGGATTGAGTAAACTTATTAGAAATATGCACAGGTAAGCCCATATGAGTAGGTAGTTGGACAAATATATTGTAGACCAGTAGTTATATATTATCTCGAAATGCAGATCGGCAGTAGTTTTTTCTACACTTTTTTATACGGATGATGGACTTTTGTCATCGTTTCATAATTCTCGTTACATTGAAAATTTGATTAAAATGAATTTTTCTTATAATTTTATGCCAACACGTTTGAAAGTATTTTTGCAACGATTGCATGATTTACATTTGGCTCGATTCTTGACTTTTGGATTTTTCACGCACTGATAAGTGCAAATTTGATCAAAAAATTGTAAAAAGGCTACGACAAAGACTCGCTACGAGGGTCGTTTTTTTGTGCGAGGAAAATTGACGTATCTTGCGAGACATCCTGCGCGGGAGTTTTGCTTTTTGACGGCGGTGTGACCCTCCCCCCATAACGATCGGACTGCACAATCTCGCTCGTGAACCAGTCATAAAGTATAGACGAGAATTTTTATTCTCTCCTGGCACACACAGAACGACCACCGCACCCTCGCCGCTGAACCTCTTCACCACCTGGATCGTGTACTTCATCAAGCAGTGCCAGCAGCGCAGCGCCAGCAAGAAGCGGCCCTCGCTCGTGCACATGATGGGCCTGCAGCGCAGCGGCGGGCGCATGTCTCCGCGCTCCAAGATGGGCGCCAAGTGGCTGTCCAAGGTGAAGAAGGGCCCCGAGAGCCAGGAGGCCAAGGACAGCATCACGGCCCTGTCGGTGATGCAGCAGATGCATCTGTCGCCGCTGGGCAGCCAGCTGTCCTTCAACAGCGCGGCCAGAATCGAGAGCGTCGTCGACTGGGACGCCATACGCAAAAAGTATCTCGTGCTCACGGGCAACGAGCCGGAGAAGGAGCCCGAGAAGGAGGAAAAGGACAGCGAGGATAACGAGCATCAGCAGCAGCACGACGCGATGAATCTCAATGGGAACAATGCCTTCGGGGCGGCCTCCAATGCTCCGGGATCGCAGTCCAATAATCCGCCAATTTAAAAAAAAAAAAAACAGCTGCATTCGACGAACTGCACCTCCACAGCACAACACACAACAAATAAACCAACAAACGACGTAGTTTATGTATATATCGTAGAAGAATATCGTGTTTCAGTGTTAAAGATAATAACGCTTAATTGTAAAGTATATTTAAAGATTAACGAAACAAAAAATAATAATAATAATTAAACACTCGCGTGTTCGTCGATCGAAGAAAGAAGAACGAAAATACCAAGAAACGACGACGACGACGACAACGACTACGACGATGCGTTTCGTCGCTGTCGTACTTTTAGCGAGTAAGTAATTGCGACGAAGAAAATAAAAATTAGAGAAACAGAAAATCATCTATTTTGTACGTGTATGTTGTTGTGTCCTGTTACACGGTGGTGTCTTGTTCTGTCCCCCTCGATCTGTGTATCTTTAGCGAGAGATTATTAGTTTAGGGTGCGAGAAAAGCTCGGTGCTGTTGCATCGGTTGGAAATTACGCTAAAAAGGTATACGAGTGATTCCACATTAAAAAAATTCTTCAAATTTGAAGTTGAAATTGCGATTGGCATTTTTTTTACTTGGCGCGTATAATGGACGTTGATAATTGTTTATTGGAGGTCTAGAAATATCGAAAAATGTGGTAATAAATTTACTTAGATATTTTGTCTATAGCTATTTTTGAGTTCCACAAAACGAAAAATTGCGTTTTTTAAGGGTTACCAGTAGATAGACGATTAATTATTTGAATAATTATTACAATTACTCTATGATAGTCAATAATTATAGCTATTTTATTAACTCATTAAATATTATAAGATAGTCCCAATAATCATTCAAATGACTAATCGTCTATCTACCGATCATCTATTGGCTTGGTTATTCCTGTGACTACTTTTTCGAGTTCAACATTGCTGAAATCGTTCGAAAATTTTTTCTCTCTTTTTCTCTCTTCCTCTCTTCTTGGCTTTGGAAAAACGAATACATAGAAGAAAAGTTCACTAGAATTCGAAAAAAGGCATTAAAATGGTATAATTTGTGGTGAATATTAAACTACACTGAAAAAATACCTTAAAAAAAGGATTATATTCATAGCCAGCATAAGATGTATTTAAAAAACAAGCCATTATAAAAAATTGACGAGCTACTAAGGATGAGCTGAAGGTGACTATATTATAAAATTAACATCGACTAACGGGTTCAACATTTTATTAGCTCACAATTAATACAGTGCGCTTGATTTTCTTCCAAAAATTTATTGATCTTTTTAACATTTAAACATTGTTTTACATAATGACATAATATTTGAGGAAATTATAATACAATTGTAAAATTGTATACGTTCATAAAGTTTTAATGCGTGAGTATTATTTATGCATCGAATTAATGTGCCTTGTAAGACTATACTGAGTTGAGGTATTCTTTCCACATAGATTACAAGTATGTGTGACATCATTGTGCATCGAATCGATATGTATTTTGAGATTTTGTTTTCGTGTAAACGACTTCCCGCAAATATCGCATGAATGAGTAATTTTACCATGCACCGATTCTACGTGGATTTTGAGAGTACACTTACGGGTGAATGTCTTTTGGCATATACCCATGTATGTCTGACACCATTATGTACCGAATCAATGTGGATTTTGATTAAACGTCTCTCCGCATATATCACAAACATGAGACATTTTATTATGCACTGCCTCAATGTGTCTTTTGAGATACCTTTTTTGAATAAAAGACTTTTCACAAATATTACATGTATGTGTGACACCTTTATGCACCGTATCGATGTGGGTTTGGATATAACTCTCACTTACGAATTCTTTTCCACACAAATTACATGCATGTTTGATACCTTCGTGCACAACAATAATATGGGTTTTAAGACTACTTTTTGTTGCAAATGTCTTTCGATATGTATCACATACGTGAGGTTTATCATTATGCACAGTGTTAATATGTGTTATGAGGTTACGTTCGCTGTGAGATCTTTTTTTGATTCTTTCTGTATTTTGATCGACAAGTTCACAATTGAGATTCAAATTTAATTCTTCTCTAACGTTACCATCAAGTTCCCGTTCCACTTCCTCCGCGGATTCTATTTTAATTATGTTTTTAGTTTCATAATCATCGCTATATTTCATGTACTCCAAGTGACTTTGAGAGTCATCAAATTTTTGAACTATCAATGGATCCGTCTTGACGTCTTCACATTCAAAAACTATTTCCATTTGGTCAACAAGTACGCTTTTTCGAAATGTATAGGTCTGTCGAAAAATTAAATATTAGTCACGCATAATTATAATACGAGTTAGATACGTAAATCAACACTTACGGAATTTTCTCGGGCAAATGGCAAGAGTTGAAAGTTTTTCAGATCGGGTTTTTCGTCCATCATTTCACTACTATTCTCAGAAAGCGACACATCAATAAGTTCCTCTTTGACTCTGACACAAGCCCAATTAAATTCATCACTGGATTCCATTTTCTGCACTTAAAATTTCGTTAACAATTAATCTTTTTGAAATGATATATATTAATTCAACACGAAAAGACAGGCGAGAAACGTACGTTGTGTCTGTACAGAGAGCGGCAGTTTCTGCTTCATACAAGTAGCGCGCACAGCCCTGTAAGTATAGTGCACAGACTTATCGTGGCATGCACGGCAAAACACCTTGCGGGGCAACAGTAGAAGCGGTCAGCATACGACGTAAAAAGTAAACAATAGAATAACACAGCTCTATTCCTTCATGAGGAGAATAATGACAAATCGTGTTATGAAATTTCATAGTTATTTTAATGTAAAGCGAAGCGTAATTGAATCATTATAATTATATAATTGAAAATATAACATTATAATATATCTTATGTTTGATGAATAATTCATATTATTCATCAATGATTAATTTATATGAAAAAATGAGAAATTAAAAAACAATTCTAAGGTGCAAGAAGCTCATTCAAAAAGAGTAGGTTTTAGAAAAATTATAATGTCAGAAAATTTTATTATGGTACATGAAAAAAAATTAATTTGTTACGTAGTAAAATTTGCAATAACGTAGTAATTTTTATGACAAAAGTTGAGTAAATCCCTCGATTACTACATAGTTATTTTTTCTAAGATATTTTTAACATTAATATGAAATTTGAATTACTCTTCACTTTACAAAAAAAGTGTTATTCTCTTTTTATACAGCTACAATATTTTTTATTAATTGTATGATTGTTGAGTAAAAAATATTTTAATTTGCCAACTAATAGTTTAACATTTGCCGCATTTTTTGAGCCAGTGAGTTTCTCTTTTGTTATTCAATGTTCCAAGAGAGCCAAAAAGAGCATTAGAGAAAAGTTTTGGACGATTTCAGCATTATCAAATAGTATGTCACGTTTAAAAGAATATATTTCTTAATTTTCTTTCCTGGGCACTGAGTATCCAGAGAAAAATTATCTACGGAAATTTCCACAATGCACACATTTTCCTGTGTTTCTGGAACCTCAGTAAATAATTATCAACGTTCATTACACTTTCTAAGTGACAAACATTTCATTCGCGATAATAGCCTCGAATTTAAGGAATTGCTTAGAATTGCTCAAGTAGTTGTGCTTTCGATCTTCAGAAGCTGGATCTTGGCACGACGAGCGAATCGAATTTCCAGCCAGAGCAATCGATCGAGCAATATATGGTTGTTTCTTAGAACTATATTTATATACCTTCGTATAAAAATTATAATCATCATGCATGAACACACTGACTTGTTTTCTACCATGAATGGGTGCGTGTGTGAATTTGCTTACATATACCGACGGCGATTTATTATTATACATTATATCACACGACAATTCATCATTAAATCCACGCAAACGTAGAGGACACGTAAAAAGCTATAGTTCTAGCGAGCGAAATCGACGATATCGGTAATAACAATGTCGATCGGCTCGAATTGCGTCATCCAAGAAAAAATGTGAACCGAGAGCATATTGAATTTTGCGAATGCCTGCGACACGAATCCTCATCTTCCGTCCGTATACGATCCACGCGCGAACCTAATTAGTAAATAGTTTAAAAAGAACAACAACAACAACGAGAGAAAAGAAGGACAGCTCTAAAACGATCCTCGTACGCTGGGGGTCCTCGGTGAAATTATCATTGCAGTTGTCATGTGGCCGCATCACGCGATCGAACTGCTGTTCTTCGCGATCTTCGGCCAGACGACCCACGAGAACTTCAAGGTCGTGCACCGCGACAAGCAGGAGTACTGGACCACGGCCTTCTTCAAGCTCGCCTTCGGCATTTACATGCTCGTCTCCGTGGTGGTGCTGATCAATCTGCTGATCGCCATGATGAGCGACACTTATCAGCGCATCCAGGCCCAGTCGGACATCGAGTGGAAGTACGGCCTGAGCAAGCTTATTAGGAATATGCACAGGTGCGGACCACTGAAACACATACACACATCGGCATCTAATTACCATGTAGTCGTTGTACGACGCAAACGTATATATATAAAATGGAAGTTGTTCTTAGGCTCGTATCGTAATGTGTATGTAGTCGCATAATCAGTTGCATGAGTGTGCGTGGATTGTAATTGAATCAATAGTTATAAAGTTGAGTAGGTAATTTGAATACAAGATAAACACTTATAAATGTACGTAATTTTTAAGTTGCACCGCTTATGTGTCTATTCTATAATGTTGATTATGTGTACAGCAGGTGTCGATTTTTTTCTTTTTTCGACTGTGTTTCACTGGGTAAGTAAGTATCAGTAAGTTGATTCGGTCAGACCCGAATGAACGTTGATGTTGTTTTTTTTTGTAGTCAAGAGAAAATCACCGTAGAAATGATATCAACTAGACGTAATATAATGTAATTAGTAAAATTGAGAGTCGTACACAGAGAGCACATGTAGAGCCAAAATACTAGACGTCTCAGAGGCTAAATATATTCCCCGCAGAACGACGACGGCCCCCTCGCCGCTGAATCTCATCACCTCCTGGGTGACCTATCTCTACAAGACGTGCAAGAAGCGCCGCCACAAGAAGGAACGCCCGAGCCTGGCCAACATGATGGGCATCGGTCGGCATCGTAGCGGCCATCAGCTCTCGCCGCGCTCCAAGATGGGCGCCAAGTGGCTGTCCCGGGTGAAGAAGACTCACTCGCAGGTCGCGCACAAGGACAGCGTCACCCTATCGATCATGCATCTGTCGCCGCTGGGCAGTCAGCTGTCCTTCGGCAACGCCACGAGGATCGAGACCATCTGCGACTGGGACGTGGTGAGGCGCAAGTATCGCGAGCTCCATGGCGACGACTCCGCAGCGGGCTCGGGCGACAACAAAGGCTCGAGCGAGACCGGGGACAAGTCGGGCCAAGCGGGCCAGGCCAACGGAGGCGAGACCGAGTTGTTAGCCGTGGAAGACGCGACGACGGCCAGCATAGTCGGCAGCCAGGCCACCCTCATCGCCTCGACGTCCTAGCGCTCGGAGAACGGCCACGGCAACGACGCCAGCAGCATCGTTCGCCTCTCCTCGCGATTGATCTCCCTGCCAAATAATAATCATAATTGAGCCAGATTATAAACTCGACTGATCCGCGATCCAAGCGATGCGGTTAGTGGCAAAATAAACATTATCTCTATGTAATAATTAATGTCGTGATCGATGTGTAACCCTTAATTACCTGTGATGTGTATGTAGATGAACACCGACGTACTTTTTTATAGAAAAAGTCGTCGTTAATAATTATATTGGCATGCTGCAGATCGCACAAACCGTAGATAATGTATCTTTTAAAATTATAGTAGAGGAATTATTATATCTTAGATATTAAAAAACCTTATGTGTGTTGTTTCGATTGTTGAAGGTAGTATATATTATTGTGTGTGTAAATCGACGCTATGTAACACCACTCGTAATCATCCAACTCACGGATACTACCGAAAAATGATTTACTATAGTACATGTCTTTAACATGTTGTGTACTTACTGGGTCATTTGAAATTACTTATAGTAAGGTAGCTCGTATGTATTATTTTTCCCAAGTACAACCTGTATTACACACCTGTATAATATCTGTATGTTATACTTTTCCAGTAGATGAATTTGTACAAAATGTAGAGTGTTGCGTAGTATATCTAGTTGGCTATTATAGTTTTGTTTTACTTTTGAAAAGTGGGAATTTAAATTAACGCCGCGAATATCTCGCAATCCGAATTTTTCTCTCTCTATTGCAGTGAACGTCAACTTCGTCACCATAACGGAAAATCTATTTTTCGCCATTTTCGGACAAAAGGACACGGACGACTTTGCCATGGCCCTGCGTGAAAATACCCAGCCCGGTTGGACCCTATATCTGTTCAAGGTGAAGAATAAAAAAAAAAATTATCGAGTCTCGAGACACATGACATCGAACTTTATTGTCGCACTTCTCGTTGTTGCAGATTACTTTCTCGATTTACATGCTGGTCACCGTAATCGTGTTGATCAATCTGCTGATTGCTATGATGAGCGATACCTATCAGACCATCCAGGCGCAGTCGGACACCGAGTGGAAGTACGGATTGAGTAAACTTATTAGAAATATGCAAAAGTAAGCTCAAAATATTTTTGCTGAATTGGTTTAAAAAATTTTTACTGAATTTTGTTTTACTCTTCGTTTCAAGAACCACGATGGAACCATCGCCTCTGAATCTCATCACTTCGTGGACGGGCTATTTACACAAGAGCTGCAAAACAAGACGCGAGACGAAGAAGCGCATGAGCGTCATGAACGGCTTCATCGCGAGGAGATTGCCCAAGAGTCCGTTCTCACAGGTATTAACACGCATGCGATATTTTTGCTCAAGTGATAAAATTATAATTAACGATCTCTACTGCATTTTTTTGCGCAGACCAACAAGATATCCTCGGCGAAGGACAGCCTCGGGCTGTCGCTGCTACAGCCGAGCCCTCTGGGTTCGCAACTGTCGTTCCGCAACATGCCCACCATCAACAACGTCGTGGACTGGGACGTGGTGCGACGCAAGTATCGAGCTCGCTTCGGCGGAGCTGTGGAGAAACCCACGGCCACCACGACGGACGATCCTCATCATCATCCGACCGCGTGAACGCGCATTCAACGGCTATAATACGAAAAAGACTATATGATACATGCTTTTTGACACAATTTGTTTAGAGTAATAATTTGGACTATAATAAGCGTCAGTTTTTAATTTTTCTAATACTTCTTATACGTAAAGTCAAATACATATAAATACGATTGTACTATAATAAAAAAAGATATATATTTTAGCTGCGAAATAATGTACATAATGGGATTAAAAAAGAAAAAGTTAATTGTTGAACAACTGATATTAGATGAAAAAAATAACAGCTAAGTACATGATATAAAACTGTCGAGACGATAATTGCTCTCCTTTCACACAATGTCACCCCGACCGTAGGGCGGCTCGGCGTTCGTTTCCAGAAAGAAGATACCTCTGGTCTCGGGATCCAGGGCTTCGCCCATGTAAACCAGCTTGTTCTTCGCGCACTTCTGTGCTTTGTAATCCTTCCAAGTGCCGCACTCTACGGCTTGAAAGCCCCGCGGATTGATTATGGACTCGGCCACGAACTGATGGGATCTGCCGTGACTGCAGTACTCTACGCGAACAAAGTCACTATCTTCATCCGAATCATTATTATTATTATTATTATTATTATTAATAGAGCTGCTTGACTTACGAATCATGAATACCGGACATCCCGGCTGGCGGAAACTGCCGCCGTTCGGATAGAAATCGGCGTGTCCGATCGGCCTGACGAATCCCGCGGTGCCGGCGCAGGTGTGCACCACGTCGACGAATCGAGCGTCCGTCGAGTCCAGACGATCCTTCGGGTCCTTGAGCACGGGCGCCTCGAAATCCGGCCGAGCCGGATCCATGCCGGTGATGCGACCCAGTTGGCCCTGCAGCTGGTAACCGATCAGGCCGGCGATGTGGGCACCGAGACTGTGCCCGAGGATGTGTATCTTGTCCATGCGGCAGACGCCCTCGGCCACGAGGAACTCGAGGAATTTAGCGGCGTACTCGGCGACCTTTAAAGTTACACACACTTACTACCGGTATAATTTTTACTCGCGAGGACAAACTCACGGTCTTGGTGAGTCTCGTCGAGGTCAAGTAATCCTTCATCGAGCCGACGGACCAGTCGACGATGACCACGTTGCAATTTCCGCTCTTCAGGTAGTTTCGCCTTATGTCGTGCATCCAGGCGGCGCTTCCGGTGTCCGTCCAGCCGTGAATGACGACTTTGAGGGGTGTCTGGCCGCTGACGTTGGCCAAAGACCTCAGACTCGAGGAGTCGCCCGAGGTCAGGGCCACGTTCAGCTCGGGCTGCTCGCTCGTGTAAAAGTAATAGCCGATGTCGCGCTCGGTTATGCGGATGCTGCTAGCGGGTGCTTGTTGATCGACGACGCTGCTCAGCAGGTTGATGGGGTTGAAGACGTTGCCACGATCGTCCGATGGAACTGCGGCGGGCGACAGTATCGTTAAAATTTGCTGCTCGGCCCACTGAAGCGCGTCGGTACTTTGATCGCCCAGCACCGACACCCCTGCGTAGGTGTGAGCTGATGATCATGAAGGGGATCGATCGTGAAACTATGCGAGAGGAAAAATTCGATACGCAGCTCGATACTTACTCGTGAAGTAGAGGAGCAGCAGAGGTACGACGATAGAAGCCATCGTGCTCGTTAGCCGATCGTAGCATTTGCTCGACTGCTCTTTTCCGACCGACGAACGATTCGTATTTTTTTCTGTAACTTGTTATACAGGTGAAGTCGTCTGTGTCTGCACGAGATCGATGTCGACTCAAGTGTACTCGTTATAATCTCATCTCTTCTGCAGAAGAGATCTCATGGCAGAATGATTACGTCGCCGGCTTTAATCAGCTGCATTGTATTTTTTTTTCTCATGGCGTATAATTGGTAATAAAATGAAACGAATTAATTGTTTTCAGTGGAGATGCTTTATTAATGAAAATCTTGTAAAAATAAAAATAAAACTAATGAGTACAAAATAACCGATAGTTACATAGCTCTCTCGGTATTACAAATGCGTCATATCGTTCCAGCTACAGCACGCACGCTTGCACGCAATACACAATGTACGTGAATAAAATAAAGAACATTTTTTGTTTCACTCCGTGCTTTATTGCGGAAAATTTTTTCGTTTTTATGATTAATTCCGACTGAAAATTTGGAAAAGTAACTCATTTTTCGCACAATTTGATCCGAATTTAAAGAATTACATATAATAAATTCACTAATTAACTATCTCGTTACTAGAAAAATAAATGTAAAGTTCTGAGAAAAAATTGTGGGAAATAAGAAAATATGAAAATTCAGTTTTTAAATCAAGATAGTCATAATTATACATAATTAAATTTCAAGTTTTACTTTTGTTATTTGAACTCAGAATCATATCGAAATCTTATTAATCATTTAGAGCAAGATTGATTAATTCAAGAATGTAGAATTTGAAAAAAAAAATTTTTTCAATCAAGTCTGAGAAATATACATTTCTAGAATGTATAAAGTTTAGAAATCATAAAATATAGCTTATTCACTAATGTCAATAATTCTCAAAAGTTTTCTGATTAAATGATACCTATTTTTTTACATGGTATCCTTTTTTACACAGATACCAGGTTTCTTCATCATATCTCATTTGATGAGTTACAGTGAGATTTTTATTTGCAGCAATTCTGCGTATAACTGCTAATTCTGTAGGAGACAATCCTTCAGGTATTTGACACCTAACAGCTTCTTCATCAGCTATGAAATCATCGCAAAGTTCCTTAGCTAATTCTTCCATAGGGTTTGACTCTTCAGATGTACCCAAGGACTTTTTTAATGAATTTTTAGCAAATTTTTTATAAAATTCATTATAATTATTTCTTTTCCCTTCAACCTATAATTAAGTAGTCATATTTAGATAAATAAATTCAAATTTTTGCTCAACATTCAAAATTAAATACCTCGTGAATGAGTTTTTTTATTTCAGCGCTACCAGGATTCAATTTATTAGCATCTTGTAAAAGTTTCATTGCCTGGTCACATTCCCCCATCATAGATAGAGCTTTAGCATGTCTAAGTGAATTTCATTATAACAATATTATTATACACATGTAAAAAAAAAGTAAATAAAGTAAAATCCACTTACTGATAAAGAGCTTTGGCACTATGTTTTTCATGATGCACAGGTATTCTGTTGAAACAATGACAAGCTAATTTAGGTTTGGATAATTTGTTGTAGCAAACCATTAAATTTGTCAATGCTCTTGTTAGGTATTTAGTCATACTTTTTTCTTCTTCATCATTAAATAAACGAGTTCCATCTAAATATTGAACTACTCGATTATACCTAGAAAATAATAGTTAGTTTTTAACAAATTTTGATAGTTAAAATAGATAGATATGAAAACTTACTCTCTGACTGCTTGAGTTGTTTTATTTCTTTTCACATTATCATTTGCAGTAGTTAGTAGGTCTTTAACAATTTTCTCAATAGATGCAAATTTTTTCCTCTCTTCATTTGTCAGTTCATCATATGTATCAGCAGCACCATTATCAATAAAATCTACAAGTTCTACTTTAAACAGAACTTCAGCATTTGGTGGAATTCGAGGCATACATCCTAATTCACCATAAGCCAATTCTGACTGAATGATAAATAAAGATTTTTCAAATTTCTTCATTGAGCTTATGCCAATTTCAAGACCTGGTATGACAGCACCTTTACCCAATCGTATAACCATACGTTTGGAAGGATGAAATAATGTTGAATCGAAAGGTTGATCAGAATATTCAAAATATCCTACATATTCGACAGTTACTTGTGCATCTGGTGGTACCACGTCTCCAACTCCATCACGTTTGATTATTTTTAAAATCTAAAGTAAACCTGTGTATGTTACAATTCAATTGTATAAAACTATTTCTTGCCACTTACCTTTCCATTTTCATAAATACTCGTCATTTTTGATTTTAAAGTATCAAAAGGAACTCCAACAAATGGAATGCTTCCGTTTTCAGGATTGATTTTATCATCATTGTCATGTTCCAAATTTTCAAGATATCTCATCATTTCTTCATTAGACAAAGAAACTGACTTGGCATGATCTAATTCTTCGGTTTCTTCCAAAAAATCAGTAAACTCAGAAGTATCCAAAGTAAAGCCATCATCAGCAAGAATATCTCTGAAAAAATAATTCAGGTATACCAAGATCGTGAAAATTTACTGTACCAAGAGAAACAAAATGGCACGTTCAAATCTGTAAATTTGCACTTAAATAGAGATAATACGTACTTGATGGTAAATCCGTCGGTTGCTTTGAAAACTTTCGTCATTTTTACAGGCTGATTATTCAGGTACCGAACGATTTTAAAGAAAGAAAAATCGAATTAAACTATACGGTAGAACACGAATATATTCGATAACGTCGGAATCGTGTGTACGACCACGTGTATTTGCGAAATTGTACTGCAGATGCAGTACGAACGAACACTTATATTCCACTATATGTGCTGGCCACAGAGTGATCGTTTCTGATAAATGACAACAGCGCACAAAAGTCTACACTCTCAGTTTGTTCTTCAATATTCCTCGAGCTGTTTCGTTAAGAATTCCTTGATGAAGGACGATTGATAACGTCAACAATCACACGGCGTGTTACATGCGAACTGTGGCGCCTCTGGCCCTTACGTATCTATAATCTAAAGCTCGAGTATAGAAAGAAACGAGCATAACGAGCGTCTGATCGGCCACCTCCGCGGCGGTTCGCTACATGAACACAGCTTAAAAAACTATGTCGGAAGTTTGAATTTACATGGGTTGCAAGATGGAAGCTTACTTCATGTTTTCGACCCGCGCAGGAATCCGAATATGCAATTATTTAAGTAATATAAATATGTTAAACATGTTCAGGTTAATACGACCAATTAAAAAAAAATGTTCTTGTGTTAAATTAGATCGTTATTATTAATTATTGAGTGAATATACATACATGAGCAAAAATATAAACATTAATCTTACGGGACCCGAATTTTTATGAATTTTTTTTGGAAAAAAAAGGGTATACAGAATTCGAATTTTTACGAAAAAAAATTTTTCAAACGATTTGATAAAATTGCAACATATTATTTTGCATCCAGTTAAGGTTCCGCCTGCATATTTTCTCTATAGACCTAAAGGTTTTAAGTTTTTGCATCAAACTATGCCAGCTGCGGTCGCTGCGGTGGCCGATCAGGCGCTCCTTATCACATAATAGTATATTATGATACGTGTGACTTAAGCAGGCCATTATTGCACGGCACGGTTAGCACCCGAGCGAAGCGAGGGTGCTAGTGCCGTGTCAAGAATGGGCTACTTGAGTCATAAGTATCATATGTTTTTTTATAGCACTGTGCTAAATTCACGTTTAGGCCACCTTTGGCGAGATATAAGGTGCTCATAATAGCAGCAGCAGCAGTAGCCACTATATTGTCCAAGAGAGACAAGTCGCGCAGCAGCCGATATTACATAAAAAAGAGTCGAGGTACATGCCGCAGCAACAGCAGCAGCAGTAGCCACTATATTGTCCAAGAGAGACAAGTCGCGCAGCAGCCGATATTACATAAAAGAGCTAGTCGAGGTTCATGCCGCAGCAACAGCAGCAGCAGTAGCCACTATATTGTCCAAGAGAGACAAGTCGCGCAGCAGCCGATATTACATAAAAAAGAGTCGAGGTACATGCGGCAGCAACAGCAGCAGCAGTAGCCACTATATTGTCCAAGAGAGACAAGTATAGCGCAGCAGCCGGTATTACATAAAAGAGAGTCGAGGTACATGCGGCAGCAGCAGCAGCAGCAGCAGTAGCCACTATATTGTCCAAGAGAGACAAGTCGCGCAGCAGCCGATATATTCTCGAGGTACATGCCGCAGCAGCAGCAGCAGCAGCAGTAGCCACTATATTGTCCAAGAGAGACAAGTCGCGCAGCAGCCGATATATTCTCGAGGTACATGCCGCAGCAGCAGCAGCAGCAGCCAATATATTCTCGGTAAAAATTAAAAAGCACGCGCAGGAATAAAAACATCAAAAATTACTCCATGATCGTGGTCGTGAAAAAACTGCCATTCTTAATATAGCTTCTGTGCTACGAACATCGAAAAAATTGGTTTCGGAGTGTACCGTGTGTATAGAGTGATTTTAATAAAAGCTTAGTTTTTATTAGCGATAGTGTTTGTGTTAAAAATGTTTGGGCAAATAAGATTTATTTACGACGATATCATGGATTCAGATTTTGAACCGAATGATCGGTTCGTTCATGTACCAACTAAATTAGACCAGCTGAAGAACTTACTGGAAGGGTCTAGATGGGGTTGTGCATTTGATCGACACGTGTTTCTCCGTCAACTCAATCCTGTGTTAAACGAGTGGAATGGCCAGTTTCCCAATCTCCGGGATATTTTTAGTCCTGAGCAAATTGAGCATCTACTCTCGGAAACGAGAAATTATTATTACATGGAACATCGGAATTCGAATGAAAGAAATGAATTTATACGATTTGTAATTCGTTGTGGATACAAAGATGAGCCAGACTTGGATAAAAATGGTAGGCCTAGTTTGGTTCGAACTACGCCGATACATCTCGCGGCTAGAGATGGAGACTACGACACTATTCCAGATCTTTTTAAAATATACAGCAGCTTTGATTTGAATTATATCGACGAATACACCGGCATGACGCATTTTGAAATAGCGAGCATGACTTTTTGTAAAGATGCAATCGAGAAATTTCTCGAATTCGGCAATGATCCGAATATCACGTTACCAATGACTGGTGAGCCTTTACTACACGCCGCTTTAAAGAAAAAAGAAAGAGAGATAGTTGAGATACTGCTGAGAAAGGGTGCTAATCCAAATTTGGCCGACAAAAGTGGATATAGGGCTTTACATATCATTTGTCAAGACAATAGTGACGACGTTCATTCGGCGAAGATGTTATTTGAACTCAGCCAAAAGTATCATCCGTTGCTGGTTGACGCACAAGACGAGTTTGGTGATTCAGCATTGCACTTGGCTCTGCGTTACGGCAACAACAAGCTGGTTGAATTTTTGTTGAAAATAGGGGCCGACTCAAGTTTAGTCAACAAAAATGGATTGACCCCTCGGTATAGCACGAGTGGCGGCCATCGTGAATTAATGAAGGTACTCAGGACCACTAATGAACTTACAAATGTATCAAATTGTAATAATAAAAGACCTTTAAGGGCTAAAAGAGCTCCTAAAAGGCTGCATTATATTGCAGGTTACATACAGCTCCTTCGCTAGAGGCCCCAATTCAAAGCACATGAATGAAATATATATTGAAAATATTTTTGTCTAGTTTAATTGTACAATAATGTCACATCATTCAAATAAACAAATTTAGAAAAATTACAACTTTTGTTTGAAACTTTTTTTCATACTAGGTACCTATGTACGGTTTTCAATCTGTATCCGTAAACCCAATTTTCTCAATTTTAAAGGGCCCAATTGTTTAAATTCCAATCGACTCAACTGTGGTATTTGTTATTACTTCATTCCTACCATCGAACCCTAACGAGTCCCGGTGAGAAACGCCGGTTGCGAATTTTTTCACGTTCAAAACTAATTTGACTAGACTATTTACCCTATCAGTCATGATGCTTATCAAAAAAAAAAGATAACTATCAATCAATTTTATATTTATTTAATATGTAATTGAACCAATTGAAAAATAAACATTCATCATAGAACTCGAAAGTTGCTTCTGAAAATGATAATAATTAGAAAATTGTTGACGCAGATTTCTCGTTTTTTAATCAACCAAAAAAATTGAATTTCTTATGAAAACTGTGTGTAATGGTATTTTGACTTTTTAAACTACAAATTTTATGCCGTTCAAATCGTTCGCCAATAATTACGTTGACGCTACCATACAGTGTCGATAAAGAAGTGACACAGCAGACGCACGCATTGTCCGTCGAATCACGACTCTGCGATTCGCAATTGAGTTTTGAAGCTCGAACAGTCAAAGGCCATCAACAGAGAAGACGACAGCAAACAACATTGATCAGAAGCTTGCCTAACCTCTATCCACTACCATTTTATTAGTTATTTTTATGATATTATAGAATATTTTAACGTAAGGCGAATGGAATAATAGTTTACTTGAATACATTTCAAATTTCTGACTATTCAAATTGTTTCTTTTTTTAAAATCGGGACTGGGTCATCTTCAGTGAGAAAATGTTGGAAATAGATGAAGATGCAATTTCAAATAAATTACAATTCTTGAAAGTAAGTTCAATATGCAAAAACTATTGTAAAAAAAATTACTTATCATTACATCAATCTTTTCAATTAATATAAAGGATGAATCTCAAGACACAAGTATACCATGGTTAAATCCATCCACAATACCAAATCAAACTCCACGAAAAAGAGTAGATCCTTTTCCAGGTTTGTTTTTAATAAATTTGTAAACTCAAATTATCTTTATTTATATTATCGATTATTCAAATTTTCAGGAGCTTGTATAAAGTGTTTTAGCATGGAAGGTGAAAAATTATTTGTAAATGTATGCCATTCCAAAGAAATCGCTGCACCGGATGATATATCTGATGAACAATTTTCTCAAATGATAACTGGAGATGACAACCCTTTTGTGATTCCAATGGCTATTGGTTTTGAAAAAAAATCTAAAGATAAAGGTACGCCATCATATTTAAATTTTTATCAATGACACCATTGAATAATTTCAAAATAATTCCATTTTAGACGAAGTGGAAAGAAAAACTTTCGATATTCTACTAAATACACAGTACTTTCAAAAATGTATGACAAAAAAGCCTTTTTGGTACTTTACAATTTCTGCGATAATAGAATCTATCAATGATAAATACAAAATGAACATAGATAATTCAAAATATGTAGTTTTAAAAAACAAAAAGGTTTGTTATTTTTTCTGTTTTTCAATCAAAAGTTTACAATTGTTAAAATTAATTGTATTTGAATTTAGGTAATGGGAAGTTTAGATACATTTGTTATTGAAGATAGAAAACCAAAAAAACCTGTGATAAAGAAACCTTTGATACAAGAAGTTCATCATCAACAAATTAAGCCAGCTGTAAAAGAAAAAATAGATTCTACACTAAATCAAGATTTGAATCTTTCAGAAAATGATAACTATAAAAAAAATTTGAAATCGCAAAATTATGTTATTCTCAAAGCATCTGACCAAAAATACCTGAATGGTTACTTTTACTTACCGTTATCAAATTTAAATGATATACTTATAGATGTTGGAGAAAATAGAATAATAGTTGAAAACCAAAAATTAGAACTTCTAATTGATTCTTATTTACCATGCAGCATAGATAATTTCGAGGTTACAGCAAATTATGATAACAAATTACAAGTAAGGGATATAAGTCTATTTAGAAAGTTTTATTTAATATCTTTTGTTTATAATTTTTTTTTTTTTTCAGATATTACATTTACTTCTACCACTAAAAGATAACTCTGTTTAGTGAAAAAAATTTTAATTTCAAAGTTTTAATACATTACTAATGAGATGTAAAACAAGAAATAAATAACCATGTACAGTTTCGCAATAAATGGCTAGTTTAGAGTTGTGAGATTTAATTGTGTCATCTCTTATTCATAAATAGTTAAAACAGGTAACATTTCTAAATATAATTCATATTCTTATTAATAAATAAAATTTCTAAAAAAATTTACAAATATAATGTATAAAAAACAGCATACAAAATAAAATAATTCATAATTCCGTGTAAAATGTTGGACGTTCTATTCCTATCAAGGTAAAAACATTTGGCAGTAAATACACAGTATTAAAGCCAATCATGAAACAAGTGATATATTTATAAATTAAATCGACTAGTGTTTTGTTTTTATTTTCTAATGAATTTTCACTTTGCATAAGTTCTTTTGAGTTGACTTGTAATATGGCACAAAGTGTAGCGTAACTGAGACATTTACATATTGCTTTAGTAGCAATAACGCAACAGAGGCCTAATGTAGTTCTTAAAACTGTTTTTCCAAGCATTGGATATGATGGCCACAGAATTTCATATGGAGGAGGTAATTCTGGTTTCAACAAGACTCCAGTTTTGAAATTTAACCACGCTCCAACATAAATTCCAGCTGCTACAGATACTACAAGAGTAGTATCACCTCTACAAAATTGACAGGCAAGTTGCAGTAAGTAGTCAAAATTTTAATTGTTTGAATGTAAATACGAACCTTGTCGGTGTCCATTTGTTGCTACTAGGGTAATAAATTATTGTTGCTATACTAATAATTACTAATGCTAATAATATCCATTCATTGGTAAGGAAATGGATGTCCATTACATCGACCAAAGGAACCAAGGGAATCATCATCAACATTGCTAATAGTAATCCAGCAATGACATCCAGTACAGTATGCATGCCTAAGTATAATCTGCTAACACATATTAATGTACACCTGATGAAAAAGAAAAATATCTAGTAAATGATAAAATATTAAATTGTAAATATATTTCAATTGATATTAGTCTATTATTCACTTTACCATAAAAAAGCAGTGGCACAACCAGCAGGAAAAGAATAAATGTATCTATTCATTGTAAAGAAAAGTACACTAAAAGGAATTGATACGGCACACATGGCATGCGTCGATGGCATTCCATATTCTAAAGACCATTTATTCTGTAATCTCACAACAGGTGGGCATGAAGGTCGTGGCCAACGTATAATATCTTTCAACTCCTGACCAATAGTCATAATGGTTGCCCAAACAAGAACAATTCTTCGACCAACAGCACCATCAATATTCCAAAACCAAAACGGAATGAATGTACAATAAAATATTTCATCGCCCAATTCTGTGCCAAATAGAAATAAGTAGTACCAAAAGTGATTTGTTATTACATAGGGTTTCTTGTTGCTGCTTGAAGTTATTTGTGATTCTGATTCGCTATCCTTGTGCCTTTGTATCAAAAGAGAATCTCCTGAACTAGAACATCCATTCGACGAGTCACAAGTATTCTGCAAACTACTACTTTCATTTTCATAGTCGGATGCAGAATCGTGCTCATCGTATTTGATGTCAACGCCAAAAAATTGTTGAATTTTCGCAACCAAATGGGGATCTCTGTACACTTCGATTAAACTAGACCACATTTTCCATGAATTGTTTGACAATTCCCTCTGTGAACAAAGAAGCAAAAGACTTTCAAAACGACTGCTACCGAACGTGACGCAGTTTTGGCGTTGTTCGAAAAAAAGAAAAAAAAAGATTACGTTATTCAAAACCAGTTGTCATCCGTGATATAAAAAGCCGACAGTCGGTCGATCTATATTTGTTATAAGCGAGCGTTAACTTAACCAAGAATATTACTCGGAAAGACGAGATAAGACACTGGTGCGAGCTCGCCTCAAGTGCCTTATAATAGATAAAAGAAAAAAAGGCACATTCAAATATCTCATCCACACATTCGCAGCGCGTATACACCTGGTTTTTACCTCAGACAAGAAAGCTCGGTCGACGATGCGTCGCATGCGACAACATGCTTGTTTCAATCGGGCGTTGCGTGTGTGTTTGTGTTGTATATTATTCTGTATATTCGAACGTCGACTTTATGACATGTCGTCTGCTTTTTTGCGCGAACACTGTGTGCGTTTTGGTCACTCGTTAAATATAAACAGCAGCGAGAAAGAAAGATAGTGAAAGATTTTGTCGGCGACAGCGTCAGGAAATCGACTTGTAGTATTGGATAAATAATGGAGACGCGGAGCACCGAGCAGTTTCTGTTTATCGTGAGTGTGTGTGTTTATGTACGCGCGATTACTAATTGCGGTCCTTGGCTCTGAGGCTCTCGTTCGGCGCTACTGGTATACACTACCACTACCATTACATTATGTACACCACATCTGCAGTGTTTGTCGCATTATTCGCGTTCACATTCAAATGCATATCGTACATAGCAAACGTATACGTTTATACTTAATCGCCGGGTCGAGTTAGTTCTCCTTTACGATTTTTTTCTCGTTTTTTTTCTCTCTCTCTCTCTCTCTCTCGTGATTACGCGCTTTTATTAAGCCGGTACGCGATAGCCGGCTAGATGTGGAGTATAATTTAACATTTTATTTCTGCAATTTGTTGATTGTAATTGCTCGGTACAGTAATATCAATCCGTGTGTTCGTGCTATGTTTTTCAACGGTTTTTTACGATCGCCGCGCGCGGCTCTTTTATTTTACTCGGAGCGCGCGCCAGTTGCGTGGATTCTCCGAACAAATGAACGCGTCAAATCAGAGCCGCTGGGCTATTTAACATTTAAATGCCACACCGCCGCGCTCATTTTACTGGAAAAGTCGCGTGATCCGTTCCTGCCTGTATATGCTATATATCCTCCGCGCATGATGTACAAATAAAATAAACACACACACACACTGGCTAAAATCGAGCGAGCACAAATGTAGATTTTGGCCCGCAACTTTGACTTAAAGTTTACGTTTTTGCTCGCGATCGTAAAGATTATACGCGGGCTCTCTCGCAATAGAAATAGCATGGTACATTAAAGCCCGGAGCCTATATTATTATTCCGCTATAATATATAAAAGGCGCGTGTGCGCGAGTCGCGAGAGTTCGCGGGCGCTGCTGCTGAAAAGCTCGAATCCTAAGTTTAGCCCGCGCGTTCGAATCGCGAGCCGTCGCTATAGAGCTGACCCATTGCGCCTCGGATGTTGGCACGCTATATAGGATTTATGCGTACGTAACAAAATACTCTTGCCTCTCGCGAACTGTGTTATATAGAAAAGGTTTGTGTCAGCGTATTATCGCGCCGAGTCCCATCAGCTGACCAAGGCGCGCGGGTAAGGCAGTTTTCTGTATCGATACCATATGCACTTTGTGCAAAATGAAAATTTTCGCCTCGTCGAAAGGACTGTGGTGCGATTGATAGATCGTAGCGATTCGCTCGATTATTACCATCAAGAGCAACAGTAGCGCGTGTGACATGTAGGCCGTTGGACGGGTCGATCGAGTCGACGGCTCATCTCGTATTTCGCCGAGGTTCGCACATTATGGAATCAGCTGCTGCAACGCGCGCACGGGGCTAGCTAGAGAAAAAGAGTTGAAATTGGACGCGACCACTGGTATTACGATACACGCGCTAGGTGTCGCGGTGCTGTACGGAGCTTACGGTTTTTACAGTACACGCGCAGTCCGGGCAATTCGGCAATGCATACACTTAATATACGACGGTCGGCATTGTAGCCGCGCGCAGGATTTCGGCTGCGAATGCTATATGTGCCTAACGCGCAACAAGCGGGGCGGGGGGGTCAGAGGCAGGGGTTACCTATATAGAGGTATTAAATGCTGCGATACATAGGTATACAGCAGCGGCCTGCATTAAAGCCAATGCGAGGCAGTAGCAGCAGCAGCAGCAACGACAGCGATATAAGTACTCGCAAATACGTGTATATAGCAACATCGGCAGAGAGCATATTCGGTGGGACGCCGCGCGCAGCTGCCTGCCTTTTCGCTTCGCACACACACACACCAATACAGAACAGTCATAAAATAGGTAGTAGAGATAGGTACAGTAGGCTCAGCCGCGGAGTCAGTACGGTAGTCGTTGGTCGGTGAGTCGGCAGTGCACACAGCAGCAGTACGTATATAGACCCTATACGCATCGCGTGTGCAGTGCACAGCGGATCGTCGCACGGGTCGCAGCAGCAGCTCCTCTCATCGAGCCCCGTCGTCGCTCGTATATAAACTATCTCGTCGTCGACGTTCTTAAATATATATAATAATATAAATTCGTATATGTAGTAGTGGAGCCCCGAGCCGTGCGCGAATCAAGCTGCTCTCCACGCGCTGCCGTGCATTACTATTTATACTGCGTCCTCGCTCTTCTACATTACCAATTGTAGACGTCCCCGTACGGCTTGCTGACCACGAATTCAGAGTACCTGAAAGTAAGATTTTTTGGCCGCGCGCGGCGCCACACCGCTCGCACCGCGTACGGCCGCCCTTCCGCCTCAGTTTTTAGAGCAAGTTATACGAAAAAAATTTCACCGCTTCTTCCAAGGGAGGGTCTGAGTCTGTGGTGGGTGGTAATGTATTCGAGCGAGGACTTCGTATAATTACGATCGAACTTCACTCGGTAAGTTCGTTTGATCGTTTAATTATACTGCGTCCTCGCTCTTCTACATTACCAATTGTAGATGTTCAGAGACAAGAAGGTGAAATTTATTTAATTTGAACTTTATTTATGACAATAAATTATAAAGATGAATATTAAACATTAATCATTTTGATTACATCTTAAAACTAAATTCGCTAACTCGAAACTGTCGGTAACGATCGGCCTATTATAAAAATTGGCAAACGTTCTTGATTTTTCCGACCAGCCCGCTGTGCGTCTTATCGTATCTATATCGATTCCTTTTTGTAAAGCTTTGGAGCTTGCTGCGTGGCGCGTAGAATGGCCCGTAAAAATTGTGGTGTCGATACCACTCATAAATAAACCTCTTTTAATCCAGCGGCTGACAGTCTCAGCTGTGATTGCTCGATAAGGTTTGTTTAAACTTATGAATAAATTATCAATATCTCCTCTGAGATTTTTGGTTTTGTCAATATACAGAAGTATCGTAGAATATACGCATAAGTCGGGTTTTTCAATTAGCTTAGGTAATTGTAAAAGTGGTTGGTTATTGCCAACCTTTGAAGTCTTTATTCGATCAGGTATTTTAATTTCCAAGCCGCGATTAGATATCACAATATTGCTTATTTTGATTAATGACAGAGTCTGCGCTCGCTGCGCAGTGCTTAGGGCTAGTAATAATATTGTCTTGATAGTAAGATTTTCAATTGTTTGTACATCGAGCAACTCAAGAAAATCTAATACAATCGAGACATCCCAAGTATAATCATATTTAGGTTTTACAGGTTTGAGTCTATAGACGCCTTTCATAAACCTTGAAATATCAGTGTTCTCTCCTATCTTGTCCTTAGAGATTAACGACATTGCGCTTCTGTACGTATTTAAAGTTCCATATGAAGCTCCTGCTTCAAATCGGTCAGTAAGAAAAACTAACACTGTGTTTACGGTAATATCAAAAAATTAACACTGTGTTTACGGTAATATCAAAAAATTCAATATTGGCTCTTTTTGTAAAATCAGACCACTGCTTCAGTGCGCCGTTGTATTGTTTAAATGTCGATTTACTTAATGACGCCAGGATTATGTCGACTGCGGAATTTGTGATGTTCTTGTTTATAAATGCTTCCCGGATACAATGCACACCATTAAAGCCAGGTGTTGTGCTCTCGGGTGTTGTATAATTCTACAAGGAGACAATAAAAGATCTTTACTTGGGCCTATAATTATTATTTCAGTGATAGATAATTTTATGAAAAGTGGAAACCACGGTTGATTTTGCCAAAAGGGAGCTACTAGTATTCCGACAGCTTTATCTTTCTTTATTTTGGATAAGGTTTTTGCCAGTAAAGCGAAAGGGGGAAAGGCGTAGAAAAAGTGTTTGCTCCAATCAATGGTAAACGCGTCAACGCAGACTGCACCATTTTGAGGTTTCCACGAAACAAACTTCTCGCATTTTCGATTTTTATTAGAAGCAAAAAGATCTATTTGAGGCTTTCCGAATCTTTTAACGACTCTACTATAATACGCGTCGTTTAATTCCCATTCCGTGTCAATATTACCTATTCGAGACAAACGGTCTGCTATTGTGTTACATTCTGACGGTATATAAGATGCGAACAAAATAATACGCCTTTCCTCCGCCCATTGCCATATATCTCTAGACAGTTTACTAAGTTTATCAACTCGAATGCCCCCCATCTTGTTGACGTACGCCAAAGCGGTAGTGTTGTCTATTCTTAATAAAATTTGCGCATCTCGAATATTCGATGCTAAATTTATTAACGCGATTTTAACTGCTAGAAGCTCAAGATAATTTATGTGATACTTCTTTTCATCGGGTGACCAAATTCCATAAATTTTGCGTGTTCCATCAGTTGCGCCCCAGCCGTCAAGTGAAGCGTCAGTAAAAATCGTTAATTTGAACTCGTTGTTTTTTATGTAGTGTACATTATTCGGGATATTTTTTAACCACCACAAAAGGTCGGCTTTAACCGCGTCAGATAATATTATAGTCTTATCATAACAGAAATCATTAAAATATAATTGGAAGATTTTTTCTCTTTCCAAATTCTTAGTATAGAGCCAAGCATAATCAAGGGCTGGACAACATGAAACCAGTTTACCTATGAGATGAGCTAACTCTCGGATTTTGCACGATTGAGTGTTAAGGAATTTTTTAATAAGAATCTGCAAATTGTCTTTTTTGTACTCTGGGAGTTCAATACAATATCTTTTAGTATCAAAAATGAAACCTAAGTATTTCCCCTTTTGGGTAGGAATTTCGTTTGATTTTTCATTATGAATGATAAATCCCAATTCNGGCCATTCTACGCGCCACGCAGCAAGCTCCAAAGCTTTACAAAAAGGAATCGATATAGATACGATAAGACGCACAGCGGGCTGGTCGGAAAAATCAAGAACGTTTGCCAATTTTTATAATAGGCCGATCGTTACCGACAGTTTCGAGTTAGCGAATTTAGTTTTAAGATGTAATCAAAATGATTAATGTTTAATATTCATCTTTATAATTTATTGTCATAAATAAAGTTCAAATTAAATAAATTTCACCTTCTTGTCTCTGAACATCTACAATTGGTAATGTAGAAGAGCGAGGACGCAGTATAATTAAACGATCAAACGAACTTACCGAGTGAAGTTCGATCGTAATTATACGAAGTCCTCGCTCGAATACATTACCACCCACCACAGACTCAGACCCTCCCTTGGAAGAAGCGGTGAAATTTTTTTCGTATAACTTGCTCTAAAAACTGAGGCGGAAGGGCGGCCGTACGCGGTGCGAGCGGTGTGGCGCCGCGCGCGGCCAAAAAATCTTACTTTCAGGTACTCTGAATTCGTGGTCAGCAAGCCGTACGGGGACGTCTACAATTGGTAATGTATTCGAGCGAGGACTTCGTATAATTACGATCGAACTTCACTCGGTAAGTTCGTTTGATCGTTTAAATATTCGCGCGAGCAGTAGGCACACTACTACTATATACAGACTACTCTGCTGCTGCTATATACTCTCGGTACGGAAAAAAGAGAGGGTCTGCGTATAAGTGCGCGCACACGAGCCTCCGAGCTGACAGCTCTCCGCACTCGATCGGGCCGCCTGTATAGTACAGTTTCGTCCGCGACCGCTGTCGGTGTGTGCGGCTTTTTATGTTGTACTATACAGCCGTGTGTTATAAGCTGTCAAGATCTTTCGCATTAATATAGATAGTTTTATTGTAATATATTATGTTGTATATGCGTGCGCGAGTGTGACTTGTTGTGTATGCCCATCGTCGTCGTATAATAAAAGGCTCTTTTGCAGTTCGATTCTTCGTGCATACTGGCTGGCTGTGTGCACAATCTCGAAGCTCTCTAGTCTGCTGCTACTGCTCGGGTTGCGTGCGCTGTTTTTCCTTGTTTTTTTTTCCTTCCTACCGTTCGTTCGTGTCCGAAGAGAGCCGCGTGCTGTGTTATACATATAGTTAGTCGTATGCTAATGTCACTCGGTGGTGGCTGGCCAATCTTACAGTGCTGATTTTGACTTGGCCTGCGCCGCTGCATCGTCTCTTTGTGCATCGTAAGCTCATCGTCTCCGAGTATTATTTAGCCAACGTCAAGCCTCATAGACACCTCGACACACGACTCCACCGCAGGTAATTCGTAAACTCCCTTTCCGACTCTTATTACATAGACACACACACACACGTACTGCGAAATGCGCCGGTACATAAAACTGACTTGCGACACACAATGGGGCTCTACGTATACATACGCACACTTGGACGTTCGTTTGGCATTGATGTGCAGCCCGTGTGTGCGCATCAATTGGGTGCACACATATCAAACCATTTTTGTTTCGCGTTGGCAAACGGTACAATACGTCGATATAATAAAATATAATGTACACACGCGACTACGCGTGTTGTGTTGCGCGGCGATGCGATGTATCTGGAAGATTCCATTCGGTTTTCTATACGTTTTCCATCGAGCTGTCCATCGATTTTTCGCACGTCAAAACTCGCCCACCGAACGAATTCATATGTAACTAATATCATGTACAGCGGATCGATGTCTCGGTGCGTCCGTGCAAAGTGCTAAAAGTTCTGAAATTCGTATATATACCTTTGACTCCATAAAAAAGAAAGGGTTTATGCATGGCATGAAAAAACGTTGATATCAGCGGCGTTCGGACTGCATACAGCAGCAGCAGCAACGGCTGCGCGACGACGCGGCTTCTCTCTTTCTCTCTGTTCTCTCTGTGTATGTGTGTGTGTATGTGCGCGCACGTACCTATGTGTACGCGACTCGTTTCATCTATTGTGCATGCCTCTCTACCTATATAGCACCATTTCCATGAGCTTGAATACGTGCGCGCATTTGCCTATGCTGCTGCACTTATATACACGTATATATATATACCATCACCCGGAGAGCAGCCCGAGAAAATGCATTTACTTACCGTTATTGAGGTAGAGACTTTATATACATAGATATATATTTAATGTAACGCGAGGATATACTAGACGAAAATCTAGGCGAACCAGAGAGTGAGTGAGAGAGCTACAAGAGGAAGGCAGAAGGGAAGGGAGGGAGATTCATATCAGTGGGAGTATAGCAGCAGCTGCGAGTAGAGAGGACCTCAGCTGATTCCTAGCTATATATAGTGTGTGTTATGCGGCTTTTAAACGCGCGCGAGGATGTGTAGCTCTGTCTCTTTCTTTCTCGTATGTAGCTCCCTCTCTTTGTGTAGTTCGCGCTATATATACAGTACTTGTGCAGTTCAATTTTGTTTTCTTTTTTTTTCTCTTTCTTTGCCTGTAAGTACGTGTAAATGTGTGTGCATGTAATATCGTTACATGTAAAATAGTTATTTCTTCCGATATATAAAAAGGGGTTACCGAGCGCGTAAGTGTGCGTGCGAGAAAGTCGCCGCCGCCGCCGCTGCTCTTTTATTTTCTTTATATCTGGCTTATAGGGTGTCCAAAAATCGATAAATTAATTTTAGCCGTGTAACGCGCGCACGACGCGTCGCGCGTGGACGAATGAAAACTTTGAACTTGTTTCCAATCCCCGCGCCTGATGCAGTAGTGGTAAAAAGTACATTATATACAGTCGACGACTGTCTATGTAACCGCGAGTATTCTGCCGTACTCACGCTAAATTTCTATATATATATACGTGTAATGTATAGGCTGGTCGATGTATAGAAAAGGATTGTCGAGTTCGCTATCGTGAAAGTTGCGCGCGTGCTACATAGATATAAGCGATTCCTTTTTTTTTACTATCTTCGTTCTCTACATATCGCGCGCGTATAATTAGATCCCGTGATTTATCCTTTTGGCTTTACGAATTTTCTGTCGTTCTTTATGAAAAAAAGAAGAAGCTATAACGTTGATTTTATTTGATGGGCATGGCAAAAAAAATATAAAAAAATTATTGGCCAACTGTGAGAAGGCTTATGCATTGAAAGAGGAGGAGCAGCAGTAGGTGCACAGTGCACACACCGCAGCAGGAGAAACGGGAGGCGAATTCGACACAGCTGAGCTCTCAGCTGATGGCTGACGCAGCCTTCCTCTATATCTTTCGCGCGACGACATACACTCTACGTATGTCGTATACATATATCGAAATAACAATCATCATCGCATTAGTTTCTGAATAATAATTATAATAAGGCAAAAAACACTACTCGTGTGTTGTAATTAGATCTTCCCTTGCGTTGCGCTTATTTCATTTTAATTTATTTTTTCTCTTTGCCATTATAAAAGTCCGATACATATATCCGCGTGAATTGAAATCGCCCACTGTGCTCTTGCCATGATACATATATCGAGTTATACATGCTCCGTACGCGATAAAGAAAAACAGAAGCAAAAAAAAACCTGTTTGATTATATATTAGACGGTTGCATTATGTGCGCGAGCGATATGTGTGTGTGTACCATCGCGAGCGCATAGACACGTAAACGTATTATACCACTCATAGGCGATAATTAACTTACATTTTCGCGAACTCGTCAGCTTAGAAAACATACATATATCATAGCCGCGTGCGTGAGTCATTTTTGATTTAGAAAAAAAAAAATAACGTAATTGCGTTCACGTTCGCGCGGGGACAAAAAAAAACCACTTGATACACTACACGTATAATATACAGTTGCAAAAAAAAAATTGACACGGACGCCGTAAGTAATAAAATTTTCCTTCGTGTGATAGTGTGTGCTACACAGACCAGCAATAGGTATATAGAGTTAGGTGTGTATAATACGAGCTCTACCTCACAACAGAGTGCAACAACGGTAACAAAGCGCGGCTACGGCGGGACACGAAACTTTTCCACTCGATTATCGAACAGTATAGTGCAACAGTCGAAATTATATAGCTGTGGAAACGAAAAAAGAAAAAAACAACAACAAAATGATGATATTCAAAAATAGAAATTGTTGACCGCGTCACTTTTGGCGTGCGTGTGCTTACCTAAGCAATTATGAAAACGAAAGAAGTAAAAAAAAAGGTGTAGACGTATACACCACGTATTGGGTTGCGCGGCTCGCCCGGCGGGTGCATTATTACATTGTGAACGCGGAACGACAAAAGCTTCTTGTATTTTCGAGCGCGAAACGGAGAAAATTTCGCGATATTTAAATAGAACAAGTTTCAATAAATAATTAAGCCCGTGGTAATTCGTTTTACACACACACACACATACAATCATATTGTCTGTATTGTTACAGGCGCGCGCATACGCACATTAACGTAAACTATGTAGGAAAAAAAAAAAAATAATAATAAAACGTCTTTGTTTCTGGCTTCACAGATAGAGAAAGATAAAGAACGAGACTGAGAAGAGAGAGAGAAACTCGAGCAAGCGAAGAGAGCGCGAGGGGGAACCTCGACACGACGAGAAATTGATCGAACTTCTAAAAAAGGCCCCCCGGCAAAGGCGATGAGCAGTTTGTGCAGAGATACAAGCAGCAGCGGTGGTTCTTCGACAGCAGGCTCCTCATCGAGAAAAGGCGACGAGGTCGAGTTGGTGAGCCGCTTCTTGGCTCCTCTATGCGCCCGGGACGAGGCCGCGCGTAACATTGCCTTGGCAGCGGCACGCAACACCGTAGAAGGCTGGCTCGGAGGCTGCGGCAGCCCCTCCAACACCAACGCCTACGCCAACAACAACTGGGAACAATTGCTGCTCGGCAGGGACTGCTGCGAGGATATCAGTGGAAGCAGCAGCACCGGCAGCAATATGCCTCATAAATTCGTCTCGCCCCTCAAGACCATCAACGCCAACTACAGGCTGCAGCTGCAGCGCGACAGCTTCGATTCCGGCTCGTTTTTCCCGCAGAGTCTGCCGCCCGACAGCCTCATAGCGCACCATCGCAAGCCCAGCTTCGACGACAAGTATCAGGGCGTCGACTGCGTCGATGGGGGCAGCAGTCGGGAGCGACGCTACTCCGAGAGCAGCCTCGAGATCGGCAGCGACGAGAAGCAGCAGCGATCGTCGACCAAGCAGTACATAAGGATACGCAACGGCCGCCAGAAACAGTTCAACGAGGACGACGAGCTCGACGACGACACCAGGGCCTACGGCAAGAGTCCGAAATTCGACGACGGCTTCGCGCTCAGGCAGCAGCAGCTGCTGCAGCGTCACGGCTGCGAGCCGATCACCGGCGAGGCCGAAAAAGTCGTCTTCAACACTCTCGATGGCTTTTTGAACGACGACAAGTCGACGCAGAGAGCAGCAGTACCGGATGACGCGAAAGACGAGGCATCTTTCGCCGCGAGCCAGGAGAAAAAACTGAGCGTCGGCCAGATAAAGAGGCCACTTTCACAAGACGACGACGTGCCGTGGAAAAGTGGTCGCGTCGTGAACAGCGCGGATTACAGTCCGCCCGTCGAGGTTGTCACTCCCGGCGAGGTCGGAAGACTGCTGAATCTCGGCAATGCCCTCGACGGACCGAAGCAGTCGCAACCGGCCAATCTCGCGCTGATCAGTCTCCACTTGCCGGTCATACTGAGGCTCAGCGTCAACTGTCCCTTTCAGAACGTCCGAATCAAGTGCGCGGAAATTATTCAGATGGTCAAGGTGAGTCGCCTCTTTTTATTGTAATATATATTGATTTTATTAATGAAAAAATAAACGGTTCGTGTTTGTGTCTTTTGAATAGCAAATCAAACTATTTGCCCTTCATAAATCAAACGTTTGTATTGACTAACTATATGACAATAATTGATTGACGAAAAATAATAATAATTGTAGATGAAAAAAGAATAATAATAATGGTAGATCGCATGTCTGAGTGACAAATGGAAATGTCAAAAATAAATATAGTTAAAAATTCCTAAATTCCACCTGGGTACATTTAATTTGGTTTATTCCTGTTTTTACTGGTAAACTTGATATCTGCTACCATTTCGGCTGAATATTTTAAGTATTCACCTTCTTATTCGATGAACGTTTTGTTCTATTGATTGTTTATTTTGGTAATATAATCGATACATTATTGGCACGAGGTTTCAATGTAGTAGGGGTCGCAAAAAGCATTAGTAAAATTCGCCTGGCATGTGTCAAGATTTATGTAATAATATTATCGGGCAAAGAGAGGTCAACGCTTTCATTATCTAGTAACTAAAATTTAATTACATCTTAATTCCTTTTAAATTCGATTTATGACTTACAATCATAACTAAGTTATTTTTAATCTACGTTAATATACTGGAAAATATTTCATCAGAATTTGTAATAAATGCTATGGCCTTAAATATTTGGTTATTTATACGCGAAGGTGATCTCTTGATTCTTAGTTTAGCGTAATCTTGACTTTTTTCTCGAGAACACATTACAAGTAGCGTTTATTTTATTATTAACCTTATTATTTGTTACTTTGTGCTATTTTAACATCAGTTAATTATTGAATAATTCTAATTACTTTCAACTTTTTTAAATACTAATTTGATACTAAAAATGTATTAAATCTTGAACAAAATTTCTAGATTTTTTGAAATTTAGTTGAATTTCACTTTTTTGAGTCTGCAAAAAGTTAAAGTTATGTTATCAATCCAAAAATCAAATGTATCTTGTTCTTCTTAATTTGTTTAAATTTACGCTGTTCAATCATTTCATCTGCAGTTTTGAGTTTTATTTTTTTTGCTAACTAACCATATTTTGCATCATGATTTGTATTAACTTTCATAAATTGTTGACTAAAAAATAAAAAAATCGCCCAACGTGGGGCTCGAACCCACGACACTGAGATTAAGAGTCTCATGCTCTACTTTTTTTTTTTTTTTATTTTTATTGTTTGTTTAGTATGTAAAAAAATGATACATAGGTGTTAGTGGCACAAACAATTTTCGAAAACCACAGACAAATGACATAGTTTGTTAGAGGCTTGACTCCCGGCGGAGTTCACAGTTTTAAAATGTAAATGGAGTTATTACTTCGTTGAGTTATCGAGCATAGTCAGAAGCCGCCCGGGGGCGAACTGGTTCTAAAATTTTTTCATATTTTCGAGGCAGGAAAAAAGCTATAAGCAGCAACAAAAACCCGCTGACAATAGTTTATACAAAAAGAAAAAAAAAGGAACACAGAGGAATGTATTCCTCTCAATAACATTTATGTACCATGATTTAGAGCTGAAATGAGAGCCCGACCAGAGAGTTAGCAAGAGAAAAAGAAAACCTAGCCTCCGAGGTTGGCGTGTGGGCCCACAGCTCTTCTTCTCGCTCTCCTTCTCACTTCGTCGAGATGAACGGCGTCCACCAGCCACCAGTATTTTGTAGTGTCCAATCTATTAAAATCCTTAGTGTCACGTACTGGGATCGATCGATCGTACCTGAGCGGAGGCAAGCTGAGAGCATCGCGGGGGATTCCCTTGTTGTTCCGATGTCGAGACCAGTGGTAAATGACCGGAACACCATTCGCATTCTGAATCAAACCTTGCGCGTCCAATTTAATAAAAGCTTCCGGAGGAAGCAGTCCAGAATCCTTGCAAGCTTCGATGTAATGGTCGTCGCAGTCAGTAATTGAGCTGATCTCAGCGTTGGTGTGGTCTCTCATGTGAGCGAAATAGTTTCTAGTGAGGCCTATAATAAAGTTGTCTATCCTTGGGATATTGGCCGCTGAGTATAGATCTCTGTTGCTCGTCATTCTGCGGTACTGTGTGTACGCAGATCTATTTACTTTTAAACATATTCGCAGGCATTTCCTCTCGAAAACCCTCAACCTTTCCATTGTGCTTGCACTCTGGTTAAACCACACTGGCGCACCGTAGGTGATAATAGGTGTAATCAAGAGCAAATAGCAAATCACTTTAACTCGTTTGTCGAGATATTTGTTGTGAAAGAGTTTACTCATGCTCTACCGACTGAGCTAGCCGGGCCTTGTGACCTCCGAACTCCATGATTTTTGAAAGAAAGGTGAATGACCCATACCGGAAGTAATGGTTGAAATGAAAAAAAAATCGCCCAACGTGGGGCTCGAACCCACGACCCTGAGATTAAGAGTCTCATGCTCTACCGACTGAGCTAGCCGGGCCTATGGGTGGAGGCTTTTTACTATATTTCAAGCGACGCTCGAACCAAAACGTGAGTTTTTTAAAATTGGAGCCAGCTGTGACTTTCTAATTTCTCCAAAATCCAAAAAAACGCCCAACGTGGGGCTCGAACCCACGACCCTGAGATTAAGAGTCTCATGCTCTACCGACTGAGCTAGCCGGGCTTGTGGGAGGAAAACTTTCACTGTGTTCCAATTGCTACACGAGCTCAGATGTGAGTTTTTTTAGAATTGGAGCATGTGGTGACTTTCTAATTACTCCAAAACCAAAAAAGACGCCCAACGTGGGGCTCGAACCCACGACCCTGAGATTAAGAGTCTCATGCTCTACCGACTGAGCTAGCCGGGCTTGTGAGGGTTTAGCTTTCCACCTACTAAAAAAATTAATGCTCAAAAAATTCAAAATTTTTTCAAACATTTCTAACGTTGCATGAAAATTACCTTAAAAAAATCATCCCGTATGATTTCAACTATTTATAAGACTATTTTACCGCTATTATATCGTTGGGTTAGTAGGATGATTCAAGATTAATTACTATTATGGTACGAAGTTTATTGAAGTTTATTAAAATCAGAGAAGTGTATCTTACGTGGTTGTTTTCGCCGTAAATCGATTTTTCACTTCTTGCATTGAAAAAATAACTAAAATAAAGAAACAAAATGTTTTGAAAAGTATTAAAAAATACTATTTTATCAACTTAAAAGTAAAATCTCTGCACTGCTAACTGCTAACTATGATAAAAATTTAGCAGAAATTATTTTTACGCGTTTTAAAGAATCAAAACATATTTGTATTATCAAGAAGATCGTCTGGTTTAAATTTTTAAATATCACGTATCGTCTGAAAATATAAAAGTATGCCAAAACTTACATAAAATAGGTGTAGGACACTAAATTGATGTTTGTATATTTTTTAAAATTTAAATTTAAAAAATTAAAAAAAATTAATGAAAAAATAATTTTAGGAACGAGGTCTACCTGTACCAGAACCTGCATTCGATGGTCCAAGCTCATTTGTTCCGGTTTCAGAGGTAAGTTTTTTAATCAGCAAATAATAGATACACTTCTTGGATAAAATGCAATTATTTGAGCCAAGTCTGAACGTGTAACTTCAAAAACATAAACATAAAACATGAAATGATTCTGTGAAACTAATAATTATGTCTACTTTTCAAGTGCTTATAAAATAATTTATTCAACTTCGTTGAAAGTTTTCAAGACCAGTATTTAATTTTCATTCAATAACACACAAATATACAGTAATTTTCGTTTTATTAAAACAATTTAGGACATCAGCGAAGATACTGAAAAAATAATTAAAATTAATTCTCCCGTTCTTTGCGTTCGTGAAGTAATACATATCAAAGTTCGCCAGAGTGTGTCTTAGTAATCAATGGGTTAATCCAATCAGTTGATTGGATCAACTGTTCACAAGTGACAGCAACTACTACTTTCTATACACATTTTATGTAACCAACTCTTATTTTTTTTTCTGCTCGATACATTTACACAATTAACGTTTTGTCGTATGGTTTCAAGCACTGCTTGTGTACTTCATTGAACTGTTTGCTTCTTTCATGAAAAGTTGAATATTTTAAAATTATTTTTAGATTTTTTATCTAAATATATTTTGCTTCTTCTGAAAGAAAAAAACGCTGACCCAAAAGATTTACCTTTGGCTTTGATACGCATGATAATTATTATCTATATTAATTCCTTACTGAATACTTTCTCAGTTGAAAATTTTTAAAGCAAATAGTATGATATATCTAGTAGTTTTCTCGGAAAAGTATAGCCAACTTTTAAAATATTAATGAACGTACAACATCTTACCTCTTGACTAAGTACCGAGACCATATAAGATTTGTAAAACTTAAACATCTTGCACTTGTTTTTCCTAGCTCAATGATTCTGAGCTAATATCTTATTAGTTGTATATTACTCGTACGCATTATGCGCTCGCACGTAAAAGATACAATATTCAGTAGCGACGCACTTACGGACTCTAATGGCGTATACACGCTCGTTGTATAATTGGTTCGTTATTCAATTTCTGTAATTCAGAACTTCAAGTCAGAGAGAGAGAATATGCACACACAGACTCCCTTCTGTATCTATCGAGAGGCGCGGCGTGCCTTAGCGCTACTCTTGCCGCTGTCGTATTATACGCACTCGAGAAGAATACACGACATTTTACTGTCACTCGCAGCAGAACTGTGATGTCTGTAACTCCTTGTGTAATATAACTTTGCATAATTTAATAATGCATGCAGATGTCATGTGCGCGTCGTGACGCTCGGGTAGAGTCTCTGTCTCGCTCTCCGAGAGATGCCTTGTTAGAGAAGAAGGTACAGCAGCAGTAGCAGTATATACAGTTTTGGCGAAGGAAAATCCGATTTTGAAGTTCGGTGACTCGCACTTTTTTTTCATAATTGAAATGCGGAACGACATTTTTTTAAAAGCTGCTTCCTTACGTAACGCGCCGCTACGCGAGAGGAGTGGAATATTTCGGAGACATTGAGAATAATATGCTGAATGAATCGTACGATTCTGTTTTTGGTTTTTTTCGTACTGATTTATTTGCTCAACAAATTATCCCTGATTTTTAACGTCGCATCGCAGATAATATCTTAAAGTGATTCGGCCGACGTGTTTTTCTGAAGCAACTTGTTAGAAAATGAGAGGCAGCAATAATATGTTTCTTTAAAGTTTAATTATCGAGGCAGCGTCCTGTATTCAATAATCAATTCGCTCGTGCCCATGAAGATTTCAATTTTATTTTTGCTGCAAAGATTATTTTGACATTAAGAAACTCTGGTCATTTTCTATAACACGCATGCACAGCTTAGTAGGTTGAAAACTCTACGAGAGGGAAATCGTGCAACACATCACTTTCTCACTTGTTTCTATGTGTACGTGCTTGACTATTTGCTACTTTCATTAACACGATAGATAGCCAAGAAAATACCAAAATTTGTCCATCACTCTCTTTGTCATCTACTTTTCATTAAAAAACTGTTTTTTGTTCTGAAAAAATGTTATTATTGAATAATCAGATTCGGCAATCAAATAGCCTCGTTTTAATGAATTAAAGAGACCGAAAAAAAGACATCAAGATTTTATTCAGTAATTTTTGGGGCGTGTTTTCGAAAATTTTCACTCGCTTTATCACGGAGAGATAACAGAGAACGAAAATATGATTTGCAGCTGTATCATTCGCAGCGATGATACATTGTGCGCGCGCTTATAATCGAGCCGCAAGAGAAATCGCGGGCTGCAGAGTGGGTCAGATTTTGCATTATAAAATAGACTGCGGAGGCTCGACCGGTGAATGTTTTATAATTGAGCAAGTGTCGAATGCTAATCTCAATATAAAGCGACACAGTGCGCGTACACAATATCGACGAGAGCGATCTTCCGATTGCCATCTGCGTTTGATTTTTTTTAATGTTTTTGGCCTCTTCATTAATTTTGATCAATTTTAATCGGTTATCGGTTTCTTTCAACAAACAGATAAGATAAAAAAAAACAAAAGAAGTTTCACTTCAAAGTGTCAATTTACGACTCTCTCCCCGCCACACCTGTCGAGTGTGTACGTGATTTTGTTATTTGCAAATGACACACATTAACGCCGATGGATTAAGAGTTTCGATACAAAAGTCGATGCGTAAGTGTGCGTGTAAGTACATTTCGAATGGATTAAATCTCCCACCTTATATACGTATAAATAAAATACGTATGCGCGTTCACACATTCTCCGCTTATATATGTATAGAGAGACACAGGCCTGGCGGAGGCGCGCGCGCGCCAGCTAAGCGATGTATTCTGCTTGTGCGCAGACCCCCTGCGCTGCCGTTCACTAGCGTGTTGGACGCGCGACGAGCCGGTCGCGCTGCTTCTGCTGCTGCTCCTAGTCTCTCGTCATCCAATCGAGCATGATACACAAAAATTGAGAGGAGCGATCAATTTTTGTTTTTGATTCGCACACATTTGGCTTTAGGCTGAACCATATACTACTACTTGACATTTCGCACGTAGCTTCTATAGATTACGGTTGTCAGCGGGTTTAGCTAAGGCGAAAGAAAGAGACTGAGTGGCTGTTTTGATCGGACAAAGCCGAAGGTACGTTTTATGTGTACGTATTTAAATTGTGTAGAATTTTTCTTGTGCTGCTGCCGCGACTGTGTTCTTTTTTTCAAATTTAAATGCAAAGTACGCATTATTCTTTTTATCATTGTATTTTTAAAGTCGAAATACTTGTACTATTTGCAGAATTTGATAAATGATTCCTAATCAGTCTATTATACTGATACAAATATAGGCCGATAAATTTTAATTGATATCGAGTATTTCAAATTGATGGCTCGATGTTGCGTGCTATATTCCTGCTTTCTATTAATTTTTTTTTACGGCGAAAGATGACTTTCATATTTTTTAAAATTTCTGCAAAGCTCCGAAGCTTTGAATATTTTACGCTAGAATGATAAAATTGCCTCCTACTCGTTGACGCAAACGATTCTATTTGGGATTCAAAATGAAAAAAATCGAATATTCTCCCTACTCTTCACTCTGAACTGAGAAAATCAGATTGTATCTTATGTCGGAGTCGTGGCGCGCGTGTCGATGAGTGGTTAATAATAAAGAAAAAAGTGTCATCCAAAGTTACTGAATGGCAGGTCGAAACGTGTTTGGAATTTTGAATTATATCATTGATAATTCTCTCGGTCGGCCTCGCTCTTTCTTTTCCTTCCTCTCGGCTTATTAGCAACTAGAGGAAATTAATGTCAGTTGTACTCTTTGTTTCATCCCAACCTTGTTAAAAAAGTTGCAATCGCTTTTCGGTAATCAATGTCAAGACGCTGTCTCAAAGATTTAGTTGTTAGTATTCATGATGTATAATATGTTTAGTTCCGTAGAACGCGATACTCACAGTTATATTCGAATTACGCGTATACTTTCCAGAATCTCTGCGATACTAAGAGCTTAATCCCAACTCATAATTATGCCATAAATCATAATCTCCGCGAGTGATAATATTACGTTCTAGCGGTCATTAATCCCCTTTTGTGTACATTTAAAAAGATGAAATTTGCATAACACAATCTCTTGCACTTCTTGACAACGTAATTAAACCGAGCTTTGTTTGCGCTCATTGCAGTATGAAATTTCTTCCTTTTTTTCTTTCCTTTGGAAAATTATATTCGAGTTAAGCATGATTTAGTTGATAAAAATATTTTTCATCGTACCGAGAGAGAAATTGGATCTGTTTAAGAAATATCATCGTTGTTTGAAATCAAGCATGTGTACTAGCTCGTTGCCTCGTTGTTGATATGTCAATGGTATTCAATGACTAATGAGCTTTGCTTATACACATGCATATATGCAAGCCATTGTTGTAAATTCGCATACGAAGATGTCCAACTTTTTCTCGTTTTCATTCACATAATGCGTCATTGTATAAAGTTTTTTAATGCGCTCGGGAGAAAAACGCTCCCGTTCGCGTATTTACATTTACTTTTTTTTTCTTGCCTCGGAAAAAGTCTTTCTAATTTGCTACTTCGTAAACATTATAATTAAAGGGTAATAAATTATAATAAATTATGACAGGTGGCATAAATCGCAACTGCATTAGTAGAAAATGTTATTTAAAGACTGAAAATTAAAATTTTTATAGAGTCTGTCGATGGACACATTTATTTTCGTGTAAGCACGTATATTGCGTCGTTTCAAAAGAGCGCCATCAATTATTAATTGCCTTTAACTTCTTTCACTCTATATATACGCACATATCGTAAAAAACATACTTCAGTTTCTTCGGTTCGCAATCCTCTCCGCTTTCGGTATATTGACGAATAACTAAGTGGTTTGAAATTCAAAAATGCCCCAATTTTTAGTAGTATTTTTTTTATAAATTAATAGAAAAAAATTGAAACAAATTATAAAAATAAATTCAATGTAGAGCTCAGATCCAAGGGTATATCGATTTTTCCTCTTCCCTTTTTTCATTAATTTAGAATTACGAAGAGCTAGAGAGTAGCTAAAGTATTTTATCTTCGTTACTTTAATAAGTGCTGAATTTCCTTTATAAGCGATGAACGCAGCTCCCAACATGTTAGATGCTTTATACGGCTGAAGTTTCGCTGTTATAAAGTCATAAAATTTTTAGGCTTTACCAAAGTACTTCGTAAGCTCAGCCAAAATAAATTTCAATCACACACACACACACACACACACTCACACATAAGCGTAACTCTGTTTTAGGGGGTGCAATTAATGATCAAACGCAGATATATCTCGCAAGTTGAACAATTACATCTACCTAGAAAGTTCGATGTAGATAATATACGAGTGTGCTATAAGGTTTATCTTTGAAAAAAATTGTTTGTTCGTTCGGAGTCATTGAATGTTAAAGCGACGAATTATTGATCAGATATCGATAAATTTCGTTCCGATGTATGTATAAATACATTTCTCGTAGGCGATGCATTCGTATATTCGCATGCATTTATTTTTTTTTTACACAATTTGACTCGATGGTTGCGGATAAAAATATCGTTACATAACGTTCTCGGCTTTATCTACTTTTCACGCGTATTTTTTTTTTCAATTACTAAATACTTTTACGACTTTCAAAAGACTCGGTTGCAATGAGCTAATGCACATCGCATGTGTACATTGCATCTGCGCGCGCGGAGTTTATATTTCCATAAAAGCTTCAAAGTAATTTCTTCACTAGGCAAATTTCCACGTTCTTTTTTTTTTTTACTCAATGCCTTTTTTCGTCAATACTTTCATCCGGCAAGGTTATGCTAATACTTGGCGCGTACTTATAACATATAAACACGTCGCGGGGAAGAGTACGCGAGTTCTTTTGACATTTCCGTGCAACGTGTGTGCGTGGCATATAGCATAGATTACGTTCGACCTCGATTATTTTCAATGTATAAAAAAGGACGACGGCTTAGTCAATCAATAGAAAATTGTGCATTGTTCGAAATATATTTTTTAAATCGCGGTTTAAAAGTTGCTCGAAACAATGGCCCTTTCTTTTATAATTGTAGATTTTTAAAAATGCGTTTAAATGCACGTTTCGACTAGTCGGTTGAATAGCGAATTTTATAAAAAAGAGAAATTAAACTCGATTAAATAACGACGTGTTTACTTCGATTGAACTTCCGAGCAGATTTTTATTATTTCTTTTCATTCCCTAGATAGATAATTACAGGATCATCATTACGCGTCATAACATTTTCAATATAATAAAACTCATAATCTTATCTACTTATTGTTATGTTCGTTACGTTGTCTTGTTAACTGACGGATCGTCAGCGATAGAGGATTAAAAAAATAACGAGAGAAATTAAAAACACGTAAAAAAATTGTATTTAGTTTACGTTACAAAATCCTCCGTGCGTTGTTGGTGACGACAAAGGTATAACAATTTCGACATCTAAAACTACAAAGTTACATTACATGCCTCGACTTTTGATACTACTAAAATTTCTAGTTGCATAATTTCGTGTCGCTTTGGGACATCGAAATTTTCAATTTTATCGTCGCTCGCACGTGGATTTTGCGTGTAATTTAAACTACAATTTTTTTTCGCTCGCATTTCGTTCGTTATATCACAATTTCATTTGTCTTGTTTCGCGTTACGAACGGGATTCTCCACTCTATATTGTACAATATAGAATTTTACTAATTAAACAGGATGGATCGACGTGTATTTTTCGTAATTCGTATCTCTCACTTGTCTGCCGATGCGCTTCGCACACATACACATATAATCCACGAGCGAAATCTCATTCGTTATTTATCTTAAACCGAATTGTAAAGCAGCAGTACGTGCCACGCGCGAAAATTATATTTTCATGCCGCATATACATGCCTGCCGCTGCTCCATTTCGATCATTCATCTTCATCGATAAATTAAATCAACTGCTTTTTCGATCGATGCACGTAAGGGAAGTAGGAGGGGATTATCAGCCGAAAAAAAGTGAAATGTCATTCCCCGAATGCGACTCATCGCTTCGAGGTTGGGGCGTGCTTTCGACCGATTGAATTTTTTATCTGTACATCGGAGCATTGAATAAGGGCGATATTAGCATTACGCTTGTATCAGCGCTATAAGTTTATTCAAAGGCACGTCGATATAGACTCGCGAATTTACGAACAGTTCGAGCTGAATTCCGTAAGCAACTTTTCTCGGTTTTTTTTTGGGGGTTCTCTGCTGGGTGAAAGTTTCTATTTTCGAAGTAGAAATTCGTCGTCGATTTTTCAGTCGTTCTTTTGTTTTTTCCTCTTCGAAATTGTAAAGACAAGCAAATGACAGTTTTTCGATAAATTTTGCTGACTTTATTTCGACTGTGTGTGTGTGTGTGTATACGGGAGAGCAGTTATAGAAAGTCAACGTATATATAAAAACCACACGAATAATAAACATTGCCCGCGAAGTTTTTCGATCGAAAAAGGGACGTGGTCGGAAACGCGCGGCGGTACATCGAGCCCAGCTCTCAATTGTGTGTGCCTGCGAAGAAAAGTTCACCGGTTCTCTTTTATGTTATTAAAGCTCGCGCTCGTCTCAGCGATCTTTTCTTGCGCCTCGTAGATTTTTAGCCCTCGCATATAGCCGCTGAGCTTTTCGCTCGGCTCAGCTCGGCATCAGCTTCTCAACTTTTGCGCTGTAGTGTAACAGCCGAGCAGATCCTGTTTCGTCGCGATATTAGCCGCGCGTAACACAGTCTGATGAGCTTGCGCTCGCTCGCGTAGTATCTATTTGTATGCGAGCGCGCGGGGAAACTTTCGAGACTTTTCCAAACGAGTAAATTCGGTTGCCACTTTACTACGTGCTCGTGCGGGGGTGCATGCGCTCGCGCGGCTCGAGGTACGTCGTCAAACGATTACGATTTTTTTTTACCTCTACCTCTCTTTCTCATCAGCTTCTCTCTTTCTCTCTCTCGCTCTCAACTTCAAAATCGCTGCACGGCAAAGAGAAGAAGTAATTTATGCAAACGATGGCGATTTCAAAAGCTAGAGAGGCGGCGGAGCTGGCGCGCGCGAGCGAGGTTGCGAGATTTTATTGAATTTGGTCGATTCCGATCGTTCGTCTGTATGGAAAATAGGATCGAGCGGGGTGCGCACACGCGATTTTTCCTCCGATATTTTTCTACTCAAACGGAAACGGCTTTACCCGATTTGAAAAAATAAAATGAAAAAAACGGTATCCCTTTTCTGCTGCGTTATGCACGATATATTATTATATACGGGGTTATGAATAAATTACGAGGCTATGTTTATAGCGTCATAGAAGCTCCGAAGTTCACAAGAGCAGGTCGCCCTCGATGATGACGCTTTATACGCGTAACGCGCCGTATTACATTAAAGCTCGATAATTTAAACGATATTGGAACAGCGTCGATTTCCGATAGTAACTTTGAACCTATATGGACTGATACTGAAATTTGTTTCTTGCGTCAAAAAACTCGGCAGTATATTGCGAGAACGAGTGGTTATGACCAAAGTTGGTCCCTTTTCTCTCTTTATTTGTACACAATGTCTGCTCCGTCGTATGCTCTTTTTGCACCGTGGCTGTGGATCGTTCTTCATTTTTTTGACGCCTTGACACTGAGTGCTTTAAAACTATTTAAAAAGCCGGATACGTGTCAAGACCTTATTTTCTTCTTTTATTAAAATGTAACACACCACCACATCTCGGAGTCCTTCGGTCATGCTCGGTGACATCTTCTCGCGGAGAAACTTGACGCGTCTCTCTCTCTGGTCGAGGTGTGCGGCTGTGTCGCGCCAAGTTCGTTTGTCGATATATCGTACATACCTATATATTTTCTTATAAGATCTCTGGGGTCTCCGCTGCTGCTATTAAGTAGAGCGTTGATTGCACGATCGATCGTGACGACACGACCGAATAATTAAAACCGATAGTGTGGCGGTGACTTAGTGCTATTCGACTGTGTGCGCGCGAAAGAAAACGGATTTTTTCTTTCGTGTCAGGGAGCTTCTTCTTCTTTTCCGATGTAGGGCACAGTCATCGCGGTTACATCGCTATATATAAGTGAAAAACATTATTTAATTTCAGTTCTCGATGTTGTTTTCCCGATAACGGAGACTACACATCGTTGCTTTTTGGGTTAAATAAAATGAATTATTGAGGTCTCTCTCTCTCGGCAGTTTGAAAAGTTGCACAGGATGAAACTCAAATTAAATTTTGACCAAACCGCTTCGCACAGTATTATATAGTAGTAGTGGTAGTAGTAGTGCTACTTGATGCTGCAGTCGAAAAGTTATAAGCGCGCAACTTTCTAGTTTTCCAGCTTCATGAGCTAATAAATATACGAAGGTTGTACGATAAGCTTCTTCTCGAACTGTTGATATTTTTATTTTTTATAAGTACCGCGAAGGATTATTACAATGTTAATAATGAAAAGTTTTAGAGCAGCGCTATCCAACTGCACTCGTACAGATTTGAACTTGACCCAAAGTCCGGTCGCACTGTCGCAAATGTTTGCACTGGCTCGAGCAATTTTTCAATTATACTTTGTTCGCTCGAGTCTTTTTTTCGGATCGTACGAATCGCGCACGAGGGTGTTCGACGATTGGAAAATCGAGACTTTGATAATTACTTACGCGGCGTAGCTGAAATATTCGAAACGTTCCCCATATAACTACATTAGCCGATCCATTTTATATACCGCTATACTCCTTGAGCGAGCGTAGGAAGACTGCGAAAAGGAGCTCTCCGAGATCGATATCACAAACACACACACAGACAGGGCTCACGAATGACGTCTTGCGTGTATCTCTCTTTTATATAGTTGGCGAAATTCAAACAGTCGCTCGTAGCCGCAAAATTGTCAACCTGCATTTTCACCAACTTTCTTTTTTCATTCGAGCGCCTGTGTGCCTGTGACATCCTTCGTCTCTCTCTCGGCTGTATATCGCAGCCACGAAATCTCTGCCATTTTTTCCTTTATGTTCGCGCCTAATCACAGGACTGAACGAATGTGTATGTGTGCGTTATTTTTTCATTTCCTCGCAACTCGTATACGGCAGGCGGCAATCTCCGGGTGAAAAGAAAAGAAAAAACTTTGCTAATTCGCTTTTTGCGTAATGTACGCACATCTCTTGGCCTTAGGTATATATACGCAGCCAGAGTCCTTTTTGTAGGAGAATTGCATTTGTTCGTCGGCGTGTACAACGTAATGTAACAGCTCGCGTTCTGATACGGCGTGTGCGTATAGTGGTATATACGTGCACGCGACAACGAAAAATCACCTCGATATTTTAGTTCGAAATTGTTTCTCTCGGCGGTGACGGCAGCAGCAGCCGAGTCGAGCGACTGTGCGGAGTGACTCTTACCATATTATACCTACGTCTATCGATCCGTATAATGGAACTTGGCCTTTAATTAAATTCATTTGTTTCGTCTACCCTCTCGCGGCAGCAGAAACAGCAGCAGCAGCACGAGGAAAAATGTACCAATCCATATCATAGTTGTTTTTGTTCAAACATAACGATTCACGATAATAATTGCAGAGAAAAAGAGGCAGAGAGAGAAAGCCAACGAAAAATGATTATGACGCAGATGATGTTGAAGCAAGAGCCCGGCTGGACGCTCGAGTGCAACGGCAAGAAGTCGTACCTGCGCCGGGATCACGCGGCGGCGGAGGACGACGGCCTGCAGCTGCTGCCGAGAAAGAGCCAGAAAGTCTGCTTCCGCTGCGACGTCGAGGTGCGCGAGTACGAGAGGGACGAGCCCGAGGATTATCATCGTTTCGATTCGTACTACAACTACGATCACAGCAACGAGGACGTCGCTGCCGCCGGCGGCGTCGAAACGGAAGATAATAACGGTGGTGGGGCTGCTGATTGTGGCAGTGGCAGCGCGAGTCCATTGGCCATGTGCGCCAGTTGCCTGGCAGCCCTCTGCGTCACGGTCATTCTGCCCTGGCTGCTTATGAGCGGTTAAATTTTGGCGCGCGAGCGAGCGAGCGACCCCCGCACACAATTGCTACCCGCGCAGGATTGCCAGATGGGACATCGTGCAAAAAAAAAGAAAAGAAAAAAGGAGAAAGAGACAATAATCATATACGAGACGCAGGATTCGTTCACTTTTAGCCCAATTATTATATTATTATGTAATGTATAACGTTATAAAAATAAGTTAATTTTTTCGACGGGGGGAAAGCCACAACGACGACGATGATATTTACATGTGTAAGAATTCGTTATTTCGATGCCATATTCAGCCATATGTATTTACGGTACTTGTATAATTTTTCAAGAGGCTGCACGTATACGTGTATAAAATAATAAGATGTGCAATTTTTATTATGCATAAGTATAGACTGATTAATGTGTACGATATTACTTCTAAGCTCGAGAGTGGTTACCCTCTCGGTAACTACTTTTTTTTTTGGTGCGATACATATTTGTACATATAAATTCAGGGAGGGAGAAAACTATAAAGCTCATGACGTTAGATTAGTTTTGATAGTATAAATGAAAAAAATGTAATAATAATTAATTTTATCGCGTGAGCGTGTGACTGAAATGCTACACACGCGATATGTAATACTTGTTATAGACGCGATCAAAGATATATATTATGTATAACTAATTGTTTTTTTTTGTTAATAAAAAAGCAGCTGCAAAGTACAGTTATACGCACATGGTACGAACCGTTTGTATGTACCCTTTTTGCACCCATCACTCCACGTGTATTAAAATTCAACTGCTGCCACCACCGCTGCTGTGCATTAATCTACGACAGAGCGGGAAAAGAGATGGAGCAGCGACGGTATTTGCAGCGCTCGAGTCCAAAAACTCATCCGTTTAAAAAAACATCAGCTATTCGGAGGAACGCGAGGAAAATCCTGTGCACGCGGCATTAGCAGCAGCGGCTAGCGTCCAAACGGTTAATAGCACCGTCGCGTTGGAGATAGCTGCGTGATGTTTTCCACGCGCGGCAGCAGAGCACACAGTGCGGGGCCGGCTGGCCAGAATTTAATTTTCCCAACTTGTGTGTCCGAGCGTCCGAGACTCTATATACGCCGTATATGTACGTAGGCATAAATATGCAATCGAGAGCAGCCGGGAAGGGTTCCCAGCAGTGGCTCGCACACACGTTACACAGTAGTTGTAGTAGTAGTAGTAGCCCCCTTGGCTTCGTATATATATATGCGACGACGAGCTTCTCGTTCGTTTATGCACCATTGGCTCGAACATATTTTATATACGTGTATATATATTCCCCGCGACGAAGACCGAGTCCAGCAGCTCTCAAAGTATCGACTCTCCGTGCGTTAACATCGTCGTCGTCGTCATTTTCGCTACAAAACGTAGCAGCTACGTTCATCTACACCGAGACGTTCAAAAATACGTCGAAAAATAATAATCGCGATCAGCTCACAACGTAATAATTCGCCTAACTCGAGGGCTTGCGAAATTTTTTTATATAAATAAATAATTGAGTAAACGGGCAATTGTATAACTGAAAACGGCGCGGCCGGTCGCTCTCTTTTTTTCTGTCTTTCTTTTTGAGCAATAGTTCAATGCCCACCTACATATTAAACGTCGCTGCACGTGTGTGTACGTAATAATACTCGGCTCGACGAGCCAGAGCCAGAGCCAGTGGCGAGTTGTTATTGCATATGTACGTATACGTGTTATACACAATTGACCAACTCGTCGTCGCTGCTGTACGATATATCAGACGTACACAATTAAACTTCAATTAAGATCAATTTCGTGTCGCGCGCGACATCTTCGTCGCTCGACCTTTCGGGGCTCACGAGCTTTATTTCTCTTTTATTTTGTATTTTTTTTGTCGAATGTCTCGGATCGACGGCATCGATCGAATCAGCGGCAATCACACACTCGCGCTCCCGTCTGCTGCCGAGACGTCGACGAAACCCTGGCCTGGGAGTCTCGTGCAGCACAGTCTGCTGCAGAATGAAAATTCGAGACAGCCCCTTACCTGTTGACGATGTTTATACTCCTGCTATTTGCGCGCTCCGTCGGATGACACGAGCCATCCCCCTGACTACAGACACACAAAGACGGAACTCTCGGGCTATGGAAGGTAGAAAATTCCATTTCCTCTCGCTTTAATATCCTAGGCGCGCGCGAAGAGACGTCATCGCGTGCTCGAGGAAGAAGAGAGACAAAGATATTTTTCCAAAGGAAAGCTCGAAGCTGAGATACAAAGCGGACTGTAGACGAGAAAAACATGCAAAATATCCGTCGAAATTTCGTAATTTTTTTTTCTCCTTTTTTATTTCGGAGCAAAGCCCCGCACTGAGCAGCTCGAGACTGCCAACACACGCACGCAGCAGTCGCAAGTCAAGCGTGCACACACACACACAGACATATATAATACAAAACAAGTGCCGCCGCTGCCGCGCTTGGCAAATCTAAACAAAACTCTAAGCAGTATCGATTATTCCTTTCAGTTGCAGTTGCGTCACCTGCTACCGTTAGCTGCACTCGCATTATGTATAAACTTTTGTCGATGGATGTGAAGCAGCAGCAGCTCGCGAAAAGGGGGTACATATACAGGCTAGAGAGAGAAAGAGAGAGAGGAGGTACAGCTTTTGTGTGACAATAAAATTTAACGACGCTCGGAGAGAGACTCGCATCGACTGTTTTCTTGCGTAATGCGCACGTGTTTAACGCACGCCAGCGGCGGGTAATGCTGTTTTTTTTTTGCAAATTCGATTTCGGGCCGCTGCCGCCGCGAGAGGTAATTTTCACGCCCCGTTAAATTAGGTAGCTGTAGTAGAGAGAGCCGAAAGACTACTCGACCGGGCCGAGCTACACACGTATACATATATGTGGCTAGCTACATACAGTACGATGGTCAAGCCAATGCGCGCGTAAAGCTTAATTAAGGTCTCTCTCACTCTTTCTCCGAGGGGGCAAATATACTGCACATATACACGCGGTATAAACATTATTATACGTGTGAAAATAGTCATTTCGCCAGGCGATCGTTAAAGACCTCGAAACACGCGATATATGCCAGCGTATAGGGTCGTTTGCATGCCGCCATCACGTACAATATAAAATACAAAAGTACATGCCCTACACGGAGAAAAACAGTTTTGTCGCTCGCTCGCCTATACCGTACATACAAAACTCGCATGATCGATCGACGCCCGCGAACAAATTGTTCCTAATGTCATTGACGATACGTTGCATACACGTATTAAAAGTCACAAGTCGTGCGCGTCCGGGGGACACTCGCGCGAACATACATATATAGGTACTTATGTATAATGTACAGGCTCGAGTATAGTGGCGTGCGCGCGACTACATTATAAATGTATGTGTAAAAGCTTGCACTTGCCGCCGCCGCCGCGAGCTTTAATACCAGCTGCAACCAGTGCCTGACCGACGTTACCGACCGAAGGCGGCTCGGGTAGAGGTACACATTGCTGCTATTCCGAGTCGGTAATAGACGGGCAGCGAGCGAGAGCGGTCGATTGGCCGTTCTCTCTGCAGGTAGCGTACTAGCCGGTGCGCGCCTTTGCGATATTTTGCGCGAAAAATCGAGAAAAAATGGAATATCGATGCTTGGGCTGAAATTTCATCCGTTCAGACTTGGCTCGCTCGATGTGTATATACTTAATATCGCAGTATACATGTATAAAAATTCAAACAAATTAAATACGATTTACGTTTGTTTTGTTACAGCTGCCGGACTTGGATAATCTCAACGATAAGGTGAGTTTCTTGAAAATTTTTTTTTTTTACCATTTCACATACGATATTGAGCAACGCGATTTTTTATTTCGACGAGTGCAACTCGCTCGCAGATCATCTCGTAAATTAAGCTCGCAGCATCGTGCGCAAAAGTGCAGAGATATATCTTTCTCTCTTCAACATCATCGTTTTATATCTATCTGCAAAATCTATACGCGCGCGCGCGGACTTCCGAGAGCGGGAGACGCTAATTCGCCATTCAATATATGGGCATATATCTCTAAGCCGAAAGCGCAACAAGCGCACGGCACGCACAGCGGCACGCGAATTTCAAATCTAATCACGTTTCTCTCTCTCTCTCGGCTCGGCGCGTATATCCAGTAGCAGCTCCTCCGCGTCCACGCGCGTATACATTACTATACTACTAATACTCAGGTATAATGAGCATATCGTTAAAATTTTTATCACTCGTCGCGATCGATGAATGAAAATTTATTTTATTCTCGCTGGCAATTATATCTCGTGCCTGTGCGAATATAATGGTAGAAATTAGAAAAAGAGAGAAGAATGAAGCATTTAATACAGCGTAGTAAGGGTCATCCCCTGCCATTGAATTAACCGGCAATAATGACATTGGTATACGGGCTTGGTACCGATAGAGCCCCTACTACCCTACGTTCGAGTTTTGATCTTCGTGGTGTGCAGAATTAAATGCCTCCACAGTTCTGTATACGTATATATGTAGAACGAAAGACGTCAAGACAAGTTGTGTCCCTCGTTGGCCGCTAATCAAGCTAATAAATGTGCAATAAAAACACGTACACGCGCTCCGCTCGCGACTGATTGACGTTCGAGCTGCCGCTGCTCGAGAAAGAAAATTCTAATTCTGAAAATGAGATAGCTTGTGGTGCGACGATATATACGTGTGTGTGTGCTATATACATGTACATCCAAAATAGTCACGTGCATGCGTGTGTGCTGTGCTGTACGCCGTCGAAGGCCGTGAAATTATTTTATCGACGACTCTTTATAAATCACACATTTGCGCAATGTTTATTATGTCTGTTGGTACGCGCGAGCGAGCTGCACATTGCCATTTATACATACGCGTATACAAACACACATACACACGGACATTTTCAGGCTCTCTTACTCTATTTAGATAAACTTTGTTGTATATACGCGGCAGGCGAGCAAGCAAGCGTATACACGAGCGTATACGAGAGCTCGAGCGATTTATATTTAATTGTACAACGACAAGATGAAAAATTTATTGAGTTTCGTATTTGGCTTGCTTACGTTTTTTTTCTCTCTCTCTCTCTCTCGCTCACTCTCCTTGGCATCGCGATAAATTTTCAATCAGCCGAGAGCGGCAGCGCGAGCTCCTATTTAATACAATAATAATGATAATCGATGATGCACAACACCACCATCGCCTTGACGACGCGCACGAATCAATTGTGTGCAAAACAATTATAATTTGCGGCGCGTTAATTCTATAAAGATTTTTTTTCTCGAATTATCCGTGTCAATTGGGCAGTCCGCGCGCGCGAGGCTATTATAAAGCGAGAAGGAGGAGGAGGCGAAATACAAACATACGCACACACACGCGTGTAGAGAGAGGAGAAGAATATAATGTTTATTCGCACGCGAGAGAGTAAGAGGGTACACACGCATACACGCATGAAAACGATGATGATGCTCGCGAGATCGTCAATTTTACGACACACACACAGATACTCGTTTATGTAGATTTTTTTTCTCTGTCGCTCTCGCTGAGTCGAACGCGCTATTATACACTGTGTTGCGTGCCTGTGCAATAAGAGATAAAAGTACATATACGTGCGGGAGAGAGAGAAAACGGGTTTGAGCGAGAGAGAGAGAGAGAGAGAGCATCGGTACACACAACATATATATATACACACAGCGAAGCACAAACCCGTTTTGTATTATCATCAGCCCCGAACGAGAGAAAGACCATCTTCTTCTCTCTCTCTATGTTGCGCCTCTCTTCTCTCTCTCTCTCTCTCTCTCTTCGAGAGAGGCAAAAAGTATTTACGCTCCCGAAAAATAAAATCTTTTCTCTTTTTTAAATATAGCCCCGCACGTGTATATGTGTATGTATGTGTGTATGCAAGTAAAAGCTCATCATGAGCATTGAACTCGGCGCGGTTCTCTGCTGCTGCGGCAGCTCCAAGCGTTATTATCGTACATCCGCGAAAGTGTTGGAAAAACGTGACTACGGTATCACACACATACACTTACATGCACCAACACTATATAGTGACATTATATAGAGATACTGTTATACGATCAATTAATTGAGCACTGAGCGCAGCACTGCATATTAAATTCATTTAGGCCAACTTGCGCGCGGTATATACTCTACTATACGCGATGAATAATTACATAGATCTCGAATTTACAAACAAGCAGTACCTATATAAGATTGTGTACGTGCGCAGAGCTGTTGTGTGTATATACTTACCGGTCTCAGTGTGGACGACTCACGCGTTCGTGTAAGTCTGTGTGTGCAAGTAGGGGCTCGAGTCTCGAGCGCGATAATCGATCAAAAGGCTGCAAAATTTTGCTCGCGCATCGTCGTCGTCGTCTTGCTGTGTGTATTATTATTCCGTTTAGATATCGCGTTGTTGATGCGTTTACGCGTGTGTGCGTGCAAGTACGTGTGTCCGTAATATTACATGTCTATGTGTGTGCGCTGTATGTGTACTGTATGCAATACGCGCCTGCAAGCGAGAAAACCGGTTCTGCTTGCTGCACGCGAGAGCCTCGGAAAAAGGAGCGGTGTTTTTATGTGTGTGTGTTTGTGTGTGCATGTATGTTTGTATGCACTGTATATGTATGTGTGTATGTGCTGCAAGATTTTCTGGACATAAAGAAGCGCTTCCGCGTTTAACTCGCATAAAAGGGATTTTTCTATCGGGTTTCTTCTCTCTCTCTTTCTCGTCCAACGCAGCACAAGTATTAAGCAAGCACAGTACAGTAGTGCAGTATATCTGTATATGCACAAATGAAAGAGAGAAAAGAAGAAGAAGAAGGAGTAGAGAAGGAGGAGGAGGAAGAAAAAGTGCATATGGCCGTAGGTGATGAATCTCTGAGCTCTACTGTTATTATTATTATTGTTATTATATGCTCGTGTATGTGTATATCTATATGGCACGTTTGCTACGCTCTACACACACATCTCTACACGCGTACGTATGCACTTACACACACAAACGCAGAGTCAAATCGCCGCTCGCTGCGCGCCAGTATATACTGTATAGTATAAGAGAGGCAGAGCAGCAGTAGGAGGGCAGCCGAGGAGAAGTGATGCATTAGCTATATTGAAGATAGTGGCCTGATGTTGTTTGTTCGCAACTCGAGGCCGGCCGGTCAAGAGATGGCTGCTGCTGCTGCTTCGAAAAAGCTTTTTCTTCCTCCCTCTCGCGGCTCGTCTCTCTGCACCTCCCTCCCTCGCAATGCATCAATTAACTTTTTTTTTTCATCGCTCTCGATTTCACGTTTTATTGAAAAAGAAGAAGAAGAAGAATAAAAAAAAATAGAAGAAGAAGGAAAGAAAAATACGGTCGAGTCGCTCGCGAGTCTCGCGCGTATTGTTTTTCAACCTTCCACCGATCCGCAATGACGAGTTTTATAATTCACACCTACGATAATTCAAATCTATCGCACTGCGCTCGTAAGCGAGGCGTTATTAATACGGTCCCTTAAATGGACGCCGAGCTTTTGCACTGTGCAGCACACACGGTAAACACATGGACGTGCTGCTGGCCGTGTGTGCTTGTGCCAAATGGAGGCCGCTATAATACCAGAGATCCGAAGCTGAATATAAAACGCGAGAGATCTCGTGTGTGTACGCGCGCATAAAGTATCGTACCGCTGACACTCGCGCGCGTTATAAGGTGTCTTATTTTTATTATACGTAATTTAAACGTTTGTATACAATTGCGATGAAAAAGTTCCACTCCTTTTTTTTCTCTTTTCTCTAGCCTATTCAACTGCTGCTGATGCGCGCCTGAGATGTCCGATTAATCTCTAAGCATTTTTATTTATTGGTCGTCTTATGGTCCTTGACGGGTCATTGATTCGTTCGTGTGTGTCATGCAAATCGCGCAGCGACTCACGTTTGTGTGTATATTATTTCGTTTCGTGTTATGTTTTTTATGGCTATTTCCAACTCTATATATGCCTCGGCGCTGCGAAGGTCGACAAAAATGACACTTGGATGTTTTTTTTTTTTTTTTTTAACGAACGAACGAACGAACGAAGTTTAGGAGAGTATAATTGATTTTTAATACAACATAGGTATATTATGCCGCTGCTTGCTTTGCACAGGAGAATAATAATATGCATGCAAATGGATGCTTGAAAAAAAAACATTGAAGGCAATAAATCGTCGATAGGCTACAAATACGCGCGTTTCAAGTTCGAAAATAAAGCCGGGGCGCGTATTTATATTTTTGCAGGCCAAACGAGTGCAAAAATATATATACGCTACGGCGCGGAGGCACGAGACTCGTTTTTTTTTTCTTGTTGCTCTCGCTGCTTTTTTCTATAAGCTGGTTGCAGCACATTATGACAAGAGAGGGAAGAAAGAAAATAGAGAAGATAGAATAAACAATAACGATCGCGCGCTGTAATAAAAGTCTTTTGGGATTTAATATAACGAGGAGTTTGCATTAGAGAAGGTATACATCCACTTTAGATTTTCCATCAGCAAGTGCCTTACAGTGTGCGTATGCCAAAAGGAGAGTATTATATTCTCGTATCTCTCTCTCTCGGCGTTGCGTGCGTGTGCAAGTGTACGTATATACTAGCAAATATATATGCACACGTGCAGAAAGGAAGAGAGAGAGAGAGAGAGAGAGAGAAAAAAGTAAATCGTCTTTTGACGTTGATTTCTCTCTTTTGTATACCATATAGTGTGTACTATATATACGTATATACGTAAAGTGAGAATTCACCGAGTTTTGGAGACTTTCCGTACGTGTATGCGCGTG